ATCTTTTAAAAAACTTATAATCAATGATGTGACAATCCTTCATGTGAAAAAGTCTAACCATCAACAAACGGTTCGTCAAATTATAATGAACTGTTTGAAAATGATTCAAACTATTTGATTCTCTGATCTGTTGTTGGCAAATCAACAACTTTGTCCTCCGAGACCGGCTGCTGCTGTGATTTAGGGCTTAATAAAAATAATTTGAATGGATACCTCCATTAGGTTTGACTATAGACAAAACACTGTAATAGAATTTGAGCGTATCTTCAAAACAACTTATGGAATTCATATTTTTAAATACATAGATACAGTATATATCTTCCACCTCTACTACCCAATAATATATATTTTTTAAATACATAATTGCGCAGTTGCCTTTCTTTGTTTCCTTATTTCTATTCCACACCGCAAAAAAAGACAAGAAAAACAAGAGAAAAACTCCTGTAGGAACCTGCCAGACTACAGACAAGTCGCTATCAGCAGCTATCTCCATTCAAGATTAGATAAAGCATAGAGGAAATACACAGACACACGCACACACGCACACACACACACACACACAGACTGCAAACATCCATGTGACTGAGCGCTTTCAACAATATATGACCATAATCTCCAAATATAGACTTTCCCACTTTTAAATCACATTTTCTACATCGTCTGCGTCTTTAGGTTTCAGTTCCCCTGTTGCTCGACAGAACCCTGCGTGTGACCATTAGCTGTGCTTGTGCAAATTACAGGCTCTATAACCCGACGATGATGACAAATTTGTCCAACCGTGACCAAGAGATGTTTATCCGCAATGTATTTAGACTGTGTGGGCCAATGTGGGAATCCCCTCCTTTCCCAAAGTCTGGAAAAAAAAATCCAAACTCTTCCGTTTCAGTTAAAGAAAAAAGTTTATATTTTAACACAATCTTGATAATACTTATTTTGGCTTTGCACGTTTTGGAATACAAGTAGCCTCCGTGTTGGCCTCTCTCGGGCCAACACGGAGACGCTGATGCATGCTTTTATAACCAGTCGCATTGACTACTGTAATGCCCTGCTCTCTGGTCTTCCCAAAAAGAACATTTCAGGTTTACAATTACTCCAAAACTCGGCCGCACGTGTCCTGACTAAGACCAGGGGGCGGGACCACATTACACCGGTTTTAAAATCGCTGCATTGGCTCCCCGTGTGTTTCAGGATTGATTTTAAGGTTCTTTTAATGGTTTTCAAATGTCTTAATGGTCTCGGGCCTTCTTATCTTTCAGATTTGCTTTTATCCTATGAACCCTCCCGGCCCCTGCGCTCCTCCGGCAGCAGACTCCTAACCATTCCAAAAGTCAGGACACACACTCACGGTGAGGCGTCTTTCCAACACTACGGCCCCCGTCTCTGGAACAGTCTGCCGGAGGAGCTCAGGGCCGCAGAGAACATTCATATTTTTAAAGCCAGGCTCAAGACACACCTTTTTAGATTAGCTTTTGATTAGTATTTATTAGTCCATTTTTATATATTCTATTTATCCTTTATTATTTATTATATTGCTATTGCTTTTATTCATGTTTTGTGTGATAGTTCCTTTCAGGCTCACATTTTAGTGTTTTACTTATTGTATTGTTTTTAAGTATCCCCAGTGTTTCCTCTGGAGGAGCCTTCTGCGCTGGGAGCGGTGGTTGGTGTGGCTGCGGGGGTCGGACTCTTGGACCTGGTGGGGGCCCGGGGCCTCGGTTTTGGGTCCCCTCTGGGTCCTGTGTCGTCCCCTTTGGCTATGGGCGGCTCTCTGCTCCTGGCGCTGACGGCTCCTTGGATGGCGTTTCTTCAGCCGGTTGCATCTGAACCCTGCCAAGTCTCTTATCGTCGTTTTATTGTTTTATCGGTGCGTGTGTGTGTGCGCGTGTGTGTGTGGGGGGGGGAGGGTCTGTTGGGCGGTCGGGGGGAGGGCATGGGCAGGATTGTTTTTTAGCCAAACTGTAAAGCACTTTGTGTTGCATCTGTTGTATGAAAAAGCGCTTTCTAAATAAACTTTGATTGATTGATTGATTGATTGAAAATACACTAGGAATGTGTGATTTAGAGCCGTACAAAAAATAATGAAATTGAGTTGAATGGAAATAGTTGTCAAGTATACATTTAGAAATAGATTTCTAAACCCAACATGCTAATATAAAGTGGTGCCTTGTTTACCGCAGAGGTAACCATACCCAATGGTCAGCACACATGAACGCCATTTCTGTGATTACGCAGTCTATGACGAAGCCTCCCAGTTTTAAATGTGAAAGCATCACACTAAACTATGGCTCTGAGTGATTTGCATGATATACTTGACATGCGCTAGCTTTCCATAACTAACTAGCAATTAGCAACACTTGACTGCCGTTGCATTACATAGTCTGTGTCCCGACTCTTCTTATAGAATACCTTTTCCTCATCTGATTTTCTCTTCTTTGCCACAGGAGGACAAGTGGGTGGCAAATGTAAAATTTGGAATTTTTGCTTTCGTCTCCCCACAGTCATTTAAAAATTGCGTCTGGATAAATCATTGACTGCATCTTTAACATGTTGCGATATAGTACATGATGTCATAGATTGAGGATTTGTCAAATGTTGAAAATGAGGGTTGTCAAAAGTATCAACCTCCAGTAAAAAATAGTTCAGGGTGAAGGACTGTGTGGTTGTGAGTGCGACTGTGGGACGACGGATGGAAATTAGCCCAAGGCCACAATCCGGAGTGAAACTAATTGGAGAAAGTGTAGATACTGGATTGTCAGGAGGTGAGATTCTCTGAGCAGTTTTTTAATGACTTATTGATTATCTATTTTAGAACAAAAACAATAAACATTGTAGTAAATAAGAACTATGCAATTGTCCCAAAACATTTAAATTATAAATCATTGTAGTGGTAAAAAAAAATTGTATCGAGTAGACATTTTTTAGTGATGCACCGATACTGGTATCAGGTCAATACCAGTATCAGTATTGACCGATACTGCTCTGTGCTCTTTGCAAGCACCAGAGCACAACGACTACTCTACAACACAGCATTTGTATGAGTGGAATATGAGTAGAATATGAATATCAGTAGATTTAGTTTTATGAATTCCCAGGAACAACACGATGCAGTAATATTTTTGGTCTCTTTGCAGTACTTGGTACTCGGTATCGGCAAGTACTCAAATTAAGGAACTCGCACCGGTTTTGAAAAAAGTGGTATTGGTTTATACCTGATAATTTTTATTAGTAGAGAAATCAACTATGTAATTGTAGTAAGGTAAAAACCCTGGTGGAAGGAGCTAAAACAACTGTCAATAGTGACGAAAGAGATGAGTTTGCATATTGTCCTTTGAAGAAACAAGTTTTTACAATACCAGCACAATAAAACGAGATGTTTCATCTCTAGGGGCTTATCCTCCAAACAAATAGATAAATAAATAAGTGGGTAATAATGCGTTTTTGTTCACTACGCCTCAGGCTGAGCAGTTTACCATAAACTCAGACAATAACCATCACTCAACCTTTTAAGGGAACTCAGCCAAGTCCAAACAGGACACATTCTGGTAAGGATGTCAATGTTTAGTGAGTGAACATCTCAGGATTATTTGTGAATGTTGTTAAATATACTGAGTAAAAAAATTACAAAGAGACAAGAACAGCAAAATTGACTAACGAGAGAGCAGACTCATTCTATTATACTTTCCAAATGGATAATCTGCATTAGAAAACATAAACATATAAATACAGAACTATTAAAATGAGAAAATAATGCTTCTGTCCAAGATAAAAGATCCATTACCAAATCCCTTTGTGTTTACAAAGAACTTCAATAATTGCAGATTTTGAGACTTGTTGATTGCGACAACTAAAATTGTGTTTTCGATTGGATTGTGATGGATCGTGCACCTGTCCTGAACAGCAGCGTGTTCTCCCTGAAACCTGACCAGAAGAACAGGTAAGTGACGGAATCAGAGGCTAAACAGATTTTTTCACAGCAAACAAAGTAAGGTGAAGTTTGCAAAGTAACTAGGAAGTAGATCTATGCAAACATCCCTGTGGTAAGCAAACACACACATGTCTGGGAGCGAAGGAGCCGGATCTCCCTCTGGTTCCCACCGATCAATCTCAACACTTTCTCATTTTACTATACAGTAGCTCACAGAATAAATTAGCATTAATGGAAGTGTTGGATAATCACAGTATGGATAATGTAGATAACCATATACGCTAAAAGTAGGTCTGCAAGTATCAAAACACACACTTCAAGAATGAGACAAGACAAAACGTTCCTGGACGCAAGTATGAGGTGACAATAACATCACAATGTTGAAATCCTCTTCTGTTTTTTTATTGAAAATTAGCACAGTAAAGTTACTATTATATACTTAAGTTCCACCCACTACTGTTTAATGGCACTGGTACATTCTGGAGACATCAAAACTGTCATAAAACAAAAATTGATTAGACTAAAAACTCCTGGGGCTTCCCAAATCTTTCTTAGCTCTTCATCTTCATACAGGGAAAGTGTGATGCCCCCAGCACCGAGCCAGGGATGGGAGGGGTGTAGAGTCGGAGAGTGTTTGGGCCTGTATCTTGGCTGAGTGTGTGTGTGTGTTGTGTCGCGCTACAGTCTAGTCTACACAAATAATCTGTGTTGAATTGGTGCGGAGGGTTTCGAAGTCTTTTTTTATTAAGCGCAATATAAAAACCAGTGCAGCATTACTGTTACAATTATTATAAGATAAGATAAGAGAATAGATTCTTTATTTGTCCTACAGTGGAGAAATTGCTATTAATATTGATATACTGTATATTATTGCTTTACCATTCTCTCCTCCAAAAATAACAGTTTTTCCGTTTTTGGGGGGTATACTGTGCTTGAAATAACACGTTTTTGCTTGTCTCACAGGCAAAACATGTTTCACAACTTAAATACTATACTTAAATCAGGATAAAACTAGTTGATTCATTCACAAGCTTACAGTTGACCATTGTTAGCCATGTGACCTGCTCTCTCTTACCGTGACTGTTGCTTTGCTGCTGGCCCTGCTTCCCTGACTTCAGCGTCCCCTTGGATGGACCCTGATGACCAGTGGAGCGAACGTCCAGGGCCAGGTCAAACGCAGGTCCCAGCCCCGGGTTTTGAGCCTTGTCTCCCACTTTCTTGCTCTTCCTCCCCTTGAGCCAGCCCAGAGCGCGGCCGAGGGAGCGGTGGTGCTGCTTGCGACCCTTCTTGCTGTGTTTCTCCTGAGCGAAGATATCCACCACGTCCTGCGGAAGGAGGTCCCCGTAGCCCAAAGAGTCCCGGTTCGACATGACGAGCTGCTGCTGGAGTTATGCCCTGAACAAAAGACAAGTGGAAAACTCAGAGGGCATCTATTTATGTTATTATATCACATGTCCATTATCACTAAACTGTAAAAACAGCACATCAAATTAGGCCTGTAACAATAAGAAAATATATTGATTATTGTAATAAATGATAACATAAAAATGACTTAATGCAGCTGATACGAATACAATAAAGCAGGATAATCCCAATAAAGCATTTTTTATTCTTCCATTTAATTAAAAAGTAATTGAAATAATAACAATATTGAACCACATACAGCTAAATACTGTAGACATAGAAAACATAGAAAATATCAATCTCTCCCCTTTTGCAAAGAAAACAAGCAGAAAATTAAAGCCGCAAGCGGCGTCGAACGGCCCTCGCCGCACCGCGCGACTCCCTGCACCGCGCGCACTCCCCGCACCACGCCGCCCTGCACCACGCCGTCCCGCACCACGCCGTCCCGCACCACGCCGTCCCGCACCACGCCGTCCCGCACCACGCCGTCCCGTACCAAGCCGCAACGCGCCGCTCCACAACGCCCCGCACTACGCCGCACCACACCGTACCACGCAGCACCGCTCAAAGGAGGTGGCGCCGCCGTGTGATGATTTGTTCCCGTAGTCATAGAAGATTGTTAGTCAAATTTGAATGAATATGATAAGTAGAGCTGGTTTGGCTCCCGATGTAAACTTTGGCTCAGTCTTTAGGGGGCGCTAATGGGCCAATTTCAAATATTTCACTTTCACCTGACCTAAACCCTGGAGTTGAACAATGGATTCAAGTTTAATGCAAATCAGACTTTGTTTGTGCAAACGGGAAAAAATTAATGTTGTCAAAAACGGCCAAAAAAACCCTCACATTTTGCCGCTTCGCTGCTCAAACAACGTTTCACTGATCAAAATTCCCTGAAGTCATTTTGAAGGTAAATGTGTTGAGATGATTTGGAACAATTTTGAGGCCAATCGGTGAAACGGCCGAGGAGGAGTCGCTTTCCAACCGACATGTATGAAAATGATTATTTTTCATTTTTCCATTTTGCAGTGAAATTTATGGGCTTTCTGTTTGTCAGAGGGCTTAGCCATAATAAAACAAGTTCAATGTCTTGACTTGAGGAACATGTGTTCCAAATTACATGGTTCTATGACAATTTTGACCTCGAACCCCTCCCATAGGCATTTTTAAATCGGCTGTTGTAGGTGGCGCTATAGAGCCAATTTCAAAATTTTAACTTTCAAATGACCTAGACCCAAGAGTTGAACCATGGATTTAAGTTTTGTGCAAATCAGACTTTGTTTGTCCAAACGGAAGCCATTTTTCTATTGTCAAAAACTGAAAAAAAATACGCCACTATTTGCCGCTCCGCTGCTCAAACAACGTTTCACTGATCATAAATCCCTGAGGTCATTTTGACGGTACATGTGTTGAGATGATGTGGAGCGATTTTGAGGCGAATAGGTGAAACGGCCGAGGCTAGTTTGATGTTTGTGTGAGGTGTACATTTGCAATGAATCTGGAGCGTTTGTCGTCGCCACGGCAACAGGGTAAAAAATAAGCCTTGGACCCTATTGACTTTTTGAATCAAGAGTGCAAAACAGATTTATGTGCAAAATTTCAAACATTTTGAAAAAACTAAATTTGAAAATGCCCATCTAAAACTTTGAAATAGTCTGTAGGGGGCGCTAATGTGTCAATGTGAATCATTTAACTTTCAAATGACCTAGACCCTAAAGTTGAACAATGTATTAAAGTTTTGTGCAAATCAGACTTTGTTTGTGCAAACGGGAGCAAATTTAATGTTGTCAAAAACGGCCAAAAAAAGGTCACATTTTGCCGCTCCGCTGCTCAAACAATGTTTCACTGATCAAAAATCCCTGAGGTCATTTTGAAGGTACATGTGTTGAGATGATGTGGAGCGATTTTGAGGCGAATCGGTGAAACGGCCGAGGAGGAGTCGCTTTCCAACCGACATGTATGAAAACTTTTGCTGTTCATTTTTCCATTTTGCAGTGAAATTTATGGGCTTCCTGTTTGTCAGAGGGCGGAGCCATAATAATATTTTTTTCATGTCTTGACTCAAGGAACATGTGTACCAAATCTCATGTTTCTACGACAAACTTGACCTCCAAAAAGTCCCATAGGGGTATTATTTTGGCTGTTGTAGGTGGCGCTGTTCTGGCATTTTTTGAGTCCCATAAAAATAAACACCAAAATATCAAATTTTTCGCCAGGTCTGATTTTTGGGCCAAAATTAACAACTTTTCATGCATGTTCAGGGGGTCAAATTAAGGCTCAAAGTGCAGAAGAAAAAAGAAAGAAAGAAATAAATAAAAAAGGAATTTTTTTTTTAACGTCTCGAGCAAAAACAATATAGGTTTCAATGGCATGTGATACATCATTTTAAAGCTTTTGAGTTTACGCACGCAACTGTCACATTTTGGTGAGTGACGGGCGCTGACGCGTCCGTCACGCACCGCCACCATTTGTTTTCACCATTGTGAAAGCAATAGGCCCTTACCCCGTTCGGGGCTCGGGCCTAATGAATAAGCTATTATTTCATCCATCAGTTATTGAGCGACCAATTATCAACCAATTATCATGACATTCCCTGGTTCCATTACTGCAGACCGACAAATTAATGAGTAGTAATTAGGGTTGGGCATTGTAAGGGGGGAAAAAAATCATGTTTTTCCCCTTAAATTGATTTGTATTTGTTTTATTTTGTTTCATTAAAATGTTATATATACACACACTTGTGCACAGGCAGGGGGCACTAAACATTTAAAATTTAATTATATACACATCTCTGCTACTGTGTTGCCTAATTTACAAAACTTAATCCATCTAATTACAAAATTTTCAAACCTGATAGCATTTTTTAAACCTGTATAAAAAAGTTCTGAAGAAGGAGGTGGAGGAAAGATGCCTGTAGCAGGGGAGAGGTGTAGGGTCAGAGAGTGTTTTGGCCTGTGTGTTTTTAGCAGACTTTTTGGGCTTATTTTTTTCCATGTATTAATAATTAATAATCTAGAATATAATGAAATGTGGAACAGCCTAATTAGCAATTAGGGTTTTTCTCACATACGGTAGAGAAAAACGGTAGCCTCAATCCTATGTCAGCCTGCGGGGAAAACAAACTATTAATAGTCTTTATGCTTTTACTATGAGTGTTTTGCATGAAGAAACTGCATTTAGTGCAGGCTCTGCTAGACCAGAGCGAACAAAGATGGATTGTTCCAGCCTAACAGGTTTCAGGCCTCCAACTTTTTTTTTTCTAACTGTAGACAAACTATAAGACTTTGAGGATTTAAACCCATTCTTCTCTCATGCTTGTTGCTGTTGTGGAAATGTTTATGCATGCTCATAATGACAGGACAAGCAGTCGGAGCTATAAACACCGTTTGTATGCGTGTATTCTTTCCTCTGTCGTGCTCAGAGACTCAAGACGTAGCAGACCCCCTCCTGTGTCCAAAAGTAAACCTCTCAGTCCTGCAAAGAAAAGCACTGGCACCGCTCCCTTCATTCCACAACACGGAGTCATAATTCACAAAGCCGCACCCGTGGGCTCTCTCTCTCTCTCTCTCTCTCTCGCGCCCGCTCTTTCAGGCGGCCTCCATAGCAAAGTAGGAACAGACGCACAAACAGTTCAAGTGCAATTGATTCATCTCACACTGAAGCCGTGCTTTTCTAGTCAATGCACAATGTTAAATTTAAATTATCGCGGTGACATGTGGGCAAGTTGTTACAATTAAACAGCCTTTAAACACCTTGCAAAAAGAGGTCATCATAGGACTGTATCTAGGAGTCCACAATAGACATGCTTCAAGCCCATTCATTGACAGAAAAGGACTCAGAAACTTAAATTGCATTTCATTTTTATACAAATGTATATTTTCAACAATAATACATTCAAATTAGTCCCTGACTAATGACATTATGAGCAGTAAGATTTGCTGGAGGAGAATAAGTAAACCAATGACAAGGATCAAGGATGCTAATTTATTAATGAGAGAAGCTGCTGTTCAAATGTGCACGTGTCTTGTCTTAGTGTATGTGCATTTTTTGGGCATACATGTGTGCGTATAAAAAATATATATAAAAAATATATTGGATAAAAATATTGTTTGTATCCGGTTTCTTTCTTTTTGCCTTTTCTACAAAATATGTTGGAAATAAATGATAACAGTAGGACTGTTTTTAAGTCGATCCTTGGCTTTTACCAGCTGTGCACTTTATTAGATGCTGTGAAGTCTGCATCACAGGAGCAGAATAGATTATAGAAGTCCCAGCTTGCGAACAGACAGAATAAAGCCGAAAAATTTAGTGAAAGTGAGAAAAATCCCATTTCCAATAATTCACGCTTGTCACTGTGATCTGAGGTGACAGTTGTGATCGATGGCGAATGGCAGATTTATTATTCTCTTATTTTCTTTTTTAAAACATTTTTCAAAAGGCAAGCCAGAATGATTTTCAAATAGACAGGGGTTTGATCCCATTCCCCAGCCAGTAGGATATGTTTAGCCGTTATTACATAATGTCTTGATGGGAACGGGGTATTTTTCAAGAAGAGGAAGTATTTAAAATCCTGGATACCAAAACTGTTGTGTCCTTAGGCAAGACACTTAACCCACATTGCAGAGTATGAGTCTGGAGTGAGTGAAGGATTAGTGGTGGTCGGTGGGGCAGATGGAAGTCGTTGCCTTCTTTCAGTCAGTGTCAAGGTCCAGGTCCGAGTCACCACTGTGCAGTGCCCACAGGGTTGCCAGTCTGTAACCCTAACCCTAACCCAGGGCAGCTGTGGCTACAAGAGTACGGAATGATTTAATGATAGCATCTTTGGGTGACATGAAAAGCGCGATATAAGTAGTATGCATTCATTTAGCCAGTATATTGTATGTGGAAGGTTTAATGTGCTTTTGCATAAACAAACGAAGTATTTATGCATACATACTTTTTATATTAAGGAGGCATTCTGAAACTTGGGTTGAAAAAGAAGTGCACTAAATTATAAAGAAGGCAGGGTACTGTAGAGCATATTATATGCATTATTTGAACAGTTACTAAAATAGATTATTTTCCTTTTGTGTTAAAATGTCATGGTACCATTTCGGCCGGATGGGAAGAGGTTAAGGTCGATGGTTGATATTTCAACAACTTCAAATATCTTCATATTACAAATACGAGCAGATTTTTTAGTTTTACCTCAGTATAGCTTCACATCAAACAAACCCAAATACACTATTTTAATTTGTGTTCTGAATAAGTTGGAGTTTCAGTACAATAGCCTTTGACACCACTGTAACTTAAAAAATGTCTCACAAAAGCAGCATGAATTTAAATGGAGAACATTATGATTGTGGGATGACTCATACCACATATATTACACACCTGCCAGCAAGTTTTATTCAAAAAAGATTAGAAGAAGTATATGGTGTTTGTACCTTTATTTTGACCTTCATACTTCAAAACTTCAGAACTTCAAAATATTTTCGCACAGCAGTATGAGCAGTACCACCTACTTTATAGAATGATTGAAGTTTATTTTGACTTCACAAGAAAGGGAGGTTTCCCCATAGCTCACGTCAAAAATATGTGCGAGGGGCAAGTTTATCAGGTACCACACAATGCCTGTTTGGTTTACATAGGCTGCAGGTTGTAAAGCACTTGAGACGGCCCTAATGCAGGACATGTTGACATGAAGTTGAACTTTTATAGGGAGTATGTTTTAGTGAAAGGAAACCAGACGAGAGCATCCATCTTCTGCTCAGGGAAGCACTCGCCTCTCCCTGGGCTAAGTGCTGTTTCTCCTGCTCTAAATTACAGTCATTTGAACATGAGTAAGACCCATGCATGTGCTCTGGCCACAAGCACCACTAATCAGACGCCTCTGGAGCAGGGGGCTGGGCTTTGCATGGCCCAGTCAGACACACCAGACCACCCACTATACTGTCACACAGAGGAGACCCATAACAACATCGCCATGGATACGCCAAACCTTTCATTTCAGCTTAAGACAAACAAAAGTAATGGATATATGACGCATAAAGCCAAACTTGTCTCAATGAATCTTTTGATCTTTGAGCTCAGCTGGAATGTCTCACTTTACTTTGAAAAACACAGGAGGAATACAAATGGTCAATGTTACACCATAAAGGCTTTTAGGGGGAGAGGATGATGTACTGGCAACATTTAGATCCATTGAGTATCAAGTGTGGTCAAAACAATGGATAATACTTTTATGCATTTTCAACACAAGTTTAATTTCCAATTACATACAGTGATCATTCATGAGTGGAGCTAATACTGGAAACCCGAACCCGACCTGGACTGTGTCACTCTCCTGCCTACAGGCTGTGACATTATGTGTGAGTGTATGTATGTTTGTATTTTTTATTTTATTCCTTTTCTGTACTGAACCTTTGAGTGTATGTTTGTGCGTGTCACATCTGTAAAAATATACAGTTGTGAATATATATATATATATATATATATATATATATATATAAAATTTTATTTTTTTTATGTATTAATTTATATTTTTTTTCAGAATGTAGATTTTTCAAGACAACTTTCAGCAAGTAGGTTCAAACAGTTCCCGGGGCAATTTATAATGCATCTTAAAGTATTATACATGATTAAATATGAATATATAATAGCGGTAATACTAATAGTAGTAATATATTGAGAAGAGTAGTACGAGTTGTTTTCGTTTTGCTCAGTGCAGATCTCCTCACATCCTCTGAAACGCTTCAAACCAACCACTTACAGAGCCGACATTGTGATTACAAGGCACTTTTATTTGTCTCTGCAATTACTTAATCCCGCTAACCGCCCCTCCCATCAACTCAAAACAGAAACAATGAAGTCAGAAAGACGCATGGCATAAACAGTGTTGAATGAGTTCTGGGTAATGTTGATAGAACACTTAGAAGCATCATTCACACAAAAGAATTACATCCACAAGCTTTGATTCTTGGGCTCGTGTCGCAGCTTTAGATTAGAGACGGAAACGTGAAAAGCAAATGACCATCCCTGCTCAGCCCAAAGAGTCCGGTCTCAGCTAAGTAAGAGGTAAAATCTTTTCTAATAAGATGAAGTTAGCATGCTGTGGTCTGATTATAAAGACTTTTTCTTTAGCAATAAAAAAAAAAATGTGTAGCTCCAATATTAATAATTAATAATGCATTATTATTATTATGATTGTAAACCCTGAGTTTAATATTCACTAGTTCAGTTTATACATTTCTTCGTCCATAAAAAATCCAAATTGTGACTATTATTTATACAGACGGAAAGGCTGAAGTGTACCACTTTTTTGCCTAACCTCAAAACTGAAATCAAAATTTAGTAGCACAGATGTAGAACATCCAAAATATATAATATTTCAATTAATTGAAATCTGAACTTAAATACCAAAACAACAGAATTAAATAGAACTCTTCTACCACTAGATGGCGGTGTTTCACTACTCACGATCCCTTCTTTATCCATTATACATATTTATTCATAATTTTCTACTCAAAAAGGGGCATTCTGTCAGAGTCCAGGTGGCGGCCTGCTTCTGGGTACACCTATAGTATGTTGTCATTTTTCCTGGATATTTCTAAACGTTGCTTTTACATTGAAAACAAGCATGTGACTAACAGTTATATCTAACTGTTAGTCTATATCTATATCTGTTCATTACAGTTAGAACTGTAATGAACAATTACTATGGTATTTATAAGGTATATACTTATAGTATAGTACATAGTATATACTTACTATGGTATATATAGATATCCATCCATCCATCCATCCATTTTCTTCCCCTTAATCCATTTCTGGGTAGGGGGGGTGGCAGTCAGAGCTGCACCCAGTACACTTAGCACCAGCCCCTCACTGATCCTCCTGCAGGTGGTGAGTCCACAGGAGCTGAGATCTTTCAGTTGGGGCTTTGGGCAAAGTAGGGTTAAGTGTCTTGCCCAAGGACACAACGACAGCAGTCATCAGTGGGAGTCATGAAGTAGGTCTTATGGTGGGCTTAAACCCACGACCTTCAGGCCCAAAGGCCAATGCTCTACCAACTGAGCTACTGTCGTATATATATATCTATATATATATTTCACCAAAAATAAAGCCCAAGTAATACCCCTGGAGAACATCTCCATGGCAGTAACTTGTTACACATTGGGTGGTTTGATTGAAAATACTTAATAAACCCAACTTTATTTAATTCTAGAGTCACAAGCTCTTCTCATTATGTTTAAGTCTGTGTAAGTTTCAAATACTAAATTAGTATTATGAATTCGTTGTGATCCTACATCTATGGACAGGTTTTGGTGTCTAAGCATTAAAATGATTCATAAATAGGAATACTAATGTTTTAAACCAAACAGAGCGATATCTCATACAAACCAAAAACACTTCACAAAAAGCAGGTCACCACCAGGAGAGTTGAGGAATGCACCTTTCAAAAAACAAAAAGTTTTCCATTCTATAACATGAACAAACGAACATGTTTTGAATGTTACTTTAACACGTGTACGTCCTCATTGATTATTTTCTTTTACTCTGATGTGGTTGCACTAACAGTCAGCCGTGCGACGTGTTCCAACAGGCTGTTTACTTATCCTTGACAAAAGATGTCAAAAGCCTTCACATTGGACAGGTCAGACCTCGCCACCGAGTCAATAACTGCGGGAGTAAACCATTATATAAAAGTGGCCGGTCGTTGCATGTCTTTATATCAGACTGGGCGGCTATAGTTTACACAGAACAATAATTATGTACAACTCAAAATTCTGTCGGAGGAAAAAGCAAAAGTATAATTTGGCTCTTTTTCTCTGGGGCACTGAAAGAGCTGGGGCCAGGAGTCTGGCCTGAAGACAGTGAGCCAGGTTCAAATCAAACAGACTTGTAGAAGTATTGAAATCATTCTCTCACTTAAACAAATGTATAAAATAGTAGTATGTAAAATGCACTTTAGTAAAAATAATAGACATTTAAGTATGATCTTTGAAAAACTTTATTTTTTCTTTATTTTATTTCAACAATATTAGCTTGTATACATGTTTTTAACTGGCAGGTAGAACTGCCGAAAAGTGTGTGACCTTAGAAGTATGGCTATCTACCAATTGATTAGTAATGATAGAAGCATGGCCAATCACAACACATTACAGCTAACTTAGAAGCATGGTGACCCACAATGGTTCAGTAGAAGCATGGCTAACCACTTCATATCTATTGTTTGTGTCGCAATCTGAATCTGACTAGTCACTAAAACAGAGAAGAAGACACATATTTGGGTTCAAAAGTGAGGAAAAAAGGTCAAAGATATGCAGAATAAGTTTAAGTAGTAAAAGGAAAGTACAGATACCAGAAATCTGTAATTAAAGCGGGATAAAATGGCGTTATTCTCTTGATTTAGCAGTGAATTTATCTTTTGGGGAAAAGGGGAAAATCTTGATACATTTTACAACAAAGCAGCACAGAAAGGCTACATCTGGAGACTGTGCGGCAACACTTCAAACGCTTCTAAACGCAGTCAGTAATTATCTTTTCAGAGCGTGGACAATGTTGCAGGTGTGATGTGCAGGAAGTGTGTCAGGGGCTGAAAAGTTCTGTTTGAGCGAGGACTGGTTCACTTTTACCATGAGGTCATTGATACCAAAATCCATTTCAAGTCAGAATGATTAACTTTCCTTCGGTGATTGTCTGGAGTTTGTCAGAAAGAGAGACAGAGAGGTACTTGATTTGAAAAAAAACGACGCAAGCTCCCTCCCCCTTCCTTTCTGATTCGTCTACACCTATGTTTCCGTAACACATTTAAATGTTAATCAGAGAACACATTATACATATACATTATTAATACACATGCACGGAGGTTTTCAGAATTATTTGTTAACGTTTTCATGAAAAAAATAATGTTTTAATGCACAAAAAAAGCGATCGCAGCAAACCAAGGAGTATTAATTGCACATTATAGGACACATGTGCAGAGGATCTGATTATGGGTATAGGTTCAGAATATAAATGATAATGGATATAGGTTCAGTATATACATAGGTAACTCAGCGCGGATGTTCAGAATTCTTTGTTCAGTTTTCATGTAGTTTCAGAGCCTAATGGAGGCTTGATTCGGAGGCTCCGCGAAAACAAACAACTGAGCATGCGCGCAGCTATGAGCATCAGCGCCGATGATTGATAGCATTCAACATTTAAGGCCAGTAGGTCAATTTAATACAATTCTTAAAATTTGTAATTTATTTAGAGTTACATACTATCACTTTAAGTTAGGTTCCCAAACTTTAAATCTCAAACCTAACTATTAAACCACAAAAAATGCAACTATATGCCAGGGTTGGGGTTATATTGTAGACTAAAAACTTACATAAACACTGTTGAGCTTAAAACTGCAACGAAGCAAAGAGCTACAAAAAAATGTACTGATTGGCTGCAAGCATGTGTCTGGGCGTTGGCGTCTTATTGAGGCATTATCAAACAAAGGTGAGCCCTGCATGTCAAGAACAGACTTAAATAACCTTGTCTGGGCTCGACCTGCACTGCACAAGCTGCAAACGGCTGGACTCGGAAATGGACGGATAAAGAAGCAAGAGAGGATTCTAAGGCAAAAAAAAGCAAAATGTCCAAAGAGTGGGAGTGTTCACATTCCTTAGACAAATTAATACCTAAAAAACATGAAACTATCTTATATTTTTTATTTATTAATTTATCTGTGTATATATTCATACACATGTGACACCTGAGGAGGCTAAATGGGTGCTGAGGCTGAAGTCTATTGTATATTATATATCTCATGGCTCCAGTGACCTAAAAGGACAGTTTGAACAAGTGAGTCTTTAGTTTACTCCTAAATGAAGCACACGTAATGTCATTGGCTATTCCATTCACAGGGAGCGTTTTGAGAGAGAGCGACAGCGAGAAGGTCATAGCCCGAGGATGTGAGACTGTGCACAGGTCCATCCATCCATCCATTTTCTTCCCCTTAATCCATTTCTGGGTCGGGGGGGTGGCAGTCAGAGCTGCACCCAGTACACTTAGCACCAGCCCCTCACTGGTCCTCCTGCAGGTGGTGAGTCCACAGGAGCTGAGATCTTTCAGTGGGAGCTTCAGGCAAAGTGGGGTTAAGTGTCTTGCCCAAGGACACAACGACAGCAGTCATCAGTGGGAGTCATGAAGTAGGTCTTATGGTGGGCTTGAACCCACGACCTTCAGGCCCAAAGGCCAATGCTCTACCAACTGAGCTACTGTCGCCCCACTGTGCACAGGTTCAGAGGGTAAATCAGGAATTTACAGAGGCGGTGATCGTGAAGGACCTCACAACCTATAGACGACCAACATGTACCTTCTTTAAGAATCCCCCATTATTTCAGTATTACATTTATAATAAACATATTGTAATTTTTTAGGCGTTTTTTTACATCATTATCATGCTCTATTGAAGATTGGGTAAAAATATTGTCTTTGGCCTTTGAAGGCAGAGCTCTGAGTGTATTTGTCCATACAACTTATTTTAAAATGATGTTCATTTTTAAAACACCAATGTTTGACCACCTGACCCAGTTCTATGACGTCAACTAAGTAATTGTATTTTTAAGAAACAAAATAGTGGGTCCCGTTGGCATAACCACTACCAGTAACAATTGCAGGAAAAGACGGATTTGAAGAGTGAGCACGGCATTTGCATTCGATAAGGCCCCGTCTTTCCAAAATGTTTAAAGTAAGTGACATAGGCTTTAACAAGTGTAATCTGGATATGATAAATGTATATGCAAACAGCGCCAAACACAAAAGGAAACACACTAAATCGAGTTAAAGGCGCACCAAACTAACTTCAACAGCCGCACCTGCCCCACTGTGGCACGGGATGTTCCTAGAGCTCTCCCATCACAGTACAAACCAAGCCCTGCCCTGCTTAGCGTTATAGGTCTGACAGGATCTGGCTTTCACATACTGTCGGCACCATAACTATAAGATCCATGCTTAGAAAATCTATAACAAACACATTGTGGTTCCTTTTTTTGTAGCAAAGTGGAAAGAGTTTAGGGAAAAAAGCCTGTGACATAAACAAACAATCACAAAAACCCGAGAATAACGACCATGACTCCACTTGGAACAACAGAACCGTCTGGAGCCTGTTCCTCACATGTATCCGCGGCCCCTGTGCGCTGGTGCAGCAGGGGCCACTGTAGCCATGCAGCAGCTTGTCTGCTCAGAGCGCCGGCTGCATTCCTGAGAGATTGATAATTACCGACCGAGGAACTCTTCTCTCCAAATTTTGCTTTCACCCCTTTCCAGCTCTCCGCCCCTTCTCAGCCCTCCTCCTGCCCACCTCCGCTGCCCCATCCCCAGTACAGTGGCCCAGGACAAGGTCACGAATAATGGCAAACACATGAGAGATTTTTGAAGATTCAATATAAAAAAGACCCTGTGTGCAATGACTGCCACTATTGTTCTGGGAGAATTTGGGTAAAGTCGTCGCTATCGTTTTGAGCTGTGAGGAAAGAGCACATGGTTTGGGTTTCTCAATGTTTGGAGAGCAATGTACATATTTGCTCTCCGAGATCCATTTTGTGAGAATGGAGCCAAAACGAATCTGTGCCCGACGTTTTGGCTAAAAGTGTACAACAACATTTTAAAGTATGATTAATGCACCTACACATTAAGTTGTATACAAAACAAACTAGACTATATAGAACATTCATTTCAGTTTTCTATTAAAGAGACCTACAGTCGTCAATCCATTCTCAACATACAACTATATTTACGCACTTGTGTGGTAACATTGGCTGTTTGTTAAGTACCAATCATACCTGTTTGACACAATGCCCTATTATCGGTATGGCCACCTGCAGCGTGAAAGCCTACTGAGGTTAAGTGTCAGAAACTAAGCAGGACAGGGTCAGGTGTTAGTATCGTGATGTGAGACCTCTGCACTGCACAAAATTATCAAATACAAAACATTGGTTCAAGCTAAGATCATGTTGTGTTTATTAAAAATTGATTTGGTTAAACGGTCAAAATGTACTCAAAAGAAGATGCATTTTTCTTGAATCAGGTAAGTTTTGTTTGTTTTTTTGCAGAATGGGAACACATGGGGCGACAGTGGCTGTAAAGTAACAAAACTGTTGTTGGGTCCTAGAAGGATGTCAAAAGTATCAACTTAAACACACAATTTAACTGTTTTTTACTGCTTTATTGTCCAAAATGATAGAATAGAGATAGACAGAATAAGTCTTACTATTAAAATCAAGTTTGAAGTGTAGTTTTGAGACAACACTAGCCCTGAGGCAAGACCCAGTATAGGTGTGTGTGTGTGTGTGTGTGTGTGTGTGTGTGTGTGTGTGTGTGTGTGTGTATGGTTGATGAAATGGCAATGGCTCATATTGGCTGCCTCCTTCTTGTCAGTATACCCCAAGGCAGCTGTGGCTACTATACGAGTTTTCCACCATATAGTGTACAGAGCGACTAAATAACGCTGTGAAACGTCCCAAAAAGCACTGTATAAAACCAAAGCAGTATTAATCAATCTACAGGAAGATAGATTTCCAAAATAGTGTCTTTGTTCCCGTATTTCTCCCACTTTGGGGCTCCACATGTAGTACAATAAAACCAGTGCCAGTGAAAAGCTTATGAATGGAGAGCAAATTGTCCAAACTTTCTTTTTTTAATTCACAAATTTGGGCTACTTTTGTTCCTTTTTTCCCATAGCAGTAAAGAGTGTAATTTCAGTATCCACATGCGGTTGCCAGCAGACACACGGGCGAAATCTCTGCTCAGTGTGGTGTTTGCTTTTCCTGGTGAGGTTACAGAGGGTCTCCCGTCTGGACCGAGGCAGCATTGTAGGAGCTCAAATGCCCGGGATAGCTCACTAGGTCAGAAACACGTCAGAAAGAAAACACTATTGTGAGGATTTCATGGGAGCTGGACACAAAAGTTTAAAAATACTGAACAGAAGGGGGGAAAAAACTATAAATACATGTAGAATATAGGCCTGTCTGGATCATATCTATATTGACTGATTGTTCAATAAATCACGGCTGGAACAGTATATTATCGGGGTCAAAAGGCCTAAACAATACAATGCAAATCTGTAATTGTAATAAGGAAAGTTTTCAAATGGATTAAAGTTAAAAACCAAATCGTTCCAATACAAGTCTTCCTGCTTCTTTCTCTCATCTCTAACAACAGTGGCTCAGATAGGAGAAATATCAAAAGAATACAAAAACAAATAACATTTAGAAAAGGTTTGTTTGTATACATTATTTACTTGGTTTCAAAACTAGGGTCATACTTCTGCACTTCACTCAGGTCCATTTGCCTTCTGTGCAATACTGGATTTGTTTTAAATACGTTCACTTACATTCTTTAAAACAATAACTTTTATAAATTTTGATCAATCAGTATATTACAACATATTGAAACTAGGGATGTCACGATATAACATTTCAGAGTTACGAATATTGAGAGACAAGTAATACAAGTCTGTTGATAGGAACATATCAAATCTAAATGTATTCTAGAAATAAGACGACACCTACTTATTCTGTAGTAAAATACTCAAAAAAACAAAACAAAAAATAGAAAAACTTTCAAACATAGAAGTGTAAAGAGGACCACCCTCACTCAGCCAATCAGCTCTCACTATGCAAAAGATGATATGTTTTCTGATAAATAAGATGGTGTGTTGATCTGATTTGTTAAAAATATATTGCCTAAAAAGGTTCTTTCTGTTGGGACAAACATACAGGATTTATGAGACAAAGTAAAGTTAGTAAGTTCTCCAGCTTTATATGTTTTTTTTTTCCTGACTAATAAAAAAAAACATCACTGCGAATTTAAAGGAGGGATGAACCGATCTATGTGCGATTCCAATCAATGGCTTTCAAAATCTTCCGATATCTGATATGAACCATTACCAGAAGAGGCCCCAGGGAGAAAAAAACATGCAAATCACATCTAAAATGTCCAATTGTGCTTTTAAACTATCATCCTGCAAGTAAATACAGAAGTGTGGGAGTCAACAGAGGTCTTCCACCACTCCTTGTTTGACGGATCCTCAGATGAACTCTATGAGATTTGGATATGGCACAAGTTTCCAAAAACACTCTACTCTTTGATCATTCCAGCGGCTATTACTCAAACTTTCCCAGCCGGGGTGATAAGGATGTTGTGACGTAGTTTTAGCATCTTTTTGATTAACAATCACTCAACACAACAACACACAGGGGTTTCCTCACATTGTGCCACTCCAAATCACTCACTCAACTTTCTCACACTTCATCAGTCAAGCATATAGTTGCAACATGTCATTAGATCACACAGATTTCGCAATTGTCCCTCAGGCAAAAATTAAAGTATGCTCCCACCAGATCGGATCTAAATCAGGACTGTGCTGGTGTTATAGGGGCACAAAAACCCACCATTTATACCTGGAGTCATCTGCCCCATCATGATCTCAGTGGGTAATTCTGTCTGCGCCGTTGCTTACATAACACCAAGCATCTCCAAGGGTAACGAGCCCTGGCAAAGAAGACTTAAGAAGCACCAGTAAGACGGCACACCCTTACTAAACAAATGGCTTCTTCAATTGCAGAGGTGTAACGGCCTTAAACAGCATTGGGAGAAAAGGTTTGGATTTTGAGAGTGCAAGTGCAAAGTTCAGCATAGGCAAACAGACCATGAAGGCAAATCTACGCCCCTCACTATAAGTTGATTTAATAAAATGTATTTATCAGACATGCATGTTAGTAGATGCTGTCAAGGAATCAGGTTCGTATGTCAATGACAGAAAGCACAATAGTCTTCATTGTCATAAAGCAGAAAGAAGGACTATAAGGTCTTATATTACCTGTGCTTAGATCCCTCAAGGCCATGCTCAGCAAATCTCCCACACCTAATTTTTTCCATGCCATAACGAGCAATTTATGAAATTATAAGACAACTTATTACTTTTGTTTCTATATTCTTTATTTATTTAAATGTGTTACATATAAAGTACATATCAAATAACAACTATCTATATAAATCAACACTTACATTTCTATACAAGCATTTAATAGATTCTTGTTAATATAAAAAAAAAAATTAGGTTATGAATAGCCTGTGTAGATAAATACCCATCTTGGTTCGATTTCTGAATAATAAAGTATAGTGGTTACATTATTAAACACGTTCAAGATGTGTCGTATGACGATGTTTTAACAAAAAAAGCAGAAGTTGTTTTACCTCTTTTGTGAATCCTGGTCCAAATGGCTCGTCTTAGCCCCTGTCCATCTGATTGTCCCGTATCTCCAAACTTTTCACGGTGCAAACTTGTTCAGGTGAAGCATTTCCGTGGAGAGCGCAGCGATAGAGCTTCCGTGTGGAGACTACATTCATGAAGGGAGAGACGTGAGTGGAGCACAGACGTCTTTCGCTTTCCTTGTTTTGAGCGCGGATCTGGAGGGGGAACTTCAGCACTACAACAAGTACTGCTACTGCTGCGACAGGACTGCTGCTTCTGCTGCTGCTGCTGCTGCTGAGAGGGTCCCACCTGGAGGAGGACAGCTGCGCCAGGTGACAGCACACGCTCAGGCTGCTGGCGACATCTAGTGGCGAAACTGCGGAAGTGCAATTATTATAGAGAAGTCAATCATAGGGCGAAAAAATAAATAAATTGACTACAAACCGAGGGCCTAACATATAAATATGATACATATGACCTATTGGGTTAGGGTTAGATATCAGAGCCCAAGATATAGCACTTTTTTTATTTATTTATTCTTATTTTTTTATTATCTCTTTCTGACTGTTGCACTGAGCCAAAGCAATTTCCAAGTCTGTGACTTCCTGCTCAGTTGGTAGAACACTGGCTTTTGAGCCAGAGGGTCGTGGGTTCGAGCCCGACCTTCTCCATCGATTCCCACTGTCTGCTGTTGTTGTGTCCTTGGCAAGACATTTAACCTCTGGGAACACCAGCCACAGTGAGGCGGCTGCGGCTGTAAAGTGCCAAACTGCCGTTGTGTCCTTAGGCAAGACACTTCACCCCCATTGCCTAGAATGAGTCTGGTGTGTGTTTGTGAGAATGATTGGTGGTGGTCGGAGGGGCCGATGGCACGTACTGGTTGCCTCGCTTCTGTCAGTGTGCCCCAGTGTATAAAACCGATGCATTTTTTTTATGATTAAATGAATATTCCAATATTTTTGTATGGCTCCATCTGTAATTTCAAGTGAATTTTTTTTTCAACACGCTCACAGTCAAAAACAAACTTCCTTCAAAGAGAAAATACATGTCCTGAACATGAAGGCAAGGCAAGGCAAGTTTATTTGTATGGCACAATTCATACACAGGGCAACTCAAATGTACAACAAAAGTAAGAAAGCATTAAAATCATAAATAATCACAGAACATTAAAAAGAAAGATAAAAATATAAAATCCCTCAGTTGTATGCACAGCTAAACAGAACTGTTTTTAACCTGGTTTTAAACATTGTCAGAGAGGAGGCCTGTCTCACATCTTCAGAAAGATTGTTCCAGTTTTCAGCAGCATGAATCTGAAAAGCAGCCTTCCCATGTTTAGTTCTGACTCTGGGCACTAACAGGAGTCCAGTCCCTGTGTCCTCAGAGTCCGGGCTAGTTCATATGGGACTAACATGTCACGAATATATTTTGGTGCGAGGCCATGGAGAGACTTGTACACAAGCAGAGCTGTTTTAAAGTCTATCCTCATGAGCCACAGGAAGCCAGTGCAGAGACCTGAGGACTGGACTAATATGGTCGTACTTCCTGGTTCTAGTCAGGACTCGAGCTGCTGCATTTTGAATGTACTGCAGCTGTTTTACAGCCTGTTTGGACAGACCTGTGAGCAGGCCATTGCAGTAGTCTAACCTACTGGAGACAAATGCATGGATAAGAATCTCCAAGTCTGCTTTAGACACTATGTTTTTGATCCTGGCAATGTTTTTTAGATGGTAAAAAGCTGCTGATGTTACTGATTTGATGTGGCTATTAAAATTTAAGTCTGAGTCCAGTATTACCCCTAGATTTCTGACCTTGTTTGAAGGTTTTAGGGAGAGAGACTGGAGGTGACAGATAATGAATGATAGATGAAATGAATAATCCAATATTTTCTCATGGTTCTGTGTGGGCAGTTTCTAATATTAATTAAATATCATCCCGGGGGCCAAGAAAAATCATTCTCAGGTCGGATCTGGCCCCTGGCCCGTGAAATTGACACAGATGGTTTATTGTTTATTATTTATTAGGGATTAGCTTATTAAATTTTTTACCTGTGTGGACTGATTTTAAACAAATCAGTCCACACGGGCTGTCTTTAACTTATGATAAAACATAAAGAACGAGGAAGTTGTTGTGCTTATTTTAAGTAAGTAAGTAAGCTTTATTTATATACCGCCTTTCACAGACCAGAGTCACAAAGCGGTTTACAATTGTTATTTTTTTTTGGCATTTGTCTCTCACTCCACACAGAGATGGGAGCGGGGTCGCCGAACAGGAGGCGCAAGAACAATTATCAATAGTTCAAGACTAATCCCAAAATTAGGTATGATAAAACAAGAACTAAAGCACAATAAAGAGCCCTATATGTTCCATGACAAGAATATTTATTAGAAATATAAAAATGATAATAAGGTGAGAATATAGTTTTAGTTTGAATATATTTAAAATAATCATCACATAGAAAATGTTTTGGACAGAGTATTATGTGAGTAATTTATTTGACAAAGGGGATGCAAAGCTTGCCATGCAAAGCAGTCACACACCTGGATAGAGCACTAAAATAAAATAATGTAGAAAAACAAACCATGTCAACAAACTTTCACTTAGTGACAATGGCCAGACGTGTGTAGTTCTTGCTCTCACAACATTCAGTGCAGTAAACAGTTTTAAAGCAGTGTAAATATAGCCATGATGTGGAACAGCATGTAGGCCAGTCCAGTCCTGCTGACACAGTTCATGCTCCCATGGGGGGATATCAAAAATCATCCTCCAAATCCAGATATAGTGTTTCCCTAGAGCTTCCAGTGTTATTAATAACAAAGTGTGCCTCTGTTTTCTTCCGGACAGATCGTCTTCAAGCTGAGAAACTGGATTGCTTTGACATCGCAGGACTTAAGTAAGTTTTAACACTGTTTGTTGATAGTTTGCTAAAGAGAAACAGTAATTAGTTATTCAAAAGGATGGTCACCTAGGCTTCTATGTGTTTGTCTTCTCTTGCAGTTTGAACCATTATGGAGAATATAGAGGATGATTTACAAAATGGAAATAGTTTAAGTAATTTGAACCCGTATGAAGAATTCACATGCACTTCCCAAGAAGGAGCTTCTCGTCACATCTCAATCCAGACTGACTTGGACGAAGTGGGGGAGGCTTTTGAGCGATGCATAGATGAAGTGATTCTCCTGGAGAAGCACAGGGACCGGCTCATACAGGAGTTTTCTCAGCTCAAGGAGCCCATGCTGGACATGGTGCGGCACCTGAGAGGCCGACTGATGGAGGCACAGGATCTTCTCACTTTGGCTCAAATGAATTACATCTCTGTTTATGAGGACGTGCAGCAGCTCAAGAGGAAACTCTTCTCCACGACTAGAGAGAGTATCCAGAACCAGGTGACACTGGCCACGCGTCAGTTTGAAGTGGCCCAGTCTGATGTGACACAGGTAATGTGTGTTAATAATGTTACAGAAATATAAAGGGATTACAATACAGAAATAGACAATACCATGCGTATGGTTGTTATTGCTGTTTTCATTGCTTTTATACATTTATTTACCTTTCCCACTGTTATCAAGTCAGTACTTTTCAGATCAATACCAGTTTTTCCAGTGAGACTATAGCCATCAGTGACCATTGCATCTTTCAACAGGGGGAGCTTAAAGCTACTATTGAAAGTCTAAGAGAGGAAAAGTGTGAGCTTGAGAAAGCCCACAAACTGCGGATGTGTCATCTGCAGAGCCAGAAGGCCAAGCCCAGGTCCCGCACTATGAGTGACAGTGTGAGCCTGTGTCGCCAGGCCTCTCTGCGGCTGCAGCGCAGGCTGAGTGACAGTCTCAAGTCTATGGAGAGCTGGTATGAACCCCGACTTGTGGCTCTGCTCCGGAGAAGACAGCTGGGAGAAGAGGCTTTAAGAAGGACCAAAGAGCAGAGCGCAGACCTGAAGACTCAGCTGGGACCCCTCAGGGAGGATGTACGGATACTGGACACACAGAGGGCATCATTGGAGAAGAGGATGGTACTGATGGAGACTGAGAGGCAAAACAACGCCAAAAACCAGAAGGTGCCAAAGTAGCCACTAATTAGTTATTTGTGAGGAATTTGTTTTGTGAACAAATTTAATTACAGGAACGAGTGGAAAAATTGAAGGGCACCTTAGATGTCCTTGAAGAAGAGTTTGAAACGCAAAGAAAATCCAAAAGCATTCTACAGGATATTAAGGAGGGCTTGTCAAGAGAACTCCTATTTCTCAGGTAGTTTAAGTCAACTGTATCTGATGGATAAACAATTGTTTATAACATGTGCATTTTTCAGGGGAAATGACGATGGAGCAGCTGATTCTCAAATACTTTCCAAATAATCAGGATTATAGACATTTTCTTGCCCTTTTAATCTACCTGCTGACCTAAATGGCAAGTTTAGAACTTAACAAATCTAAAGGGTGTTGACTGGCGCACATTTTCCATGACACAATTTTATACTTATTTTTCTGTATATCACGGCACTGACTGCTGCCATGGCCAGATCTTTTGCCAAAGGGGAATTTCAATGGAACCTTGTAAAAAGAGATCGAAGTGTTTGATTCTCTGATCTGTGATAGTGAATGGACAACTTTGCCAAGTCCTCAGTGATAACTACTGATGTGATTTAGGGCAATACAAAAATAATGCATGTAAAATATGCAATATTATTTCATATTTTATAATGTAACAAAAGCAGATATTGAATAAATTATTGTAAATACCTTTATTCTGAATACACAAAAACACTGTTCATACACAAATGTAAAGGAGACAAATAAAAAAGACTTTACTACTATGCCGGAAATTGTGATCAATGTGAAACCTAAAATATTTACATAGTTTCATAGTGCCATCAATGGAAGGGGCTTCAAATCAAGACCTTAAATATTTCAATCAAAGAGTCGATGTGGTTCTCATTCTTTCTGTTTTCTACAAAATCTCACGCTGCACAGACAAAAAGACTAAGAGTTGGACAAAGGCAAAGACCCCATTTACGCCTGAACCTCAGAGTCTGCGGCTCCTTCTGGGTCCTCATCATTGTAAATATTTTCAGCCTATATGAAGTAGAAACAGTTTGTCTTTAGATCATTGGTTTAAAAAAATAAATTAAAAAGAACAGAAATTGGGAGTAAATGTGGATCTTACCATCTGCCAAACTTGCATGATATTATCCTCGGAGACAGAACAGATGACCCACGGCTCGTTGGGGTTCCAGGAGAAGTCGGAGATCTTTGCTGTGTGGCCTCCATGAATAAACTGAAACCAAACAAGCGCAATAACAGAATACAAACCTACGACAAACATTGAGGACTAAAGAACACTGCTGACCTGGCCTCACATCATCTTGAACTAGTGTCAGAATGTGCAATATAAAGCCATGTGTGTCCACTGTTGCTCTGTGTCCCAGACCCTCATGCTGCTGACATGTACAGATGTTTACATACAGCTACATATTTCTTGCGCTAGATTAGTCATACTTGCTTCTTATTATGCCAAAGGTAGAGCTTTTACACTTCTTTATTATGCTAAAGAATAGAGTTTTTGTACTCATTATGCTTAAGATAGAGAATTTATACTTCTTATATTTATACATTTATTTTATTGTATTTAGTCACGAGTTATTGTTCATGTATCGTTATCGTGCTGTGTGCTACTCTTTCCTACTGTTTTGTAACTGGTGATGCAACACTGAAATTTCCCCACTGTAAGACAAATAAAAGGATCTGAATCTATTTGAAAGTTGGAACCAGATTAAGCTCAACAATACACACCAGCAGCTCCGGTGGACCATCCTCCGCGTCCTCTGGAGATTGCTCCTCTCCAATCTTACTGAGGTCCCACACATTCAGCCTTCTGTCTGTGCCACTAGAGGCCAGAATAGTCTCATTATGAGGAGACCATTGCACCTAAAGCAAAATATCACAACATATTTACAACCAACCATTGCAAAATGTATGAAAATCAAGAAAATAATTCTGGATACCTGGAAAATCTCATCTTTGTGAGACTCAAACGAATGCAGTTTCAGTTTGAGGTTCCTCAGGTCCCAAAGAGCCACAGTCTGCAACGATAAATATAAATACTCATTCTATGAAGACTAAATCAGTGTTTCTCCAACTGTGATAAGTACCACTGTGCCTACTTGAAGGCACACTGTATTCTGTCGCAAAATTATTTTGAAACATTCTAACAAAGATTATTCTTGACATTGCCTTCACCTTATCTGCTGAGCCGGTTGCCAATATAAACTCGCTGTATGGGTTGAAGGACAAGCAGTTGACCTCAGCAGTGTGAGCATCAACAGCATGACTGGGCTTCGAGGTGTTGTTGGATCTTGTGTCCCAGCTAAAGAAAAAAAGTATGCTAAATGATGCTTTCAAAAATAAAACATATCCAGTTAGATAATAATTACATCATGAGCTTCTGGTCATCTGCCACTGATCCAAAAAGGGACTCATGAAGAAGGTGCCAAGAAACATCTTCCACAACAGCAGTATGACCTGTGAAGATTGTTTTGGCATCCACAATCTTCCCCTCTTTAGGAACTGTGCTTATGTCCCAAAGGCAGATGGTCTGAATAAAGTGGTAAATGTTGAGTCGTCTCTTGAATATAAATTTGAGAAAAATATTTCAACTTACATGATCGTCTGAAGCACTGAGTAGGCAGCCACTGAGATTGGGATTCCAGGAGAGGCCATAGCCTTCTTTTTGGTGACCTCTGAGGCGCAAATCAGGAGTACATTCTCCAGAAGGATCTAAAGTCAAACAATTATCATGTTATAATTCAAATAATATATAATATTATCATAATAATAGATCCTGAAGTAGGGATGACCAAACCTCACCTGGCTTTGACGGATGCTTGGTGTAATCAAAAACAAGGACATCGCTGGTGGGAGTCTTTGTAGCAATGATGCATGGATTTTGAGGCATGTAGCGAGCTCTGTTCACTTCTCCTTCATGGTTTATCTTGATCTCAATTTCAATTTTCCCACTGACAGAACCAAAGCCTCCAAACTCTGAACAATGACAAAATGATGATCTATTGCCATTTTTTTTTTACATATGCATAGTTTGCTGCAGAGACATTACCTCCTTTTTCACTGTCATAATGAGAAGCATCAAACTGAGCATCGTCATTTGGAAGCTGAACACTGGCGATGACAAGGTGGTTCTGCTCATCTGATGTGTGAGTCCCCAGAACAAGCCTGTGTACACTATAATCTTTTCCTTCGGGTCTGAAGAGTAAAAAAAAAAAAAAACACACACACACAAATTACATTCAAAACGTAAATCAGTTGAATGCATTTTGAATTTACCTTGTAACATCTGGCAACCACTGGGCTGTGAGACTAGGCCACTCCAGGGCATGGGTCATGACCAAGTCATAGAGAAAGGGTGTGTTTTTCTTCCAAATTTTATATTCTTCATTTATAACTCTCTCCTCCACTGCATCATCAAAGGCAGCTACAGGAACAACAATAGTAGAGTCAGACATGGACAAAGACAACAAAGTTACAGACATTGAAGATTCATGGCATAGAATGAAATAAACCCATGGATCATAACAGAATGATCCATGATTTAGATTTAAGTGGTTATGCTCTATAAAAAGCATAACCACTTAAATCTAAGCATTGCACATTCTGGAAGGGGGAAAGGCTTCTGAAAATTACAATACAGTGGAATCCCTCAAAAATACAAACCAAATAAACTGTATTTTATGCAGATCCTAAATCATTGGGAGAGAAGAAGATTTAAACAGTATCACTCTGAACAGCATAACCCAGATCAACACCCAGCTCCACTCTGATAGCTGCTATTCAGCTAGCTCAGTTAGCCGGCTGGTGAGTTAACAATGAAAGGTGATGTTCCGCCGCGCCAACCACGAGAGCTGCAATTAACCCTCCAAACTCACGACAATAACGTGAACATCACTCATGTTTTATCTTAAAATTGAGTCCTACCATCTTTGTCCGCCATTGTGCCTCAGTAGAGCCGCAAGTGACCACAAAAGTGTGTTTTTATGAGAGCAGAGAACAGCGCGGAGGATTGTAATGGCGCCAACTCCATGCAACACAGCGGACCAATCAGAGCCTGCGCCGGAGCTGACCACACTTCCGGGTTGATCACGCTGGAGAGACGAGGCCTGGGCTGGAGTGTTGATATGCGCATTTTAAAGTTTTGCTTCATTATAATCGCTAGAAGACCTGAATTACAATGGACGACCGTGAACTGGACCTGACAGAACAACAAGTAGCTACCAAATCTAAATATCCACCTATCAACAAAAAATATGAATGTAAGTCTGACGTTATTACTTTTTTTACCGTGTATTTCTGTGGACTTCTTAAAAGCCAGCCATGGAAAGTGTATTTGTATAGCTCAGTTCATACATAAGGAAACTCAAGGTGCTTAACAAGATACAAACTATTATAAAAGACATTACAATGATATACATACAAGATACAAGCCTTCAGTTGTTTGCACAGCATAACAGAAATGTTTTAACCTGGATTTGAACACTGCTAGAGTAGAAGCCTGTCTCACACTTTTAGATGAACTGTTCCAAATGTTAGTGTAAATCTGAAGAGCTGCTTTCTCATATTTAGTCCTAACACTAGGCACCACTAACATGTCACGGATGTACTTTGGTGCGAGCCCTTATTTTCTTAAGATAAGATAAGCTTTATTTATCTCACATAGGAGAAATTTACATGTCACATTTGGCATGGATAGGACACTCAGATTGTGCAAAGGGAGGAAATGTGCAAACATGTTACATGCAGGATATATATGTACAAGAAGCCAGTGCAGAGACCTGAAAACGCTCAACATGATGGCTAAAATAGATTAAAATATAATCTTACCCTTTGATAATTTCAGACCTGGATCACACAGCGGATGTACAGTGAGTATGCATTTTTTCAAAACATTATTCCATTGTATGACTTCTTGCATTTAACTTTTTTTGAAGAATACATTCATGGGGAAACAATCTGGAGGAAGCCTTTGAGCAGTGTGTCATGGGCATGTTCGGGTACATGACAGACACTGAAACTGTGGAACCACTGGACACAGTAGACGTAGAGTCTCAAGGTAAATTTGTGCCTGTTCAGCACTGGCATAATGACAATTTATTTATGTGTGGTCTTTGTACAAGGTGATGACATGGAATCTTTGCTTTTCCACTTTTTGGATGACTGGTTGTATAAGTTTTGTGCAGATCTGTTTTTCATCCCCAGGGTTAGTTTGTCTTTCAATACTTAAAACACTTGACGTGTATTTTCAGATTTTAATATCATATTTTCATCATCAATATTTTTCTTTAGGAAGTCAAGGTACTGCACATTGACAGAGTGAACTTCAAAATTCGCTCCATAGGGTGAGGAAATGCAAAAATCGATTTCCTTGTTAGTAATATCTATTTGTGTCACCATGCTCATTTTCAAACGAAGTATTTGAAAATGGATTGTAAAGATGATTTATACAAAACAATTGATCTCTTGTCTTAATTCTTAATCTGGGGTTTTTGGATAACAGAATTATTGCACAATCAGATAGCAGGAGGATGCTCAGAATACCGCACTCTCACCAAAAGCGACTTTAGTGACAAACTCATATTAGTTGGGGTGTTGTCAGGGTTGCCAGTTGCCACACAGCGACACAGCTGTCATCTGTCTAATCTTTAGTGTTACCAGGTGAACAACCTCAAACTTGGTTAATAATTATTGTCCTAGTTCTATTATTGATAATCGATTAGTTGGCCAATTATTCTTTTGATTAATTGATTATTTATTGTAGTTATAGAAAGGTGATTTTTAATACATGTGTGTTGTTCCTGGAGGACATATTTGTACAGATGATTATTTGATTAAAAACACACAAAAAAACGTTATTATTTCAATAATTGTTTAGTCGTAATAAATTGATTAACTTACAACCCTACTTAGAACATTAGTAAAGCTAAATAACTTATTATTGGGTTAGACATCTGTAGGAACAAGAACCCCTAAATATCTGGCGGTCTCTCAAGACCTGAGCTGAACACTGTACCTCAAGTATGTTGACCAAAAGCTCCCACCACCACGCGTGTTAAAGAACTTCACATGTACCACTGAGAGCATCCTGAACGTCATTGTGTAGCTGTAAAGCTGTATTCAGCACGGCCGCCTGGCCTTCGGGTTGGATCTGCCTCAATATTTGCATCCAATGTTGCCACCGGAGAGCTCAGAAGATTGTTGAGAACTGCTACAATCTGGGAGGTGTTACCATCTCCTCAAAGTTACACATTTTCTATGAGAAGGAACTTCTACCCCAAAGCCATAAAACAGTTCTAACTCTGTGTAGATATCGGAATCAGAATCAGAATCATTTTTATTGCCACGTAAGTAACAGGAAGTCACAGACTTGGAAATTGGAAATATGAATGTTGTATTTTTACAGCAGACCCACAAGAATGTCACTGCATATTTTACAAGTATATGTATATGTGATTTGATGTTGATTCCTGGGGGACAGATGTACATGACAAAATTAAATGACTCTGTGTTTGTGTAGGTGGGGTGAAGAATTTTCTTTGGATAAGCATCCCCAGGTAAAGAACAATTTTACTCCAAATGTTAATTAGTTCAATTGATCTGACTGTTTTTGTCATTTCAGGGAACTGAGGTGAAAGCTATCACATATTCTGCGATGCAGATTCATGATACTGAAAAGCCAGAGATATTTGCCATCATTGATATTTGATATGATTGCTGGAAATCAAAGCTGTTTTGTTTTTTTTAGCGATATTGTCTATATATTATATTTATTGCTTTAAACTGCTTGGTACATATGATAGAACAGATTATCGAGTATTTTATACACGCAGAAATATCATGTTTTCGTTGAAAAATTAAATTTTGAAAAAACTAGGTTTTAAAAAAATGTTATTTTATATAATAATATTATTTGGAGGTATATAAATATCGCAATGCATTCAATGTATATGTATAATAACAATCTGTTTAAATAAATAAATGTATCGTACATTGTGTAGTTTTTTTTAAGATCTCGCGCATGGCTCTATAATAATAAGATCTCGCGTTGCTACGGTAGTGTCACGTGTCACGTGGCCTACTCTCTTCTTGAAGCTGCGCCATCTCTTCGCTCACATCTCTTTGTTCATTGAGCCCCGGAGAGAACCTACAGCCCGGATCCTGCGCAATCAAGCTGCAAGTTGGACTGTAGCTACACTCTTTAAAAGCATTCGTATCTACCTGGTCCGTTTGCTCCAACGAGCTCTGACCCAATTCTAATATTCTCCAAGAATGAACGACATGGCTAGCCCACAGAAGAAACTCAAAATGGATGACACCAAATACCTACCAGAGCTCCTTGCGGAAAAGGACAGCCTGGATTCTTCTTTCACACATGCGATGAAGCTAATCTCAGCAGGTAGCAGACTTGTAATATTCACTGCGTTACAGCGTTAGACAGAGGCTGATGTTAAACCTTTAGGCCGAGCGAGTTCCCTCCTTTCATGTCTTTTCTCGATATGGATAATGGCCTTCCACAACACGTGTTACATTTTTATTCAATCACATTGTTTGCGATTTTACGTAATTGAGTATTTTACTTTTTATTATTCAATGCAGCTTGGTTTAGTGTCGAATTAATCATTTGGTGTGACTCGGTATAAACTGCCTCAGATGGCCTGTAGTTGAGCCCTCCGTCGTGTGCAGCTCAGACAAAGCCCTGATCACGCAAAGACCAGAGAGGACCATTGCATGAATGCTTTAGTGTGCCATTACCTATTGCTGTAATTTTGATAAACTTTTGATCCCAAATTTCCCCCTTATTCCGATACAGAAATCGACCGGATTCAGAAAGGCGAGACTAAAAAGGACAATGACAAAGAACCTTACTTGGATTTGTTTACTACGAAAAATTTGAAACTGAAAGAGCGGGTTCTCATTCCCCTTAAACAGTTTCCAAGGGTAAGTAGGTCTTAAGTATCATATATTCTTAAATCTGTTGTAGTACTAATCAAATTTTGTTTTCAGGTTAACTTTGTTGGTAAAATTTTGGGGCCTGGAGGAAACACAATTAAGAGACTCCAAGAGGAAACTGGTGCAAAAATATCAGTGTTGGGCAAAGGTTCCATGAAAGACAAAAATAAGGTATTCATTAATTTCTTCAACTAAACTCTTGTACCATTGTCTAATCAAGCTGCACTAACCATAACCTTACTGCATAGACCATGCTTGGGTGAATATAACAATGTTTGATTTCTTTGTCAGGAGGAAGAGTTGAGGAAGGGAGGCGAAGCTAAATATTCTCATCTGTCAATGGAGCTCCATGTATTTGTTGAAGTCCATGCCCCCATTCCAGAAGCCTACCTGCGCATGGCCCATGCTATGGATGAGGTCAAGAAGTTCCTTACCCCGGTATGTATCCTAGACCTCAATAGCAAGTGCAGCTGTAGGCCCATCTTAGTTCTTCGGAGTAAAGCCTGGTTCACAGGCCGATTTTTCTGTGTGAGACCACACACAGGGAAATAAAAAATCACGGGTCTAACCACTTTGGTCGTGCAGTGTGTGGTGCGCAGCCACACGGCAAAAATCACGCAAACCACACACGAACCAATCCCCCCCCAGTATTCACAGATCAGACGGAAATCTCAGGTCTTGCGAGATCAAGCGTGACTTCAGAGTAAACACACATGGCCGACGAAGAGGATGCATTGGCGATAGTTTTTTATCGGAGAAAAGACGTAATCAAAAGAAAAGGCGATGGTCAAAGAAGTGTAGACAACACGAGCATGGACTATACTTGCTACATTGTGATATGGAGGAGTTTCCTCACCGTCTCGTCTTCTGATTGGCTACACGCCGCAGTCATGGCAACGCGCACGTCTGTCCTCGGGACACCACACGAAGAGAAATCGGGCCAAAACAATCCAACATGTTGGATATCCTCAATAATGAGATCGGAGCAGTCCCGAAGTCCTTCCGAGCGACGAGCACAGTCTTAACACACCACACACGGCAGGAAAATCCATCAGATTTTTTGTTACGATATTCGGAGCGTTCTTAAGATTGTCGTGGGGTAAATCGGGTCCAAAATCGGCCTAATTATCCTGCCGTGTGAACCAGGCTTTAGTCTCATCACAATTGTTTTGAATTCTATTGACCTTTTCTACAGGAACCAGGTGAGGAGGAGTTTATGGACCCCCACTATTTGAATGGATCCCAGGATGCTTCTGGAAGAGGGCGTGGAATGGGCAGAGGCAGAGGTGGACCACCTGGAGCAAGGTATCACAAGTTAAAATTTTGGTTTACGGTAGGCGTTGTCCTGTCACATGGCACTGACTTGTTACATTTTGCTCAGGGGGCGGGGGATGCCTCGTGGAGGTCCTCGTGGAGCTATGCGGGGTGCCCCAAGGGGAGCCCCAGGACGCGGTGGCTCCAGAGGAACACCAGGGGCGCGTGGTGCTGCGAGCAGAGGGGGTGCAGCAGGTCGCTCCAGGCCTCCAGCAGCAGGAGCTCCTCGGATGCTCCCTTCATCAGCACTTTCACACCAAGTTTCCTCTGCCCCTCAACAGGGCAAAGCAGATGGTTATGATGAATATGTGAGTTCTGTACATAGTTCAATGTTATTTCCATTCACTGCAATATGAGCGACTTGTAGGATGTGCTTATGTGTTTTTTTTCCCATTTTCTTTCTAGTCCGGTTATGATCAATCTTATGCCGAGGGAGGGGCCTATGAAGGCTATGACTATTACGGTCAACAAGGAGCTGCTACGTAAGTACTACATACATTTATGAATGTCTCTTGGCTGTGCACTCGGACTGACTGCTTTACATGGCGTGTGTAGGGATACTGAATACTACGACTACGGCCATGGTGACGGTCAGGATGCAGCATACGAATCTTACAGTAAGTAAAATTTTTGTCTTACCTCCTAACTGATGCACATGGGTTTCTTATGGACGACTGTTATCTTCTCCTTCACAGCTCAAGATGACTGGGAAGGCTCCTGGTCCTCTGGTGGGGCTGGGGGCAAAGCTCCAGCTTCCCGACAGGCGAAGGGCTCCTACAGAGAACATCCTTATGGAAGATACTGAGCAACTAATGGTAGACAGTTGGCATAAATGCTGGCTCTAATAGTTGCCGCTTACTTTTAAACGTAATTTCCTTTTATTTTCCTCCATTTTTTTATACATTTTAGTTTTTTTTTTAAATAATATTGGTTGAATGTATTATATATTTTAGGTTCAAATTGGTTATCAATACCAGTTGTCATTATTCACGTTGTTTATAGTTGATGTCCTTGTGACCAAAAAGACAAATTGGGAAATTGCGTGATATTTTGTATGTGCGTTATAAAATTTCGCTGTGGCGATTGAACTTTTCTCCAGGCTGCCTATTTAATTCCCATAAATAAAAAAGTTCCACTTTAACAATCTTCAAAAAATAGTTTACTTCATTGTCCTAAAATGCTTCAATTGTATTCAATTTTAACATGGATTTTGTACTTTGTAGTCTATTGTAAAAATATTTTTTATGGATCATACCATATTTAATTGAGTATCAAACAAAAGCAGCCATTTCAATACTTGTATATTACAGCCATAGAAAAGCCTTTCGTTTAATGTCGACATTAAGATGCATTATGCTTGTGTACATTTGGCTAAATATAATTCTGCGTACATCCCAAAATGTATTTCTGCAATGCGTTGTTTCAATAAAGACCTAGTTTAACATACCGTAATCATAAATTGTATTTTACTTCAAGCCAAATGTATGCCTTTGGCATGTCTTCGACATTTTTCACCTGAATAACCTGTTTGTACACCAACCTAATTAAAAACAAAACCTGAATGGTGTTGTCCTGTCTTATGTAGTATCAAACGACTGTATCACATATTCATAGTTCAAATTGTTTAAAGCACCGCAAAATGTTTTGATATTGAATAGTGCTTGAACTTGTCTGTCATTAACTAAAGTCTTTATCTCGAAGCTCTCAAGAGCATTGTTATCTCCTCCACGGAAAATAACTGAATCTCAACAGTATTTTAAATCAAGCTTACAGGGATCTTGACTTGAACTTGACTTTGATGCAAAGTCATGCTGGTGGGTTTTATAAAAGAAAAAAATCGCGGAGGAGAGGATTCTAAAAGCCAAAAGACCGCCATGAGAAGGTAAAAATAACCCTAACACTCTTTTATTAGAATTCTTTTTTATTTTTTTCTATGCAAACAAAGTTATAAACGTCCTTTAAACTTATGTTGAACAATACACTATTTCCAAGCAAAAACTACAACTGCAAAACAAATGTCCCATTAAAAATATATTCCCAAATGCATAATTTGTACAACGTGTCTATATTCAAAAGCAATTTAAAATAATCAAATGTTTCTCTAAAATGTAGTTCTAGGGTGCATGACTTTTGTTTGGCATGATGTCTTTCTGTCCTGTACCAAATCTCATTTGTCTTTTCTATTTAGGTTGGTCAATCATGGATGGATGAGACAAACACTTTTTTTAATTAAAAAAAAAATCTAATTTCAGAGGTTGGTATTGGTATTTTTTTTCTCGATGCAACAATTGAACAGTCTCATTCTTGTTCATTTTTTGTAGGATCTGGCTGAAACCCAGTGGTGTAGCTGGAAGCTTGCAAACTGAAGTGCTGGATCACTTTAGGAGAAAGTCAAATGAGTATTTTTATATTCCTTGTATTGGTTAAAATAAAGTTTTTACAAAATCACTTGTGTTCAGTATGACGGTGCATGTTTTTATAGGCGTAGAAGCTAGTATAATCTGTGGCCCTGACCCATGGAAGCAAAGTGTCTGCACTGACACTACAAGTCATGGATACCATACCATGGATACTGTCCTCTGATCAATTCAGCTACGGTGGTTTAAAAAAATAAAGAGCAACATGTAAAAATCTGGCCAAAATTGGTACCTCGATCTTTAGTCATCTGACTTGGGTTGCCAAATACGCACGGAATCCGGCTGAGACCATCTGAATCTGATAGTTTTGTCAATTCTATAACGAACATGACGTATTTAGGTTGAAATTCGTCTGCGTACGATTACAACGGAGCCCACAATACGCAAACAATGAATTATTTTGTTATTTGTCTCCACACGTTTAAAATTGCCATGAGCCCTGCTGATGTTGGAACACGAAATTATAGGCTCGTAGCTTTAATGTGCAAATAACGGTTTGTTTTTACCTTTTACTGTTTTGAGCAAGTTTTGCATCAGATGAAACGTTTTTATCCGCCTTCAATTGTCTCAATTTTTCAATTACATCCAATAGAAATCCTAATTTTAGTCTTTGATTTGAGAATCATAATGAGACCATTTATTTTATACTGCAGCCTGGCATGTTACCCAACCCGGATCACAGACTTTCTGATTGGCGAAATGGTGGAGGGTGGGACACCAAAATGAAAACAATAACGGGCTGTGAATCTAATTTTGAAATTCGCCTGATACTTTTATCAGTTAAAAAAGTATTAGAAAAGACCATGATTTATAATACCGTCTGAAGTTCTGTCATATTTGTGCCATTGACGACATGCACATCTTACATATTGCTACTTTAATTATAAATTTTTTTTTTTTAGATTCTTCCTAACTGAACTAGCCTGGCCTTTGCCATCCGTAAACTCCGGTCAAATCTTTTTTTCCCGGGATGTACGAAACAAGTACGAGGGTATGGTAAAACCAGGCTATAACTGAACGGTTCATTTAGTATTTATCTTCTGCTTTCAAATCACTGTTCACAAGGGTTAAAGAAAGCTTGCATTTGGTGATGCCTACATTTGATAGTTTTTCTTTCAAAGCAAGTTGTTTTCTGTTAGTTCAGTGGTTTCTTGGGATCAAGTTGTCATGACCATAGACTGTATATGTCATGACGCTCGAACTTGTCTCGCTGTTTGGAGAAGGTGTTCCCCTTTAAGTCACCCCCCTCCCACTTCTTGCTAACTCACCCGCGCCCCCTCCAGTAGTGGCTAGTTTCACATCAACAATGGGTGTTTCCGCGTTTTCCAGTGAAAACTACGCTGAAACTGTACTTAGTAGTCTCGTTTAACAGGTCTTTAATGCCACATTAACATCAGACGCAGGACTCTGAATCTGCGACTGGGTAAGCTGTAATTGTCTTGTCATTCCTGTTTGGTAGCTAGTTTGATTCAGCTAGCTAAGAGGCCTCAATCTTGGAACTAAATGAAGCATGGTCCTGGCGGACACTGGGATCCCTCCCTCTTTGTGTTGCCCCACGTTGTCCTCGTCCAGGACCAGTGCACCAGAAACAGCCCAGAGCCCGCTCTGCTGATGTGGACTGGACAGATCCATGACCCTAGACAGTGTGCTGCTAACCTCTTGTCAGCTTCCGCAAACTTTGCGTTGGTAGCATCCTTAATTTTACAGTATAACTTCATGTGATTGTAAGCTGTAGTGGAATATTTTTTTTTTGCACTTGACTGTATTCATATGAAATACATTTTTATAGTGTCAACCCCATCGCGATTGGTGCTATCTCTGTAAAACACGACAACAGCAAACACAATTAAATGATACCTGGATTGAGCTATGAAAGGTTTTAATGTAAAACTCTTCTGCAGACCGTAAAAACAGCACACCTTGACAAGCACCTGGAAAGTGCACTGTGGAAGTGTCTACAATGGCTGGTGGAAGGAGAGGTGCAAACAGGACCACGTACTGCAGACCTCCACTGAGCAGTGAGCCAGGCTCCATGGCCAATGGAAACCATTCCACCAGCTCCCCTGTCACTGGGGTCCGGTCCCGCGCCAGGTAACTGAACACATGCACTCACATTGATCTGTGGGTCTGTGTCCTGAACTGTCCTGTTTTCAGGAATGGGTCTGGCACTTGCATGTCCAGTCCTCCTCTGGCAGCGCAGACTGTGGTGCCAGTGAAACACTGTAAAATCCCAGAGCTGTCAGTGGATCGTAATGTGCTATTTGAACTCCACCTTTTTTTCTGCCATATGATTGCTCTGTTTGTCCACTATGTGAACATCTACAAGACTGTGTGGTGGTACCCACCATCACACCCTCCCTCACACACTTCACTTGTGAGTATTTATTTATTTTTCATCAGTGTTTACACAAGTACAGTGGGTTGTGCTAATTATAATTTTTTCATTCACAGAACTTTCACCTCATTGACTATAACATGCTGGTTTTTACAATTATCATCTTAGCTCGAAGGCTGATAGCAGCAATAGTTAAAGAGGTTCGGAATATTTTTCTTTACACAACACTTTACACAACACTTTTATTACTTTTACAATGTAATAAGTGGTTTTTATTTATGTCTTGCAGGCATCACAAAGTGGAAAACTTTCCTTTCCACATTCAATTTTTTTAGTAATGGCAAGGTTTGCTGTGTTAACGTTGACGGGCTGGAGTCTATGCCGCTCACTCATATACCTCTTCAGGACATATTCTGTGCTCAGCTTGCTCTTTTTGTGTTACCCGTAAGTTCACTTAAACTCTGACATGACTTTGAAGTTCAGTGACAATAGAGATCTGATCCCTTGACCTTGTTTCACAACTGACGGCTGGCAGTTTTTGAGCCTGAAGCAAGAATTATCTTGATCGAATGTAATTTTTGTTATGTTAATTTGATAAAGGCACAGTGCACATTATTGAACATCAAACAATGTAAATGCATCTAAGTTAAGTTAGTTATTTCAAACTCTTTGGCATTGGTAGTTCCTGTGCCAGGTCTTCAGGGGCAGCCTTAAAACCCATAATCAAACAACATCATGTATTTAAAAAATATTAAATCCCCAGTTACTTCATTAATTACAATTATTGTATTAAGATGAGTGTGTCAATCTTACTTTATCTTACTTCTTTTGTATCTAATCAGGTTTGGAATGTACATCCCCTTTTTCCAACTGAGTTGTGACTTCCGGCGCGTAGGGCCACTGTCGCCGATCGCCAGCATCGGTTCAAAGGAAGTGAGTGGAATGGGCCGCGGTAAGGACTACTTCACCGTACTGAAGGAGACATGGAAGCAGCACACCAGCCAACTGTATGGAGTCCAGGCCATGCCCACTCACGCCTGCTGTCTGTCCCCCGACCTCATCCGTAAGGAAGTGGAGTACCTCAAGATGGATTTCAATTACAGGATGAAGGAAGTCCTGGTCAGCTCTATGCTTAGTGCTTACTACATTGCCTTTGTGCCCGTCTGGTTCGTCAAAGTAAGTGATATTTTATGACATCAGGGAAGCCCCAGTGTCTTCAAATCACCAGTAAGGTAAACAATTTGATGGAGCCAAGTTCAAGATTTGATTGATATAGCACACATTCTGCCATTAACTCATTTTATTTAACAATTATTATTATGAAGCCTGATACAATATTAATTTAGAACTGTGCTCAGCCTGATACTAGATTGTGTGTTTAAAAAAAAAAAAAAAGTATAGTATTTAGATTATGAGATAACGATGATGCAATATACAGATATAGAAAACTAGGAACTAAGGCTGCAGCTAACAACTATTTTAGTAAATGAGTTTTCTATAGATCACGGGGTCATGCCTGCTTTAGACTATTACTTTGAATTTATTAAGTATTCTGTTATAAACATAAAACAATTTAATGGCCATTAACTGTTTTACACAGACACTTTTAAAAATGCTTAATCAGACTCTTCAGAACATTGTTGGCCCGAGGCAGAAATATTTCTGCGTGAAACGTGTGATTACTTTGTGCTTTCGATGTGCAACAGTTTTAGTACCATGTTGAAACTTTTAGACTTCTTTTTATTATTATTAATTTCAAGATAGAGATTTTATACTTGTTATTGATGCTAGAGTTAGAGATTTTGTTTTATTTTTATTAGTATAGCTATTGTTCATTTATCTTGTGCTGTGTGTTCCTCATTCCTACTGTTCTATAACTTGTGATGCAACACTGAAATTTCCCCACTGTGGGACGAATAAAGGATCACTTAATCCATAATTGTAAGATTAAGACTAAGGCAATTGAATTAGAATCTTAGAATTGAATTAGCATTTTTGGAACACATTTCAGCCCTACTTGGAATATGATTATACACATTTCAGGCTCTGGGTACAGTTTGTAAAGAGTATTATGTCCAGACTTAATAGATCTATACAAAGATAACTGTATCATTGCAGAAAAATATGTCTTTTTAGTGCTTGGACTCTTATTGATAGACAACTACTGGCTGAGATGATATTTCCCTTGTTAAGATGTTTGAGCTGCTAACCACGAGCCATCTTCAGAAATGTTTTGCGTGACGGGTTTATCGGCTCGGTAGGCGTTGTTCTGACAGGTCACTTATATGCAGAGGTATTTGATGGCAGCCCAAACATGTTAACACGGTAATTACATCTCAATCAGTAGCCGTCTCTCAATATTACAAAATTAATAAACCTCCTGTTGACAGTGGCATTCACCAGACCTGGAGCTACCCTGTAAAGTTTTTAAAGATGGTGTCACGTTTTGTTATAAATACTTACTCTGCCGTTCTTTTCCCAGAGCACACAATACGTGGACAAACGCTGGTCCTGTGAGCTCTTTATTCTGGTGTCCATCAGTACTTCAGTCGTCCTCATGAGACACCTCTTGCCCCCGCGCTACTGTGACTTGCTCCATAAAGCCGCTGCTCATTTAGGCTGCTGGCAGAAGGTGGACCCCTCTCTCTGCTCCAACGTCCTGCAACACGTGTAAGCCAGATTTCAACGTTTACAACATTGTTCCTTTTATCAAAAACATATCTTGAATTGTGTTAAACGACGTTAAAGCTAGTATAACGTGTTACACTATACAGAATCCTCATCCCTCGACCATTTTCAATAGTTAAAAGAAAACTATGGGTTTATAGGGAATAATTATCAGGTTATAATCAAATGATGTTTGTTGTGATATGGACTTTAACAGTTTTTCAAGTTCCCCGCTCTCAAAACTTTTTGGTTCTATCAGTAGTTTTCACATGCATGTATTTTTAACCTCTGACACATCATCAAAATGAATTCATAAAGTGTTTTTTTGTACAAATAATGCAACACATGCCCACTGACCTGCTAACTCCACCACCCAACAGACCCACTCCATACCACTGTCTACTCCCCCATACACTTCATTTCACACACACCTACACACACATGCACACTCACACAGTCCATAGAATAGGTAGAACCATGGAAAATATATGACTGGGTGCCCATGAAACCGTGACTGGAAGCACCATCCGAGGAGCCGTCTGCCCCAAGAGCAGAGAGCCACCTGCAGCCACAAGAAACAGAAAACTCTAACCCCAAAGATTTCAAAAGCGACTCACAATTCACTCACTCGCTCATAAAATATGTTCGAATACAGTTTGTTGTAATATGATTTATTCTCATTTTACTCTTACAAAGCTGTTTTTTATATGCACTGGTATTCATGAAAAAGTGAAGTTAGGTACAGCAGCTTTAAACTCCACTTGGTTAAAAACAACACTATCTTTTCCAGGTGGACTGAAGAGTATATGTGGCCCCAAGGAGTTCTGGTCAAACATAATAAAAATGTCTACAAAGCAATGGGGCATTATAACGTCGCTGTACCATCAGACGTCTCACATTATCGTTTTTATGTGAGTATTTTCCAGTATTGTCACTTTATTTGGTGTTTAGAAAGGGTTTAACAATTTGTTTTCCTTTTCTTCTCTTTCAGTTTTTCTTCAACAAGCCTTTACGAATACTGAACATACTCATTATTTTGGAAGGTGCCATGATTTTCTATCAACTCTACTCATTGATATGTTCAGAAAAATGGCATCAAACTATATCACTAGCTTTGATTCTCTTCAGCAATTACTATGCCTTCTTTAAGCTTTTAAGAGACTGGATTGTGTTAGGAAAAGCATATGCGTATTCCAACAGCTCATCAGACCAGAAAATCAGTTAGGCCTAAGTTATTGTTTTTTGTTTATGACTTTTGACTTTGGAACAAAACAAGCAGAAAAGTTCTGTATTTTTTCTATAACTGCGTATTCTTGTTTTGGTCTCATCTGCCATAATAAAAGATATTTTTGTATTACATTGGCCGCTTGATTGTATTAACGTGGTCTAATGTTTACGTTTTCAAGTAAAGATATTCGTCAAAAGTACCACCCAGCATACTCAAAGAACAATCCACTGATCTACTACATTGAAGCTACTAATACACTTCACGTAGATAAAAATACTATAGAAATGTTTAGAGGCACATATTTCTTGTCATGTTTGCATTTTTATAGGTAGACTTTCTTGTATGATGCAGTTTAGAACGAAAAAGAACTTATCTTTGCCATTTTTTTGTGAAATCCCTGTCAAGACTAAATATGTTTTTCTACCATGGAAAGCATAGACTAAATCAGCCGAACCTCTACATGTTCTCTCGTATGTAAATAGTAAATACTGCAAATGTGCAATACTGCAATGTCAGAATGTCCAATGAATGTCACTTTATCTGCTTTATCCATGCTTTCTGTGAAAGAAAGTGAAATCTGATCTCTGGCGCCCTCATGTGGTCACCAGTCATTACTAAAGTCCTTACCAACCAGAACGATGAAATATAATTAATAATCATTCAGATACATTGCATTAATCGTCTGGCAAACGCAGATGCACATTTTTTTTAATTCGAATGATCCTAATCTTTAGCTTCAAGTAGAAAAGTGCACTGTCCCTTTAAGAGAATGAAGACGGGTCTCGCGGCGCATCGATCCCGCTCGCGTCTTTATTGAAGATACATCCATGGATCTGAGGAGACATCTGACAGACACACTGCCTTTTTAGTGCAAACACACACATGAGTGTTTGTTCATGTACAGACTCCCTCTCCACAACATGATGTGACGGCGGCGGCTTTGTTTACTGGAGCGTAATTGATTCGGTAAGTCCTGTACGTAAATCTGTTTACGTGTAGAAAACAACACGTCGAGTGTTTTCTTTATTGTATTTTGATTTATTAAACTTGTGTGTGAGCTGAAAACTGGACATTTGAGTTTTGAACAGAGCTGGGTCTGTACTGACCATGTGCAATAGACACTAACGCTAGCATACAACATTGATTTCTATTGTTGGATAAAGTCATCATTGAGGCCACAGCTCTGAAGCTACAGACAATGATCTCCTGTTTTATGCATCACGGTGGATATTTATTTTTAAATGTTGAAAACGGATGATTTTTCTTTATTGAACTGTTGTCAACCATTATTTTTTTTTCTTTCTTGAAACATAAACTGTCAATATAGAATGTGATGAGAAAAGACTTTTCCTTTTGGCAGAACATTGTGACATCATCCCCTTGCTATTTCATTGACATAAATTGTCAGTAATTTTAAAAGTACAAAAAATGTTTCCTGAGGACATGATGTTGGAATGATGAAGATAGATCAACACCAATGCTCTGCTCTTATTGGATCATTCATTGATTTTTTCTTATTTAAATTATTGTGTTGAAACATAACTGCATATAATGTCCAGTATACACATCGTTGTAATACACTGTTAGATTTGGGTGAATAAAGACTTGATTAACTTTAAGAAGTGTTCAAATAATTTTCAGGGCAAAAAAACCTCTCTGCACCTACTGTACAAAACATATTTAGTGATGGAGATGCTCACCAACCATTATTACAGACCTAGAGCCTAAAATGTAGAACTACTTTAAAATCGATGTGTATGGTGCATGGAGTTAACTTTTGCAACAATTTAACAGAAGAAATAAAAACATGTTCAAACTTCAAACCCAATTCCATATGAAACACTATTTAAAAGGAAAACACTGAAGGGTAAGAGGATAGAGAGGGATGCCCTAAGCACAAAGTTAGCGATGGGAGAAAAGTGAGTCAGAGAGTGTTTGGGTCTGTGTGTGTCTGTGTGTTTTGTGTTGGATGGGTGTGATGGGTTAAGTACTGTATATAGGCGTCTGCTTCGTCCACCGTGTCCACTGAATGTTGTGGAACTTTCTACCCTTTGTGTTTTCCAGGACATCCTGCTGTGTCCCACCAGAGCCCCTCATAAAGTCTTGTTTAAAACAGAACTGAGTCATGGAAGACAAACGCAAAAAACGCAGTCCAAAGGTGTCCCTGCCTCAACCTCCCCCTCCGCCCATCAATCCTCGCAAACTCCCAGCTCTCCCGGCTCTCCCTGCTCTCCCTGCTCTCCCTGCCAGTAAGAGTGCCACCTTCTCCCTGGGCCTTCCCCAACCTCCATCACCCAAAAACAGAGGCAAGTACAAGAGGTCCATCGGAGCGCCAGGACAACCAAAAGACATGCCTGCTGCCGTCATCGCGCCTCCAAAAGTCACAAGGTTAGTTCTTGTAGGGACATTTAGGGATAGGACTATAACTGGTACTATGGTAATGCCACAGTCTCAAGATCATTTATGTTTGGAAAAAAAAACAAAAAAACACAAAACTCACATGCCCACAAAGGATACATTGCATGTTTACCTTGCTATATAGAATTTCAGACACAGTTGTTGTCTTTCTGTCTATGTATGACTATAGATATTCATTGTTGGCGACTCTTTTGGCTCTAAACAGGTCTGTTTCAATAGTTTGTAATAATCTGTACAATTAAGAACATACCAATGGAATGTATACTTAGTCATTATTCTATTTCATTGAGCTTGATAAAGATAAGCAACAACGTTAGACTTAGACTGTAGAAGGAGTGGACAGAATAAGTGCTGACGGTGCCCATAGTGTTATTTAAGAAGAAGAGCAAGCTTGAACAGGCTATTTGAGCAGGATTCAGGAGCTAAATGATAAGATAAGATAAGAAAAAACCTTATTGTCCAAAGGGAAATTTGCTGTGGGTAACAGTGCTGCACAGATCTGCACACAGGTAAGTGCAGTCGTGTTTTGAAGTCACTGTTTGGTCCAATGTTGCGTTAAAATAAATAATCCTGGATAAGAAAATTAAATAGTTCATATAGTTTTAAAATGTATTCATTATTATTATTCCCTCTTGGGCCTCATTAAGCTAGTGAGTTAGCTTTGTCCATCTAAAGCCTATGTAAGCACACTGCGTAAAGGTCACAAATAAAATATGTCTTTATATTTTGTACGTTGGACAGACCACTGCGTAAAGGTCACAAATAAAATATGTCTTTATATTTTGTACGTTGGACAGACCACACAAGGAAAAGCCCAGGGCACCACAGCCGGCCGGGCCCAGTAAGGTGGTGCAGTCGTCCCCCCTGCAGCACTCCTTTCTGACTGATGTTTCTGATGTGAGGGAGATGGAAGAAGGCCTCCTCAACCTCCTTAACGACTTTCACTCAGGAAAACTGCAGGCCTTCGGTAAGACCCCGCCACCAGGGGAATATTCTGTTCCCAACACAAGAGGGTATATGCACACAGAGCTTTGCTAAATGAAAGTAAAGTGAAATTGAATCCATCAAGGAGCTCTTTTTACACGTCCACTGCATATTTCTTGTTCAACAATAATGGTCGGTTTCAGGTCATTCAATCTGGGAGATTGAAGTAATTCTACCATTTGCCAGAAATGTTTCTAATGTTGGGATTATACGGTGGCAAATTTGGATCAAGCGACATACATACATACAAACATAGATACACACATACACACACACACATACACACATTATAGGTAGATGCTAATCGTTCAATTCAATGCATTCTTGTATTGCCCTAAATCCCACTGTTTCAAAAACAGTGTTTACAAAGTGGTGCACGGTCAGCATAAAACAGTCAGATCAAAAAGACATACAGCAGAATAAAGCAGACAGACTAGAAAGACAAAACAAAGACAAAGCAGACAGTAAAATGCAACATGTGAAGTTTAAAACTAACAGTTAAAAGATGTTCGATAAAAGTGGGTTTTAAGAAGTGATTTAAAAGAGGTTACTGATGGTGCGAGCCTTATCACCTCAGGCAGGTTGTTCCAGAGCCGAGGAGCACGGACAGAGAAGGCTCAGTCCCCTTTCGTCCGGAGCCTTGACCTCCGAAGAGTCAACAGGGACCTGCTCGAGGATCTAAGGCAGCAAGGAGGGAGGGGGCTCGCAGGGGGTTAACCTTCTTAAATATAGCTAGGTGTAGACCGTAACGAGCTTTAAAAGTAAAATCGTACATTCTAAAAACGCACTGGGATCCAGTGGAGTGATGATAAAACAGGGGTGATGTGCTTCCCTCTGTTAAAACCAGTGAGAAGGCTGCGTTCTGAACCTCTTGATGTTGTTCTTTGTGTGTTTTTTAGGTAAGGTGTGTTCCTTCGAGCAGCTGGAGCATGTCCGGGAGATGCAGGAGAAGCTGGCCAGACTGCACTTCAGCCTGGACAGTCACGTAGAGGAACTGTCGGAGGACCAGAGGAAAGGAGCGTCTGACCACAACCTGGAGCACCTGCTGAGTAACGTACGTGCGACATCACACTGACACTATGCTGCTGTTAAGAGAGGGAAGTATTTGTAGTGTAAATGAATGTCACGGGCAACATATATATTCACATTTGGGCCTGTCATAATAAGTCATTTTACCAGACAATGTATTTATTCTGAAAATTATTTTAATAAATGATAATATTAAAAGTACTTAATGTCCCTGGTGCAAGAACAAGAAATGATCCTATACATTTTTCTTTCATTTCATCAATAAGATAATGAGCAGAATATTTGGTGAGACGTTTGATTAAATAATATAATGTAAAAAAAAAAAAATGCTAAAACCTGAATTCATTTCTCACAGTCACGATATAAAATGTGCATGGGATTTGTAAAAGCCAAAGGGGCTTTTTCAAACCGCTACCATAATCTAAATTACAAGAAATATACTACAGATGTACAGATATTAAACACTCTACGGTGAAAAGGCTATGGTTCAAGTGAAAAAATCTTTTTTATTATTGTGTAATTTGTTTGAGTCTTTAAGTACTGTAATTAAACCTTAACTCTTTGGCTATGTTACACTAAAACACTGAAACTCGCTCTCAAATAGCGAGAAGGTCCCTTGTCTAAGCCATAGATTGACCCTGAGGTCTTAGTGCAGAATACGTCTATGTATTCTTGCCTTAAAATAAAATCTGATATGGGTTTATGAAAAGTTCTGTGAGAAAGTCTTAAAGAAAGTGAGTCATGGTTAAAAAACACGGACAACCACAGGACATCATTCATTTGAACAGAATTATGAAAGTCTAGGTAACAATGCAAACTTGCACAGAGTGGGCTACTCATTTTAAATGTTACCGTTTTATCTTTCTAAAGTGTCATTTATAGTTTTAATTCATAATGTTTAAAGCAGAACATTTTCAGTTATTCTCTAGATATTTAAAGCTATGCATCTGGTTTAGAGTGCTCCTTTTATTCCTACGGTTCTGTGGGGCGAATTTATGTTGATTATATTGAGTCACATGGAGCCTTTGACACCTCACTAGGGCGTTTAGTGTCCCAGTGCTCAAACTCACGGGTCTGTGTGAGCCCAGTGTTGCTCAGGAGAATACTGGTCTGGTATATATTGTTAGTATTGACTATATTCATATATATTTCGGGTTTTTCTTTTTACAATAAAATGAATAGTCTAGTCCAGCCTAGTGTTTTGAATAATAATGATACAACCCCATTAAACACAATCACTTTAGTCGACAACACAACAGCTGTGCCTCATCCAATTCAGATTCAGATTCGTATTAGCACCCACATTTACAGACATAACATAAAACACAGACAATACACACATTAACAAGACATGAGTAGCTTCATGTCCTACAAACTGTATTTGTGCCTGTTGTATGTCTAAGTTATTTTTTTCTGTCATAATTAACTGAAATTACAGGAGATTTTATTTTGATCATATCATATCCAACACATATGAGAAGCTGTTAACTGGGAGATGAATCTTCCCCTTAGTCCCCAGAGCTTTATCTCTAAATTCTGCTGTTATGTACTGTCCAGTCTGTTTAGAAATACAATCTATAATGTTGTAGTTTGAATTCAAAACACTATTGACTGATTTCATTAGTATTATTGGTTCTATATATTGGTTATCAGCCTCTTGACCACTCATGATTGGTATCTGTAACATTTGACCAATGGATAGATTTCAGAAAAAAATCACCAGTCGCCATAGAGATTTACAATGTGACTTCTGTCTTTTGAATTTGGAGAACAACAGTTTGATTCCTATTTTGTCTCTGTCACATTACAGCTTGAAGAACTAAGCACCTCCATGTATCCTTTCTTTCTTTTCTGTTGATGTGCCTCCTGAGTAAGGCTGTGCCAAAATCAATATATTTAAAGTTGCAATCTCATTTTCTTTCAAAGATCGTGGGGCTGATGAGGACTTCTTCATCATTTTGTAAAAAGAATTGAGACAGACACAATGTTTCTCTACCTGTCAATGTTTGGCTTAAATAATTTTGCATGATTTAATCTAATGTGTGTGTGTTTACAAGGATTTCAATTTTTGATATCGGTCAAGCCAAGGCCAATTCCCCAGCTCTTCTCTTGAGATTCTAGATTGAAAACTTTGTATAATGGGATAAATCCTTAACATCTCGACTCAGACAAAGGCTCAACTTGGCTGAGAACCAGGATCTGGCCAAAACGTCTGCTCCCTGCTGAGTGAAGAGTGATTGGGCTGCCATCGCAAAAAAGGAAGTGCCCCATCTGGAGCAGTTATTATAATGTCAAGTCAAGTGTTGTGTGTTTAAAGCTGGGGTGCCTAACTTTCAAACCGGAAAAAATTTAACGATATACTAAAAAAGCCATACAACTAGTTCTTCGCTCTGTCACTAGTTTTCACATGCATGTATTTTTGGCCTCTCAAATTTTATATCAGCTTTTTCAGACAGGAAAGTGGCTGAGTGAGTGTGCTCCTTTAGTTTCCGATCAGTTCACAACCCAAAGATTCAAATAGTGACTTGTCGGGCTAGTTCTTATTTGTGCTACAGATAAAATGTTTTATAATAAAATGACTGCATGTTTTGGTCTGGTTCGTCACCACATTTTTCGTCTGCAAGACTTTTCCAGTTGGGACGGAGAAAATGTGTTATTGACATGAAGGTTTTGGGTACCCCAGTTTTAAAGGAGCGTCACTACATACGGGGATTTGCCGACCCGGCGCCATTTGTCTTGGCATTCTGTGGGCCAAAAAATAGAAAAAGAAGCTGAAACGTGTGATAAAGTTGAAAATGGTCATCTCCTGCTGGGTCAATGGATGTTCTAATCGTGCCGGAGGTTCAGTTAAACTTGGATTTTACAGTATACCCATCATTAGACTTCATGAATGTGAGAAGACTAAGCTTTTGTCAGAACAACCACGGAGGTTATGGCTTGCGAAGATAAACAGGCAAGAAACTCCCTCAAAACACGCAAGAATATGCTCGGAGCACTTTGTGTCAGGTGCGTATCGTATCTTATAATGTGTTGACAGACGTAATTTACTCAGTACTAACTTGTGTATGCTGATATCTGGTAACTTGAGAGTTTCATTATTTAGCGTTAGATTACTTTATTATGAGGAGGATCGGTGTCGCGTCCGAGGCTCTCGAGGGCAACGTAAATGTATTAAATAGATAATAATAGTTCTATGGTGGGCTAAAACAATGTTCACAAACAGCATTGCTTCTGTAAAAAGATCTGTGTCATAAAATAAACTGCTCTTTACGCCTGGAAAAATCAGTTGCCCACCATTCACCAAAACATACGGTCAAAAACGCGGAAATAAACAATAACAGCAATCCAGAGTGTCCGTGTGGCATTAGCATTAATTAAATTAATTGTTAATATAATTAAAATAATTAAATGGAGCTCCAACTGGTATTAAATCTAAAGTTTTTGAGAAATGTTTGCATTGCTTGTTAATTTTTGCTGCATAATTTGATCAAATATGTAAAACATGTCCGTAGCACGTTAAACTGTGGTGCCATTGTATTAATATACAATTATTTGCTCAAAAGTTGCCCTTTTTTTCCAATTTGCGTTTGAATATCTACATTTATTCTCATTCTTCTGTTTAATGGAATGCACAAACACAGCAGCGTGCCATCAAAGATGGCGTCTCCGAGGAGGTCATGTGACATTCATTGGTCTGTGGGAACTATGTATATGTAATATTTGCATGTCAAGTCATCATTAAATGACCCGAATATTTCAAAAGGCGTTATTAAATCATACTCTTTTCGAATTCATCTTTAACTGATAACAGTAGTTCAGCCGAGATATTTGATCATCAAAATTAGTTTTACGACCCGTAAAAGTTGTTATTGTTTTGATTTTGATGTCCTACCCTCTGCCGTTTCGCCAATCAGGAAGTGTCATGTAAGTCCGTGATCGGGTTGCCAGAACTCCGCGCGGCTCATTAATCTCAGTGGTAAAATAACATGTGGCGTAGAACTAAAAAAGGTCTTGTTATGACTCTCAAATAATTAATGACAAAACAAAGACTAAAACGAGGATTTATATCGGGATGCCTTTGAACAATTGAGACAACTGATAAAAGTTTACGTGTGATGCAGAATTTTCTAGTTTGACTCCGTTCTTCACGGTGTTTCTGTTCATGTCTTTGTATTTATTGCATGTTATCACATTCTATGACAGATTGCTCTAAAAACGGTAAAAGATGAAGGTCAAGACGTTTTTTTGCAGATTATAGCTTAATTGTAAAAATAATCATTTAAGACCACATGTACCCCAATTAAAATAATGTTAGTCTCTTTTTGATGTGGGACTTTTACATGTTTGTCTAAAAAATAGGGAATAAATAAAATTGAAAGGTGATATCCTCTTGAGCAAACCCTGATGTTGATACGCTGAAGAAATACGTTCCAACATCCATTCTTCCCACTCCTATTTTGGACATCAATTTCTTATTTATTTTGCATAAACTATGTATAATTACATTGCTTATATTTTGTTTTTGTTTTTTATCTCAAATGTCCAAATTATAATAATAAAAAAACATGAATCAAAACATTCATTCAGCATTAGCACGGCTGTCATGGCATGTGAATGGAGACGGACAAACAACTGATAAAATAATTCCCTGTGTTTGCTGCTGGATTTGGTGTGAATCTGGCAACCTGAGTCAGGGAGAGTGGGAGAGGACTACAAAATATTGACTGTGACTGCAGTACCACTTTTGGCCAGATTTTTACATATTGCTCCTTTAACTATTATATAAAGAAACGCTGATTTTTTACATTTGTTCTTGACATTTTCAAATCGCGTCATGAGAAAAGATCATTTTCTTATCAAGGCTTTTCTATTCTTGTGTGAATAGCTTTGTTGCATTGTCATTGCTTTAGATACTTCAGTAGAAGCACAAGCATTTACCAACCGGAAGCCTTACTGTACCAGATGTATGTGCATTGCTAGTATCCATTATGGTCTGCTGGAATTTGTGACCGGAAATAGCAAATTACATTCTTAAGGCATCTGTTGTCTCATACATGTATAAAAAGGACACCATTACTTACAGAAATAAACACTTTATTTATATTATTCTCTGTTGTGTTTGCTAATCTTGACAAGCTTTTGTATTGAACAATAAAGTGAACTGGCACACGCTACAATATCAAGACAGCACTTGACCCACTTTTCCACTCTCAAACCATCCTCAATGAAAATGTATAGAATTCGACCATGGGTGGAAAAAGCCAGTACCAATTCAGAGCATGATTACGACACAAAGAAAACGGATACATTTGATACTGTTTAATCGTACGGCATAAACAAATATGACGTTAATACTGTGCAAATATCCGTCTGAGCAGTACACATTTGTTATTTCACAAAGCATCGATATAATTCAACAAATATTACACCATAGTAAATTGTACAACAAAAAATATACATATATTTATATCTCATGTCCCTGTTATTATCGGTTCACTCTTTGTGCATTTCATTGGTACATTCTGTGAGTCTTGATCTTTTCTATAGTACATGATTGGAATCTGAAACAGCAATGACAAAACCTATATACGTTAAAATGTGTTCATTTTAAAAGTGCAAAAAGAGCAGTTTGTGTACACGGAACCTGATGCTATGACTTTTAACCAGAGGAGACCACACTGGGATAAGAGTAAGGGCTCCTAATCTAGAAGTAAGCTGTTTTTTTTATATAAAAGTGCAGGCACTAGGAAAATCTTCAAGTAATCGAGATCTGTGTTTGAATTTCCTTTAGTTTATGTTAATGATCGCAGCACCTCGTTGAAACTCTTGTGGACGTTAGCGGGCTGGGAGGCCGCGCTCTCGCTCAGACCCTGTCCCATGTGGGCATACAGGGCTTCGCACAGGCTCACGGTGGCACCTCTCACGCTGCCGCCGCGGCCGTGGATCGTGCCGCTGTGAGTGGACGTCCCGAGCAGGTGCCACAGCAACGGCAGCACTTTCTGCTCCACCATGTTGGGCTTACGAGGGTACAGTTCAGTCACCATCTCTGAAAGGTAAAAGCATCCAAAATGTCACACGCCTTTTATCTTAGCCATTGTGTCTTACTGATGAAACATCTACATAATAATGAAAGAATCATACCTGCAACCTTTTCAATAAGGTCAACCTTTGCTTTGCCACTTAAAAACTGAGCCTTGGTACAAAAAGGCTGAAGAAGGAGTATGTTATCTTTGAAAGAGAAGAATGAAATAAAATACCATTAAAATCAGTTAGATTTTAAATACAGCCTACTCTATACTTTAAAACAGTGTTTCGTTAAGTGAGGATCATTGGGTCAGATACAAAATGCAGGACTCAAACAATATTAAAGTAATGTATTATGTTTTGATGCTTTACATTTTTACTACATTCAATTGTATTATGTAAAGGGAGCCACAAATCTGGTTTGTGTATATTTTGTGGCTCCCGGTCTGAAAGCTGCTGAAATACATACCCAGATTTGATGTGAGTGAATTTATGGCTCCAATAGCAGCAGTGTAAACAGCATTATTCTTTGAATTGAGGTGATTGTCTACAATTGCTGGGACTAGGATGTTAACCAACTGGGATAAATTGTCCTTTAACAAAGGAATAATCTTCTGCAAGGACTCAAGAGCATGAAGGTTGACTTTGCTGTTTGATTCCTGCAGCCGAGACCGAAAGGCATCAAAAATCTGTAAATATAAAAAATACGACACACACCACCATGAACGCAAGTTACAAACCCTATGGTCCATGTTCGTAGTTCTTATGTACATACTGGAAATATACTGCTGATAACAATGTTGGGATTGTTGTGGCAGTCTGCCACCAGCTGGTCGATTCCCTTTATCCTCTCCCGGAAGTCCTTTGAGCCCAGCAGACTGGACATGTGGTTCACATACTCAGTCTTATCAGCTATAGTCTGTGAGCTTCTGCTGTTGAACAGGTTGTTTGATTCCCTGTAACATACGCATATAATATTATATAATATTAGTAACTTTGCATTCAGGATATATTTAAAATAAATTTAAACCTTGTGGATTGACTCAGAGGTTCTCGGTTGAGAGAAGAGGCTCTGACTGTCCCGCTGCCTGGCAGGGAGCGCCGGCCTCTGGCTGACTGGCTGTCCAAGGGCATGGACCCCAGGCCCTAAAAAGAGTCATAATGGTAAGACGATGCAAAACACTGATATCATAACATTGAGAAAGAGAATACTACACAGTACCTTTGTCTTTAAACTTAGGACAGTGTCTCTGACTGCTGGTAAATCTTTGGCAGGTATATACTTCTCAAGAATCTTATCAAAATTGGAATGTGATGATAGAGCGAGAAGCATGCGCCGGCCATAATATCTTTGGATGCAGAAAAAGAGTGATTACTGTGTTACTTATAAACAATATTTACACAAGGCATCATACCTGGCTTCTTGAGAGGAGTCTTGTGACAGTTTTGAAATTGCAGGCAAAAGTTTGTCTGTAAGTTCTTTACCCCCAGACAGAAGACGCGCCGCACCAACCTTGTCAACCAGATCAGCCAGATGCTGCGCAGTGCACTTCCTCACAACAGCGTTGAGATGACTAAAAAAAGAAAAACATTAACAATCATTATCAAGGGGCAAGCAATAGCAAAAACACTCTGAGATGAAAACCAACCCAAGGCCTCCTGTAAGTAAAGCCTGAATACTCCGAGTGGGGGTACAGTGCTGCACCATGGAGTCCAGGGCTGCATCCACATCCTGTCTGATAAAGGCATTGCACTCTCCTGCTTTGTGCAGCAGGGCTTTCACTGAGGCCTCCAGCTCCTGGTCCATTGCCTTCTGCAGATTACTAAAGAGATCACCGAGCGTACACACGGCGGTCCTTGATACACCTGAGCGCAGGTTTTTCACCTAAGACACATTTATTTAATGATGTAGGTATTGTTATAACAAACATGTTACTCAAGTAATTACCTCTTGAGAGAGCAAAAGGCACACATCATGGAGCTTGCTTTGGAGTATGTCAGAGTGGAAGTTTGCAAGACTGCGCAGAAAAGTTAGTCCTTCTATTTTCTTCTCCCTACATCATAATGGGCAATCTTCAGAAGAGCTTTCAGGTCATTGTAAATGTATATCATGTAAATTCTTACCAGTCATCTGAACTCAGGAGGTTGAAGCTGTGGGTCATTGCAAGTTCAGGCTTGGAAAATGGACACAGATCAGCAGCTTCTGAGAAGTTCTTCTTGTGGCTCAGAGAAACGGAGGTCAGCTCGTCTACATTGCCATAAGAACAAACAGACGCTGAAAATGTTAATAATTCAAAATACCCTTGCACTGAACTGATTTGATGTGGCTTTTTATATAAGATTAAAGTATACTTTATTGTCTCAGCCTTTGACCCATTCTGCAATGCCTCTATGGCCCTATGTCTGTTTTCTGCTGAGAAGCGAGAGTGCAAAAAACTCTGCCACGTGCTGTCTATCATAACCTTTTTAAATCTAGAATGATTATATGTGATGAATTCACTTGCCTTTGGTAGACTGTATACACCATCTACATTATGAATATACTGTAGATGCAATTGTAAAGCATATAATAGAATTATAGGAGCTTAACACTGAGAGGCCACTGACCTGAGCTGTGAGATTGTGAGGGCCGTGTCCTGCCAAGGCTGGGTGCTCGCCTGAGACGGGATACATTTTTGGGGTTTGGGGGCGCTGCAGGAGGACTAGGCTGGTGAGGAGTAAAGCTCTTAAAAGGGGTGGGAGCTTCAGGCGAGCTGACAGGACTTCTTGAACAATTGAGGGACTCATTTGGAAAGACATTCCCTTTACAAGAGTGCAGAGTGTTGCCATTTAACTGGAGATCTGAAAAAGTAAATAATGAACATGAGTCGCCATCCATCTCTAGTGTAATCTTCTCTCACATGACCAGATAGCAGATAGGTATATTTCAGCCAATGCAAAAATACATCGCAGAGCCTGCCTTTGTTGATTATTGGTGTGCATTCTGTTGTGGGTGACTCCGACAGCATCTGTTTGACACGGTGTCGTATCCTGTCTCGCGTCTGGTCTCCATGACTTGATTCATCAGCTGCGTTTGTGTGCTGCTGCCGCATTTTGTCCCTGCTTAATCGTACAGTCCTTGCATTGTCCTATAGAAAAATCATATTGTCAGTTTTACAGTTGGTGTATGATTAATAATTTCAAAGTGACGAGACTGACCTTGACCTCATCTAGGCTTAGACCGTCACCAATGTCTGCCTGGAAGCTGTTTATTGTAGAGTAGAGATTACTGGGGCACTTGGTTACTGAGTTACCCTGCTCAAATGACATGGAGGAGCTGCCAAACATGCCTAAACAATGAAGGGCAAAATAAAAAGCAAGAGAGATGTTTATTTGACATTTCACAGCATGCACATCAACAAACTGAACAAACGGACCTCTTCCAATGACTCCTTCAAGCATTTCCATCCCAGATGAGTCTTTACTGCTCTGGCACTGAGAGCCTAGAAGGAAATGTAATAGTGATAATAGTGTTAATTGGTAAAAAGCGTTTTTCTGTAATTGGACACAATGTTGGCCTACCTTTGGCACCTAATAGTCTGACTGAATCCCGTGGACTGGGTTTGACAGTTTGAGGTGAAACTTCTCTGTTCTCGTCATTTTTAATTCTTCCATTTGTGTATAATGAGTGTCCAACAACACCAACATCAGATGACCACTCGTTCCTCTGAGACAAACCTGGATTCCAAAAGCAATCATTTCAGGACTAGATACAGAGCAATACAGCACAAAGCCAGGAAGAATCTAGACCTTGTGGGTTGTTGAAGTCCATGGACACTGAGCTGGTCGGTTTTGCAGAAGGCACACTTGCAAAGCGAGATTTCACCCCAACAAAGTTCCGTGGGCTGTGATAATAAAAAGATTGTAGTTGTAATGTTTTAATACAATATTTTCAAAAAAGATGCATGCTTCAGGGTGCAGGGTGGGTCTAAATTGTCAGCTCCACATCAGGATCAGTAGTGGCAAAAACACTGGAAACTTATGGATAGAGGAGGAAAATATGAGGAAATCTTAAGAATAAAATTAAAATCCTTTAATGAACAGGGATTGCAAAAATGTGTTGCAAAATCCCTGTTCATTAAAGGATTTTTTTAAAATTGTCAATAGTTCCTTGGATTTTTCTCCTTTCTTCACAACGTTTTAACCTTGTTGAGTAATTTCAATAAATAAATCAGTATACTGAGCTTATTGAAACAAAAATCTCTAACTTGCATATTGAATTAATAATAAATAACAGAGTGTGTCTGCTGCATGAGGGCACAGATAATTCACATTTCAAATAAGTGTTAATAAACCAAAACTGAGCTCTCACTGAGTCCACTCACTGTAAACACTTATAAAAAGAATGTTTTTGTTGATTACCTAGTTTTTATTCCATTAAGGCTGCAGTTGATGACAGAGCTGAGGCTGGAGAGCCCACTTTCACTTGTTGAACTTGTAAGGATCGAAGGAGTGTGTGATGGTGAGTCCAAGCCCAGGTCTAACCTCACAGCAGAATCAGGACTGTCTGGATCCAGGTCTGAGTTACTTAGGGCCACTTTCACCCTTTTCTTAGCAGCACTGTTCCTCAAGGAGCGCAGAGAATTCAGCATCTGCAAGTATACAATCATGAATCTTAATCATACAACATCAAAATGCTTATTGAAGAAAATGTCTAACCTCTTGCATGTCCAAGTTGTCCCCCTCTTCAAGGTTTTGGCCATTATTCCTGATAACATTTCTCATTTCTAATTGCTCATCATGTTCTGGAGAGATTACTGGTGATACAGAATGATTTATTCTTGTATTACTAAGCGCTTTTCGAAATGATGAGGTTGAAGTAACCAGCGAGGAGCGAAAAAGCCTGGGAGAGCAGCGAGTTTCTAGTACATCTATAAAACAGGGAGAAACATAAAATAACATAAAATCCTGTTTCTATGTTCTCAAAAGTGTGGAAATGTGTTTTACCTTTCGTAGTACCAGAAAGATCTCTCCAGGGACTTGCGTCTCGCTGGTGAGGGCTACTGTCTCTTTTGTCTGGCCACGTGTTAGACATTGAGACAGGGGAGTTCACTTGGCGGCGGGCAAGGGTTGGTGTGGGGACGCTGCCTGGAAGTGAGGCCAGTGGGTAAGAAGGCAGCAGGAATGAGCCCGTAGAGGAGGACTTGGCCGGCAGAGAGAAGGTACGCTCAACACTAGGGTTTCTCGAGAGCACACTTTCCTTGGCTGCCAAAGGAAGTACATGGTTTACATAATATAAGGTTTACAATTATTGTGATTACTGGGAGATTATGTCATACTTGAATCTATTTCAGAGAGATTTGCGGTCTTGAATAAGTCCTTGTCAATGTTAAGGCTACCACTTCGTTTGAGACGTGCAGGAGACTCATTCCTTCTGGACAAATGCATTTTTGGAGGTTCTGCTGAACCTGGAACATTCAGAAAAGTAAAAATCCTGATGGTACAAGAAGTGTTAAGTCTAGAATACACTCCAGTATACAGTCAGGTCCATACATACCGGGCCATCATCGCCACAATGCTATCATGAACCAAATGATCATATTGTTGTGATATTTTTATGTTTATGTTTGAGCTCTGTATCAAAAATGCATCTTTTTCCCAAAACATACAGTATGCCGAACTCGAAACACTATGTATTCAAAGTTAATCTCAAATTGAATGTTTGATGGGAAATGCAAGTGGCCGTGTAAATATGTACACATTTGCATGTTTATGTAATAAAGGTGTAAAGACAAATGTATGTATGCTTCTGTTTAGTAAACATTATGGTGCAAGTCCTATGTATTAGAATAGTATGCGCGTGTATGTGCATGTGTATGTGTGTGTGTTACAGAGCCTTTATCTGCATTACTCCACTTCCACTTTAGCCACTGCCAGCTCATGAAGACTCCAAGCAACTCATCCAGGGGATCTTTTGACAGAATGCTGTATGACTCTGAATAACAAATGAAGCAGCACTTACTGAAACTGGGTATGTAGTTTTCTGGACTTAGTTTTCTTGAAAATGAGAGGTCTTCATTGGTAACCTTAGACAGTGAGAAAACAACAATACAAAACTAATGAAAAGGAATCCTTAAACAGAATAGTGAGTGAAATTCCATCCACTGTTTTGAACAAAGGGACATGACAAACTCAAACAAAAGGTTAGGCCTTCTCATGGGTCACCACATTCCTTGATAGCGCAGTATTTAATGAATGGCACAATTTTACAACAGCGTTAATGAAAAGCAGAGTAAAATATTGATGATTTTCTTGCCCCAGAGGACACCCGACTGTTCAACTGATTCAAGTGTAATGACAGAAGTGAAGAACTCTCAACAGTGATTGCAATTAAAGCCACATAAACAAAATAGCTTTGTTTGAGGTCTGTGCAATCGTGCTTCTCTCTCTGCTATGGACGATAAAGGTTGCCTGGAAACGTATTGCTGGAACTGTAAACAAAATATTTCCGCATACATATCAAATAAAGGAGCACAACATGTTTAAGAGTTGGTCTAAGATCTTGAAATGTTTGCTAGGTTGTGTTTTTTGCTAACCTTGCTGTGGGACTACAGTTAGAAACAAGATGTGTAGGTAATATTGGAACATTTACAATAATGTTTGTTTAGTGCACTATCCTTAATCAAATAGACAATTACAAAAATAAATAAGTACCGGAAACATTGTGACATCCACCAGAAAAGTCACATTTCACTTTTGGGCAAAACATTTACAAAATCCTATACTGTATAGGTCGAGTTGAAATGTAGCTAAAATAGTGTTACCTAGAGGCAATGGGCATGGTCAAAGCACTAAGATCATGCAATGAATAGCAGAGAGAATAGCTTTGTAAGCAAAGAACTAAAAGATGACTCACATGTTCAGCAGCCTTTCCATCAGGTGTATTGCATTGCGGGTCACTCTCGATGGATGACACAGTAAACACCTCCCAGGGTAGTTTGTTCTTTGATTTACCTGCACTCACAATCCTCCTCTGAAAAGGCATGTCGTCAGCAGGAGAACCAAGGCTGCTGTAGCCATGTAACCTGTCGCAGTCCGGTTCGGTCCTGGTACTCCTTGCACTGCTTATCCTTCCATCATTAAGCACCCAGTCCAAGTCAGCTCCTGTCTGTGCCAAGTTCCGCTGTCCTTGTTTGGGAATTATCAACACATACTCCACAACACCCTCTGGGGAGAGTTTGGGGAGAACACGCCTGGCTCTTCTTGCTTGTACAGCTGCCATGAGACCTTCGGCTTCCTCTTTAAGCTCAACCATGTCGACGGCTTTAATTAAAGGCTGTTTCTTCCCCATGTCGAGGCAATGGTCAAAAACAGCAAAGAGCTCCAAGGCAGCAAGCCGCACTTTCCTTTTGTTATCAACGAGATAAGGGGCAACCTCATGACAAAGCCTTGGAATGTTGAAGTTCTTTCTTGGATGAGTGAGCAAAGCGGCAATAACAATATTGAGCACATCTTCCCGGATTCTTGAATTTGTATGTTTCAAATTGCAGATAACTAGATCTAATACTTGCTGTGGTGCTATCACTTTCATGAGCTGTCGAAACACAATCATATATTCATTCCTGGTGATGGTACGGGTGTCCCCAAGAGCTTTGACAGCCACATGAATAATTTGTTGAAAGTGTTTGTCTAAGCGATTATCAAGCCGCTGTATCAGTAAATTCAAAACTTGTAAAGTGCCATTTAAAACTTTAAAATTACTATCATCCAGAAGGCGAGAAAGGAAATGTATGAAGTCTTCAATGCTGTCAGATGGGATACACTGTATGTCAACCTCTGAGATAATTTTTTTAAGTTGTTCCACGCCATTTGTACGATTTTGGTAATTTCTAAAGTCCAAGAGTTGCTCATGTAACTCTTGGGAAATTAATCCCACTATCATTATTGAGAATAGCTAAATATCGTCACACTGGAGAATCCGAGGATGTAAATGCAACCAGGTGAGGAGGACAGAGATATCCTTCTTCTTTTCTTTGTGCTTTCATTTTAGCAGCTGGTGAAGAAGGGTTTGTTGTCATTGCTTCAACCTAGGGAACACGACAGAGATAATAAACGTTTAGTATAATGTATTACAACAGTCATAATGTAAATGTGCAAGACAAATAAAACACTAAATGGGGTTTGTTTATGGGTAGTGTCACGGAGATACAACAACTGAAAAGTTGCTAAGCATCTGTCCTTGGAGGTAACTGCTAGTTAAGAGAAATCAACCACTTGTGGCTGCTGGGGATTGTATCATAGCTGTAACATTATATGCTTGCATAGAAAATACCATTAATTACCTTGACGTTCTAACAAAACACGTCTGAAATACTAGATAGCAGCCACACTCCGTTATAAGCGTGCAATGCCCTGCTATTACATCTGAGGTGAACTAACCTACACAGGATCATATACAACCCGTAAACCCCCAGCAATGCCACAGCAAATATCTTAACTTAGTCCCACAGAGAGCTACTCCTCCCTGCACTTTCAATATGTGACATAATAATGGCTTTATTGAAAAGTTAGGTAATAACAGCTAAACACAGACCTCGCATTTCTCTGCTGCTCTTCAGTGAAGCCCGAGCAGCTCCAGGCTCCAACATTACGTGTCCCAAATGTCCATGTCGTTCTGCTGCAACTACTGCTGACCTCCTGCAGCCATGTCCTCGGCTCTTTTAAGCGGTGTCGATAGTGTTAAATGTTTAAAAGCTTCTGAGGTGTTCACACGGGTAGTATCCCAACACACACACACACACACACACACACGCACACGCACACACCGAAGCAGCAAAATGGCGAATACATGTCGCAAACGGAGCGCTTCCATGGTGACGCGTGCGCACAGCTCCTCTAGGGGGCAGCACCAGTGATGTGGCCATACCTTGGATCTCAGACCAGTGGGAGCCATGGTGGGAACTTTATGGTCCCAGCATCCTTAACAGTTGCATTCTTATTTACTTGCTATGCATACATATAGTGGCAGTAACTTGCACTTTAATTGTTTTTAGAAAGATCATTTAAGAGTCCCATTATCCGCCCCACACTGGGAGATTTTAGTTTAATAAAAAACAAAGCATACAAAGTATACGCATATTAGGTATACAACTGTCATTTGTTCTAAGTGTTAAAATTGCAGCATGAGGCTCCGATATAATGACAGTGGACACATGGTTCCATAGTGCACATTCTGATATTCCATCCATCCATCCATTTTCTTCCCCTTAATCCATTTCTGGGTCGGGGGGTGGCAGTCAGAGCTGCACCCAGGACACAGAGCACCAGCCCCTCACTGATCCTCCTGCAGGTGATGAGTCCACAGGAGCTGAGATCTTTCAGTGGGAGCTTCAGGCAAAGTGGGGTTAGGTGTCTTGCCCATGGACACAACGACAGCAGACATTAGTGGGAGTAGTGAAGTAGGTCTTACGGTGGGCTCAAACCCACGACCTTCAGGCTCAAAGGCCAATGCTCTACCAACTGAGCCACTGTCGCCCCTGTAAAGCCACTGTAATATCAGAATATAGTTCCCACGAAATCGGCAGCAGACTTCCGGTCTCCATTTTTTTGGGCACAACGCGCTACATAGGTAAACGTCCTAGAAGAGGTGACTGAAAAGGATACCAATTTTTTTCGTGTTTTGGACAAAAATGACTTCTCAGAAGTTGAAGTCGTACAGGGAGAGCCTCCAGCTAAAGGAACGCCAGCGATACCAAGTGAAAATGGGACTGATTGCGGGGAGAGATCCATATATGCTAGCAAAGGAGGACCTGAAGAATGATGCTAAGTGCTTACCTGCTGTTACGTACATTGACATCGTGAACTACCTCATAAATGCAAAAAGTGCGTACACATTTGAACAGCTGAAGGCATATAAATCAATGGAAGCCATGAATCAGCTGTGTTGTGGATGGGTGCGTGATGTACAAAGTATGACTGTGGAGTCCAACGTGTTGGTGTTAGCAAAGGTATGTAGCCTGCTAGCCTTTATATTTTTTACAGTATTTACGGTACTGTTTCTTATTTTCATGTTATGATTTTTTTTCACACATTCAGGTTTGCCATTCTCAGATGCTGAATGCTGCCCCTCTGCGTCCATGGATCATAGCTAACAAAGATGGGACAATAGAAGCAGCACATTGTGATTGCAAGGCTGGACTAGGTGAAACCTGCAGCCATGTCGGTGCTCTCCTGTTTTACGTTGAATCAGCACACCGCTTGGTTACACAGAGGACTGTCACCCAAGAGAAGGCTTACTGGTGCATACCATCAGCGATTGACAAGGTGCCATATGCCACGATTCGTCAAATAGACTTCACATCAGTAGCGACAAAGAAGAGACGTTTTGAAAGTAGAATCAGTGGTAATGCCCTTGTTTGTTTACCTTTGTCACCTTAAATTCAGCCTGGTATCTGCTGACTGTTTTTGTGTAATGAATGAATTATATATATTTTTGGAATTCTAAATTAGATATACATTCAAATAATGACATTAGACTTACTTTATTGTCTTGCTTATGGGATAAATGTGCACTTACTACTTGTATAACTCCAATACTGTTGTTGGGAACAGCAGGCAATAAGTAAACATATTTTATCCTCATTGCAGGTGGGCCTATTCAACAGCGGTCATCCCAGAAACTTCCTGATGTCCCGAGACCATCAGCTGCAGACAGACTTGAAATATTGCACGACTTGCATCGCGTGACAAAAGCATCTGTACTGACTGTGTCCAGTGGATTTCAAGACCAATATGTCCCAAAGATTCTCCAAGACGGGAATCTGCCTCAGCCACTTTCTAATCTGCGAGATGATAAGTATCTTGAAATGGAACCAGAACTCCTAAGACAGCATTGTTTGACAATTTTAAAGGATGTAACTGTCACCCCAGAGCAAGCTGTGAATGTGGAACGACTGACACGAGAACAAAATAAGTGTAAAGAGTGGTTCCACTTTAGATTAGGTAGGATTACTGCTTCAAATATGAAGGCTGTGTGCGATTACAATTCAGCATCTCCAGCTAGTTCAACCATTCAGGCGGTGTGTGGTAGAAAGCCGGTAAAAACTAAAGCCACTGACTATGGTCTAAAACATGAAGGTATTGCTTTAAGTGCATACACAGAGAAAATGTGTCAACAGCATGAAAATTTTTTTGTGAAAAAGTGTGGACTCTTTCTAAATGGCAGATATTCACATGTTGGTGCCACTCCTGATGGAATTGTACAGTGTGACTGCTGCGGTGTGGGTCTTGTCGAAGTAAAATGCCCCTACACAGCAAAAGAGAAAGGTCTTTCAAGTGTGGATTATATCAAGGAGGGACACTTGATAGACAAACACAAGTACAAGTATCAAATTCAGACGCAGTTAACTGTTACGCAGAAAGCCTACTGTGACTTTGTTGTGTGGAGTCCGACTGGAATGTTCATCCAGAGGATCGAGCCAGACCAAGCCCTGGAAGAAGAAATCTTGAAAAAGTCCGAGGACTTCTTCTTATCTGTCGTCCTCCCAGAGATGACAGGAAGCCTTCTTACTAGGGAAAGGCTGCACAAGCAACAATCAAACACTTTGTTCAACAACAGTGCCAGTCCTGATGGGATACCGGTTATCAGTACTGCACCCCAACAGACTCGGAGTCAGTCAGCAGCTGAAGATGGCAGCACTACATGCAGTGCACTCCGTTGTGTTTGTGGTGAACGGTCAGAAACATATATGAGTAATACAGTGAAGTGTGCCAATGAAAAATGTCAGTATGGTTTTCTCCATTTCAAATGTGTTGGCATTAAGAGGAATCCCAAACCTCCATACTATTGTCCCACTTGTAGAAAAGTGATGTGGTAATAAAGTGAAAAGAAAAGTATGTTTCAGAGAACATTTATTTGACCCACAACGGGGAAATTTGTGTTGCATCACAAGTTATGGAACAGTAGGAAAGAGTAGCACACTGTAAAAGATGAGTGAACAATAGCTATACTAATTAAAATAAAACATTCTTTAACTCCCATAAATAACAAGTATAAAATCAAGTATAAAATCTATCTTAAATAAAAATAAGTGTAAAAGTTTTACATTTGGCAAAATAAGAGGCGTGTGTATTATAGTGCCAGCAATATGTAGTTCTATGTTAGCATCTGTACATATGCAGCAGTATCTTTACATCTATACATTAGCAGCATGAGGCTCTGGGACACAGTGACTCAGTAAAGTGACAGTGACATTTGGTTAAGCATAATTCCACACAGCATAGTTCTATGCAATACTTAATCAAAACTAACCACAGACTCACACATGTTGGTTAATGCACAACAAACTGTTGTAATTTTATCGATTGCTGGCACACCCCCCTCTTCACTCATCAAATAGTCAATAGGCAGCTTGCCTTGCAAAATTGTGTACTTATTTCTAACAAGTCCTATCACCCTCTCCACATGAATTCTAACATGGGCGATTCTTCGTGTAGTCTCAACGTCTGTTGCTGATAGCTGAGGTTTCCCACGTGTAAACGCTGGAACATTTATTTCTGCACAGTGGAAACCAACACTTTCTGAAATGTCAAATCCACGGTCGGCTAAAACCAGATCTCCTGGTAACAGCTTGTTCAATATTCCACACTCTTCTGTTATGAACTTATCGGAGGCTCTTCCTCCCCAACTATCCGAAATGAATGATATTGAACCTTGAGGTGTGATGCCTATTAGGTACTTAACAGTATTGTGGTGTTTATAGTTGCTCCATGTTTGAGCTCGGGCCATTAGTCCTGTTGGTCTTTGAATAAATATTTCAAAACAATCAATTATTACTGCAGTTTTCTTTGAAAAGTAAGTCTGAAATTCCATAGGCATTGTCTTTCTCAGTTCTTCTCTTTCTGGCCAATATATCAAAAATCCTAACCGAACAAACAATATATGTATAACAATTAAAAATGTTCTTGAAACGGTCGATGTTGATGTATTGAATCTGTATGCCAAGTCTTTTACTGGAAGATTCAACTTCAGTCTCATCAGCGTCATCAGTAGTCTTTCAAACACACCTATGCGCATATTCTTTTTGCAGAGGAAGGGTGAAACAATGTTGAAAAGTAGCATGAGCGTTTCAAAGTTTGGCAGTCCAGTGTAGTATTTTACTTTCTCATTGTTATCTTGAAAGCTATTCTGTGTTAATTTCAGAGATTCTAGTTCTGCCCGTAACATCATGTTTTCTGATAAGAGTCTTTGATTTTCACTCTCTACTTGACTTTGAGTAACTCGTGGGATGGAGTGGTTAGATGCTTCGCTGTCATTGCTGGTGTCTGCTAGACTTTCGTGACAATCTGGTTCCTCTGGTGGAATGGGGTCCTCATGTTGAAAATTGTCATGGAGTTCAAGAAGACATCTTGCAGCATGGTGCTTCTCTTTTGTTTCTTGTCTTTTCATCACTCTCTGAAATCTGTTTGAATAAATATAAGAACCATAAATGGTTAATACTTTTATTTAGACTTTCAAAACAAGTACCTTCATCAAGGGTTATTTCAAGTAAGAGGATGTATCGTGTATACCTTTTTTGTTTAGTCTCAATCTCCGCTTGTTTTTTTTGGGATTTGGTAGGGGTCAGCATTTCCCCAAGCTTCAATGTTGGTGCCCAATCTGGGTTGGATCGTTCATACATACTAGAAGGGTGACCTGAGAATCAGAAAAGAAGAAATGTGGAAATATTACATCAATTCAAAGTCATAATATATGACACGATTCAAATACTACCAAGCTCTGCTAGCTTCCCTGAACAGACAATGAAAGCTCCTTGCACTTGTGTTTTTGTAAATTATAATTAAATATATTAGTATATATTCGAATATCTAAATTAATGAACAAACAAACTTCGAAAATGATTTTTGTGCATAAGTCAAAGCCCTAGTTCAGAAACAGCATGTCATCAGTTTCTTCAAGCAGCTGTTTGCCCAGACATTAGGTTTAGCATGTAGCATAGCTAGGAACAAACTAAAGCAACGTGCACACTTATAAACAAAAACATACTTGATTACATTGAAAATATGTTGAGAATACAACTGCTCTACCTGTGATGAAGTGACTGGAGCAGATTTTCGAGAATTTCGTAGGTTCATCCTTCCTGTTGACACTAGCTAACCACAGTCGTCGGCGTTCCTCACTCAGTGATTTAGTGAAATCTCCCTCATGCACTCGGACACTTGGGATAGAATAGAAGCCTACTTTATCAGTCCCATTTGCTCTGTTAGTACATCCAGGTACCCAACACGAACAAACCATTTTGGTAAAAAAAAAAGAGCCCTGAAAATTATCTGTCTCAATGTTCGCAGCAGCAGCAGCCGCGTACTTTGCCCTGCAAAATGGTGGACGCAATGACAGGCCGGCAGCGGTGACGTCACATGGGAACTATGTATTGCACATTATTGCACGGTTGCATGACTTGTGAGGTCAGGTCGGCAGTGTCATCAGTCCTGCAGACCCTCTCCTTCACACAGCTAGGGTGTATCAGTCTGTCACTGAAGCTGCTTATTGGAGTTATTTTTGATTATTGTCTTTATTATAGTTATTATAATTTGCAGGTCCATTCCTTTGGCCGCAGATAAATAAGCAGTATTTCCTTCACGCACGTCGCTATTGTAAAGTTTAGGGCAGTGCTTCACTGCTGCGTTTTTGTTTTTTGCTTCCCTGTTACGTAGAAAGCGGAAGTGGGAGTGCTGTGGTGCGTACTGCTTCTGTTGGAGTGAGGGTTGTTTTCGTCTTCGGCTGCTGTAAAACTACATTATAGCAGCACAGCAGACGGGCCCACTGTTACAGGTTTGAGGAACATATATACCATCTGCTTTAGCTAATGTGTTATAACCCTGATTGCAATGGCGTGACGCGTTGGAGCTGACAGCCATGTTTCTGTAGCTATATATCAATCAATGATGCAGCTAGCCAAAGTTACCATGTTTATTTTTAGCAGCTAACCAGCGTTGATTGTAGCGATAAAAAACGGGATATAAGGTTGTGAATCATTGCCGTGTTTAGCTCTGTGGCTTGCCCGGGGCATCAAGGAACCGAAGGAGAAAATATGACATTTTGAAACGATAAAGTAGTGTTGAGTGAAAAGGATTATGTTAGCTCACGGATTGCTATTCTCTGATGCCAAGCTAGCTGCCAGCTGACATGTTTTGATCTGTTTAATAAAGGGGACTATATTAAAAGGATGTGACGATTTTATGTTTTAAAATGTAATGTCACATTTTGACCATTGGTTCTTGCTTTTGAATGTGACTTGTTCATTCAGGTAAACTAAAATTATACCGACCTTTATTTACAAACTGGTTATTTATGAATGAGCAAATGACATGATAAAATATCTCTCTTTTAGATGGACCAACCAAACCAGTCGTATATGTTTGCCAGTCTGACACGGCCTCACTCAGAGCAGCTGCTGCAGGGCCTCCAGCTTTTGCGGCAAGATCATGAACTTTGTGACATTGTGCTCCGCGTGGGTGATGCCAAGATTCATGCCCACAAAGTTGTGTTGGCCAGCATAAGTCCTTACTTCAAGGCTATGTTCACTGGTAATTTGTCTGAAAAAGAGACTTCTGAAGTGGAGTTTCAGTGCATTGATGAAACTGCATTGAAGGTGTGTTGTATAATTCATATAATTTCAAAGTAATTTCATTGAAAAAATAATAATTACGTCTCTTTTCTATCCTAGGCCATTGTTGAGTATGCCTACACAGGGACTGTGTTCATCTCCCAGGAGACCGTAGAATCTCTTTTACCGGCTGCCAACTTACTTCAGGTCAAACTTGTACTCAACGAGTGCTGTTCTTTTCTGGAGAGCCAACTGGATGCTGGAAACTGTATAGGCATTTCCCGTTTCGCAGAGACTTATGGTTGTCATGACTTGTGCCTGGCTGCAACTAAATTCATCTGTGAAAACTTTGAAGAAGTCTGTCAGACAGAGGAGTTTTTTGAACTGACAAGAGCGGAGCTTGATGAAATAGTCTCCAATGACTGTCTCAAGGTGGTTACAGAAGAGACTGTGTTTTACGCTTTGGAATCATGGATCAAATATGATGTAACTGAGAGACAGCAATATCTTGCTCAGTTACTGCACTGTGTGCGCCTTCCACTTCTGAGTGTAAAATTTCTCACCCGCCTGTATGAAGCTAACCACCTCATACGAGATGACCATGCCTGCAAGCACCTGCTCAACGAGGCTCTAAAATATCATTTTATGCCCGAGCATCGGCTCTCCTATCAGACTGTTTTGTCTGCACGGCCCAGGTGTGCACCAAAGGTTTTACTTGCAGTGGGAGGCAAAGCTGGACTGTTCGCCACCCTAGAAAGGTAAACGTAATGTACCAGTAAGCAATATAATTGTCCACACATTTGAGAAGCCTATAGTGGCACATCTAAAACTAAGTTGTAAATTAATTTATGATTTACATTTAAAACTCCATAAGACTTCTTACATGATGGATTGTATTGTATCAGTGTAATGCACTCTTTAAATGTTTATGCATTGCTTTATTAATAACTGAACATTGCTCTTTTGCAGTATGGAAATGTATTTCCCACAGACTGATTCATGGATTGGACTGGCTCCACTGAGTGTCCCTCGATATGAGTTTGGAGTAGCAGTACTGGATCACAAAGTATATGTTGTTGGAGGCATTGCCACACATATGAGACAAGGCATCAGCTATCGCAGACATGAGAGCACTGTCGAGAGCTGGGACCCTGAAAGCAACATCTGGTCCTCTGTAGAGCGGATGGCCGAGTGCCGCAGCACTCTCGGTGTGGTCGTCCTCGCTGGAGAGCTGTATGCTTTGGGAGGTTATGATGGCCAGTACTATCTGCAAACAGTGGAGAAATATGTGCCCAAACTGAAGGAGTGGCAGCCTGTAGCACCCATGACAAAGTCACGCAGCTGTTTTGCCACTGCAGTTCTGGACGGAATGGTTTATGCCATTGGAGGATATGGCCCTGCGCACATGAGCAGGTACATACTTTTAAGTCATTTGTAGTTTATTTGTTCGAGGAAAAGATCAAATTGATATTCACTTTTTTTGTGTGGCCATTTCAAGTGACCTGGGTAGATTTTATATGACATACACACTAGCATAATGTAGTCACGCTATGAATAAGAAATATTTGGTATTGATAAACATAAAAGAACTGTTATAATTGTGGATTTACTTTAAAGGCTCTATATTAATGTGCTGATAGATGCAGTGTTGTTGCTGTGAATCTCCAAAGAGCAGCACCTCTTGTGGTTTGTTTCCTTGACTCCTGTACCCCTGAGTAGAATGTGTTTGGACAGGCAATCCTTTGGGATGTTTTTCCTTTCAGACAGGGAAAAACACAACACGTTGGATATGGTTATGTATTATCAGGTTCTGTTTTTTTCCCCCTTATACAGTGTGGAGCGGTTTGATCCTAGTAAGGAGGCCTGGGAAATGGTAGCCCCCATGGCAGATAAAAGGATCAACTTTGGAGTGGGAGTCATGCTTGGATTTATTTTTGTTGTTGGTGGCCATAATGGAGTATCCCATCTATCAAGCATAGAGAGGTTTGATCCCCATCAAAACCAGTGGACAGCCTGCAGGCCAATGAATGAACCACGCACGGGTAAGAAAATCTCTTTTGTTGTGTAAAGCTTATTTCCTGTTAATAATGTATATTCAATTTGTTCCATAGGTGTGGGTTCATCCATTGTGGACAACTACCTCTATGTGGTGGGGGGGCACTCTGGATCATCCTATTTGAACACTGTTCAACGTTATGACCCTATAACAGACAGCTGGTTGGACTCAAGTGGAATGATGTACTGCAGGTGTAACTTCGGGTTGACGGCCCTTTGACCCATGGCCCAACCAAAGAGGACTTGAACAATCAAGCCAGATGTTTTGTGATCTGCTCCTCCTTCCTAAGACTCAGGGCACTGACATGGATGCCTGAGGAAGAAAGACGGAACCTGCTGGGATCAAGAATATGACCAGCCTGTTCTCTGGCAGAGGTCATTCCAACAGATTTCAAAATCTGTGAATGAGGAGGAATGCACAGGAACCACCAGGGGACCGAGCCATTTTCCTCAGAAGATTGTTGGTAGAATGCATTAAATTCAAAGTTAAGCGAAAAGGTGTTTTTTTTTTTAAAGGGCCTGTGCTTGATTTGATTGCAGTTGTTCTCAACCGTTTTCCCGAATGCATACCTCTTAGTGCTTTTCACAACTTTGAGAGACAAGAGCAGGTCTGATAGCCACGATAACTGAGTAGGAGTTTGCCTGCGATTGCTGTTTCTCTGAAAATAATCTAAACTCAATTGTTAAACTGTTGTTACATGGAACCGACTCCCCCAAAAACCCTATTCAAACAAGACTATGTTGCTTTTGCGTGTCGGGTAGTTTGGGATGCAGACATTATTCCTGAAATGGCAAACGTATAGTCATATTAATGGGATCCTAACCTGCTAATGCGTTCATACTGCTGACATTGCTTTTTAATTTTTTTGTGTGTTACCTGTAGCACTTTTTGTAGACTGCGTGTTGTTATACCAATATTTCAAACATCTAATCCTTCAAAAGAGCATGTTACTTTTCACAGCTCCCATCTCTCTGGATCTCTTCCCGCGTTGTCTGTGGCACTGTAGGATTGGGTCGTACCGCACCTTTTCATTTCGCTCTCGCTGCTCCACCTACTCTATACCTACCTGCTCTATGCCGGACCCCGTCCAATGTGACAATGGGCGATTTCAATCTTCATAGTTTACTGTTAGAGAGTTGGGGTTAAGCAGATACTGGGTGGAGAACGGCCCAATAGGTTGTGTTCATGTAGGAGGGCAGTTGCTGTATGCACAGTGATGCAGTTGTCGTATCGGACCACTGTGGTGAAGAGGGAGCAGAGTCGAAAGGCAAAGTTCTTGATTAACTGGTCAATCTACGTTCCCTCCCTCACCTATGGTCATGAGCTTTGGGTAATGACTGAAAGGACGATCGCGGATACAAAGCTTTTGTGAATATTGCCATCACTTCTAGACACCTTTTTTATGAAGAAATGATCCGATAGTTGATAAGTGCTGACGACAAAATTCCTCCACCACAATTAAACTATAGGCTCTTTAGGCTGTTGTGATGTCACATGAACAATTGCAGTGGAATGACTTGGAAGCACCATGGCAATGGGACTGCACTTCCAGGATCATCTTTAGCTTATGTTTTGTGTTTTTAAACTTTTGAGCATAGTACATTCCCATAGATCAACAGATATTCAACTGCTATGAATTTAGTTTTTTATATCTATTGGAAAAATAGATGGACTCACCACCTGCAGGAGGAGCTAGTGGTTTAGGTCTCATACCTGCATTTTCATAATGTCTCTTGCAAAGAAAAGCAACTTGACAAAGCAATTAGTTAAACGCGTCTTTTCCCCATTTTCCCTGAATCTTTTTTCCAGATTACCACTGGATTAATTAAACTGGTACCCTAGAGCATGTATTGATAAAGTACTTGCACCTAGAAAGAACCCCTCGCTGTACGTCACCTCTTTGAAACATCAAAAGCTGCTTTGAGGGAAAAATGCAGCGCAGGCTCTTTAATCTCCTTTTCCTCCGCCCCTGCTGCAACTACTACATTTGGTTTGTGTATCAGACTTCAACGATGTAGCGTGTATGTACTGAGCTCCGACTTAAAGCATGTTCTGTGTGTTTTCTTTGGGTCCGTTTCGAAACTGATGCTCAGTGACAGTTATGCATCAAAATCAGAGCTTCTCAAAACGAGATGATCTGGAGTCTTTATATTTCCTCTTAAAGGGCTGCCTTTTTCTCTTGTGTGTATATACAATAAGTATACAGATAAAATATATATACTCTAGTGCATTTGCCTGTAAATGTTTTTCTGCACTGGGTCAAGAGTGTAAATGCGAATGTTTCGATGTAGTTTGAGGTGAATGAAATAGTCTTATGAATATTAGTAAAAATCTCAACGTTTCTACTAATATTTGACTATTGGTACTTCCAAGTTTGTTTGACTAACTTTGTGTGTTATTTATTTTTGCAACTAAGTCCCATCTAACACTGTTAGTTGTGAATGCTCTAAACTGGTGCTATTTTAGGATTCAGGCTTCAGCTTTTGTCTCTGTCTTAGACTCATGATCACAAGTGTTTGGGCGCGTAGTATGTTATGTGTTAAAATGCATACATGTTCTGTCATTACACCATCTCTACGTAATCACTTTCTCATTCTTCTTTCACACTTAAGTTTTTTTGTATTAAATGTTAACCCCTATCTGTTATATCAGACTAAGATATTAGAATGGAAACCAGGCTACAAAGTTGTGCCATTTCCCCAAAGTGACATTACACTGGCAAGTTTGTCTGCAGTTACTCTACCAACAGAGAAAGAGAAAGCAGCTCTTCAGTAAATGGAGAAATCCTCTGGCTTATGTTTAGATACCAAAATAAATAGTTCTTTAAAATCATGGGCATCAGAATAAGGTTAAGTTTTGGATGTCAAGAGAAATTGATGTTTTATTCATTTATGTTTGCACAGTGTGAATTCTAACATTGCACTTAACCAAACTACTTGTTGAAATTGTACCGTTTTTTTATGGCTGGCTGTCAACTTAGATAATATTGCAATAAGACTTATTTTCTGAGTTTTTGTCTCCTCCAAAGCCAAGGCGTGTGTGTTTTTTCTAATTGTCCCATTGTGTCGTTGTCAGACATCTGCATGTGTTCTGTTCTGCATGTTTGATTTCATTGTATTTTTTGTGTGTGAATTGCCACTATATAAACAAGATCCATGTTTTGTACTTGACAAATAATTCCGTGGCGATTTAGAATTGCGTCTATACAACAACAAAAACATGTTTAAAGCTAAGTTTACAGTGGCCTTGAGCGTTTGTCATCGCCAGTGTGTCAAGATCTAGAACATGTTCACTGGTTGATTGCATGACCATGTTGTACTTTTTTTTTAATCAAGCAATGTATGTAAAAATTTAACATAACTGCAAATGTATTTTTGTGGTGCATTTTGTTATGTGGCAGAAATTACGCAGGCGTAATTATGTGCCATTGTCACTTAGCATACATTTTGTGCCATCTTGTTTTGACAGTGAATCTTGTAGAATCTCAACAGTCAAAAGCGGCCGATTCAAATCTGGAAACGTAATTCTGCAAAAGGGAAGTGTGTACAGAGCCTTCTTGTTATGGCCAAACCAATGTCATGTGTCACTCCTCTCACCAAAGTGCTTGTTCAAAGAGAGCAGATGGACGAATGACTTTAACTTCTACTTTATTGCTCATATTAGCCAAATGACCACTGCTTTTTTTTCTACACATTCCATCGTCTCATTTTGAAACTTGTGGACTGACGCTGAAGGTACATGACGCTTTCACTTCAGTCATGTCCATGTTTTGTGTCATGTCATTCTGTGTGGTGCCGTACCCAGTTCAAAATAAATGCCTGCCTTAAAGATTTTCAGTTTGTGTTTTTGCATTAACAAATACAACAAATTATGACTGTGTAAAAAAATATATTTTGCAAGAGAAAAGTGAAGTTGGCTCCAGAGTTCAAATCGTAGCAAAATTGATCAAGGAAATGTTTGTCTCATTTGTAGATTCTGCAATTCTCACTATTGATAGTGATGTGGAGCATGCTACAAAAACAATCACTCATGCTATTAACAATCAATGACATGAATAACAGGACATCACATGTTTAACAACATACAACCATTATTATCAAATCACAATGTTTTCATGAAATAAAATGTAAACTGTAGCCAATTTAAAAGCCATTTGTCAATTCAATTTCTTTCTTATAGCCCTAAATCAAAACAGCAGTCCGTGGACTTTACAAAGTTGTTGATTCGCCAACAGTTTGAACACATGAAATACATAATAATCACATAGGAGCCATAGTCATTTTTATAATATCTTTGGTTTGAGCATAACACATGAACTAATATAGTCCATTATTATCTTGGATTCCAAGGGAGTGAAGCATTAACAATTCAGCTGAACAAATACAGGTTTGAAATATGTGCCCCAAAACATAGTTAAAATGTCCTCATACTCATTTGGAGCGGACATAAACCAGTGAGGATAATAGTAGAAACTCTGGTGGCTTGTGGAGCAGGATGAGATTATCACTCCTTAAACCATCGTAGTGCAACCAGTAGCCATCAATTTGAAATGCTGCCGAGTAGTGATGCTCAACTTTGTTGAAGAGAGTGGCGCCCTCCAAATAATACCTTAAGATGAGAACAACCTAATAATAGTGTTGATATGTTACATGTTGAGGCAGTAAAAAACAGCTAATGATATGGTATTATTATTTGCAGTATTTTTCTATTTTTTCCCATAATTAGTTCGGTGTAAATGAAAAAAAGACCAATGGAAGCGCATTACCTCTGCTGACTGAGGTCAAGGTTGTAAGGAACATGTGACAAGTCCTCTGACTTCCACTTCTGCATGTTAAAAATGACAAATGGTGGAGGTCCATGGCAGAACACTCTTTGAGAATACTCCCTTAGGCCGCTACATCTGTCAGAACACAATTCAATTTAATTTGGATTCATTTGCTTTGATCTAAATTGTTACAGTATTTGTGCACCCCAGCTCAGTGCAGAGAAGATATTTGGAAAAGAAAAACTCATCCACCGCTGACTGTATTGGGTCCCCCTGGGGCAGCTCATTGGGAGGGCTGAAAGTAAAACAAGAAAAAACAAAAACAAACAACCAAACACAAAAAGACAAGTTAACAATGCCTCATATTTACACAATACACAATACAATACAATTTATTCTTGTATAGCCCTAGGTCACAACAGAAGTCATCTCAGAGGACTTAACAAAACCATTGAAATCACCAACACAGGTCAGAGAATCAACAGTTAAAACACATGAAGAATATAAAGCACACACAGAAGAAAATGTCCATACATGTTGTAGAATGCTAAAGTGTCCTGATCATCACCAATCCTTTCTGTTGGACACTAACTGTCCAACAAGACCCTCCTGCATCGACAAGGAAAAACTCTTAAAAACTCTTAAAAACTCTTAAAATTTAACAGTGTAAGACACAGTGATGTTCAAGGAGCTGCATACCAGATGTTGATGTTCGTCTGAGGCAGCTCCTGGAAGCGGACTGGACAACTCCAGTTGTCACACACTGTTTCCTGTACAGTGGACATCAAATCATCCAGGTTTTCTGTGAAATTCTGATGTTCATTGCCAAACAGGTCAATCTCCAATGCTGCCTTGTGTATTCCTGAGTGATATTGTTTTTTGGACATTCTTTCCCATATCCACAGCATTTTAACAGAAGTATAGTCACAGCAATCCATTAGATAGAGGAAGTAGTCGACAAAGTGTTTACCGAGAAAAGCGGAGAGTTCCCTGGGAAAACCTTGATTATCCCGTAGAATAACATAGAGGATCATGAGAAAACCATCAATTGTGCATGTATTCTTGAGACTTATCTGGACATAAAGTGGAATACAGGACATTGCCTTCTGCCCTGCTTTAATTGTAAAAATACCACCCCATGGGAGCACAGGCCTCCAAAAGCAGTGATCCTCTTCATCGTTGTTATTAAGAGAGGCACGGATTTCCTCGAACAGTGTCTTGGACCTACGGGCACACACAGGAATTAACCAATGACTGCATGCCTATACATAGTTCCCACAGACCAATGAATGTCACATGACCTCCTCGGAGACGCCATCTTTGATGGCACGCTGCTGTGTTTGTGCATTCCATTAAACAGAAGAATGAGAATAAATGTAGATATTCAAACGCAAATTGGAAAAAAAGGGCAACTTTCGAGCACATAATTGTATATTAATACAATGGCACCACAGTTTAACGTGCTACGGACATGTTTTACATATTTGATCAAATTATGCAGCAAAAATTAACAAGCAATGCAAACATTTCTCAAAAACTTTAGATTTAATACCAGTTGGAGCTCCATTTAATTATTTTAATTATATTAACAATTAATTTAATTAATGCTAATGCCACACGGACACTCTGGATTGCTGTTATTGTTTATTTCCGCGTTTTTGACCGTATGTTTGGTGAATGGTGGGCAACTGATTTTTCCAGGCGTAAAGAGCAGTTTATTTTATGACACAGATCTTTTTACAGAAGCAATGCTGTTTGTGAACATTGTTTTAGCCCACCATAGAACTATTATTATCTATTTAATACATTTACGTTGCCCTCGAGAGCCTCGGACGCGACACCGATCCTCCTCATAATAAAGTAATCTAAATAATGAAACTCTCAAGTTACCAGATATCAGCATACACAAGTTAGTACTGAGTAAATTACGTCTGTCAACACATTATAAGATACGATACGCACCTGACACAAAGTGCTCCGAGCATATTCTTGCGTGTTTTGAGGGAGTTTCTTGCCTGTTTATCTTCGCAAGCCATAACCTCCGTGGTTGTTCTGACAAAAGCTTAGTCTTCTCACATTCATGAAGTCTAATGATGGGTATACTGTAAAATCCAAGTTTAACGGAACCTCCGGCACGATTTGAACATCCATTGACCCAGCAGGAGATGACCATTTTCAACTTTATCACGACATTAACACGTTTCAGCTTCTTTTTCTATTGTTTTGCCCACAGCATGCCAACACAAATGGCGCCGGGTCGGCAAATCCCCGTATGTAGTGACGTCATGTGGGAACTATGTATACAAGATAAAAAGGTGTGTGCATGTCTCTGAACTATGAGAAAATAATATGATAGATCCATAGTGCATGTTCATAAATGCTAAATCGGCGTTTTGCAATTATTCACACGTTATAAAAAAGATAAGCAGGCTCACAAGTAAACTTCCGTCAATATGTCAACAAGAACAAATATGCGTACCCTACCTTTCAAAATGCACGCTTTTCCCACAAGAAGAAATATACAAGAGTTCTTCGTTGTCGTTTAGACGTTTATTGCAATTCGTCATACCTTCATCTCATTGTAGCAAATGCAAATATAAGTTTTCTAGCTTTTTCTTGAAACACTTCGATTCAGCTTCACAAACATTGGTGTGACGTAAGGTGTCTGCTGAAACGTGCGTGTTTTCCCCGAACACAGAAAGACAGCAATGTTGTTCAATGTTATTTTGATCCTTCGCTACGTTATACTAGATTTTACTAACTAGTATATCATTTCAAACTGAAACATTAATGTGACTGTAGTCTTTGAAAATATTTTTGAATAAAGACTACTCACTTACACTTGTAAATGTTAGTTCTTCGGGAATTGTTTTTGGCGATCTTGTGTAGGGAAAAAGAATAGGTTTGACGGTTGGACTTTATCCTTTTGTGCCTCCCTCTGCCGGCCACTATTGGTATTACAACCCACTTTCCTCGTTATGCGGAGCCCTCTCTCTCCAGTTAATTGTACAGAATTACAACCCACTTAGGGTATATCATACTCAATACAACTCAATAAAATATCATTACCCACCTCCGTGTATGAAGTCTATCGCACTATCTATCGCACTATTATCGAATATATACGGCTTCTTATCCTGTTTTGTGTGTTCCGTATTCCTAATGTATGAGCGTTGAGTAGGCATCTTCCTCAATGTGATGTTTTTTACATCACATTGAGCTCTTTATCTTTTCTTATATCATTACAGTGGCAGTGTTTTGTGTGTAATCTGTAGTCCTCCTCCCAAACCCACTTAATTGCAAGTGTATGGTAGCCGTAGATTAGAAGAAGAGCAACAAAAACGTTTAGAAAAAAGAATTTACATTGACATATAATTGTACATAACGTGGTTCTAGAATCTCTCACTCTCCTTGAAGATATTCCATTGGTAGATAAAACAGCATCAAATAATTTTCACCCGCTGTGATTGGCCCACAGACTTGCCCGTCAAAGCTACTCCCGCCCACCTCGTGTACGCTGAATGGTATTCGCGAAAGTTTTTGCTCCACATTTGTGCTCTGAAAGTTGCATGTGGAACCCAATTCACTGTAGGAGCAAGATACATCGGTTTTCCCTTTCTGATCAACAACTGTGCACAGCTGACAGACAGAAGACGAGAAGAGAGACAAGATGCCAGCCAAAATTATAAGTGGGAAAGAGGTCTCTACGTGAGTATTAGCAGCAGAATACTTGAGCAATGCACGTGGAAGCGGATGATTCATTTTAACACCACGCGCCAAATTATTGTTTTTCACAATATGATCGACCTATAAATGTAATATAAATATAATAGAAAAGTTGGGATCGACCAGATATAGCTGTTTTACATGATCACAAACAATACGTAATGTGCACGTGGAGAAAGCCTAGATCTGTCTTTATGCAAAAGAATAACATACAAATATGCGATTTTGATTACGAAATGACGTGCAGATAGCTCATACAAAACTACGTTCAGAATTATGTAATAACCTTTTGTTGTCAGGGGATCTTTGCCCTCTTATAGTCCACTGACCTCAAGCTGTGTTGACAGACTTTTCACATCCATTCATTCACTGACAAGTTAACTACAGTAGTCAATTTTGCTTTTAAGTGGAGGGATGCACACAAGTTCTATTCCAAATTAGTGTTGGGGAGAGCATGTGCCTGTCACAAGACAAGACATCCTGCACTTTGTTAATTGCCACGCCGTTCTCATTATTTCATTACTGACCTATGCTATCATCTTTTGAAAATGCCATAGGGTTGAAGTATAGCCTAAGACTTAAACCTGTAAAGCTGTTCAAATACTGTTTTTCTTTAGCTGATTTGCTGATTTAGCTCCTTTTCATATATTTAATCTTATCTATCTCAATACCCGATCAATGAAACTCCAAAGAGTAACTAAATAGTAATGACATTCATCATAGGGAAAACAAAAGCAGAGTAGTTTTGATATCTTTGGTGTGATTTATAAATATATTTGTCTCACAAGGCTGGTGAAGGAGCGCCTGAAGAAAGAGGTGGACGCCATGAAGCTGACAGACCCCAATTTCAAACCTGGTCTGACAGTTTTGCAGGTAAACATGTGTGTTTTAAGATGGTCTGCTCTTTAGAATCTTGGGGTGGTGCAACAAGAAGGTTTAGAGTTTGCATGTTCTCCACATGTCTGCGTAGCTTCCCTCTATCTGCTCTGATGTCTCCTACTTTCAAAAACATGTCGTGCAAACACTTGTACATAAATGATGGAGAGTCTGGTGCGAGAAATGAAAGGGAAATCTACCTTGGTTTGTGCGATGAGCTATATAATAAACATTACTTATTATATATGAAATAGACTCATACCGCAGTCATTGTAAGAAGTGAATTTTTTGAGCTGTAATCCTTTACAAAAAATGATGGTACTTTGATATTTTTCTCGTTCTTTCGATTAAAGCTGCACTAACTGACTTTATTTTTGTATTAATTACTAAAATGCTATCCATGTCCGTGTAGGGGATTGGGATATACGTCCTTTTGAAGAAAAAGTAGCGCAGATTTGTGCTGGCGTGACATTATATTTTAGATCGAGTTTTGATGAAACAAGGAAGAGAATGTGTTTCGGGTCGCAGATTGTGACCAATCACAGCGGACCACTGGCCCCCACTTTCGTGAGAAATCTCCAGGTCCGTTAGCACAGACAGCTGAGTTAGCACAACAAGCCGAGGAGCTAACCTGAAGCTTCGTGTGTCTTCATCACCGGTTACTGCTTACACAGCAAGACAGCCATCCAAAAGAAAGTCTCGTTCCTCCGCGCTTCCCGGTTCTATCGTTCTATGGTCACGCCATCCATGTGCAAATCCATATTCATGTATTATCCATATTGGGAGACACTAGCTCCGTCCCAACAGTGGGTGTGTGTGGGGGGCGATAGCTTCGTGGGTGCGGGGAGGGGAGCAGAAAGAGAGAGGCCAGCGACTCTGCGGCTTCAAAATCCCAAAGTCAGTTAGTGCAGCTTTAAGTTAGAAACATTTTATTTATGATTTTTTTTTGCTCAATATAAATAAAAAGAAAAATTTAAATCTGACAGATCTTTTCAAGTTGAATGGATAGTAGTTTTGATTATCCGATGAGATATTTATGACTATGTTTACTGCTTTTAGATGTGGTTCAATAATTCTTCAAATCTTCTTAAAATAAGTTTTACTTTAGTCTTTAAATTTGTTTTTGTGTGGATTTTTTGTTAGTACTTCTAATACAACTGTGCATGCTGTAGTTTCTTCATTACCACAAGTCCCTGTAGCATTAACGTCAATATTTCTTTCAGGTTGGCGACCGGGAAGATTCAAATCTTTACATCAGTATGAAATTGAAGGCTGCTGATGAGGCAACTGACTTTTTACTGAATTAAAAGTAGATCTGTATATTGTTATTTACATGTTATTAACATGCTAACATGTTCATTTCTCCCTCTAGATTGGAATAAAGGCCACTCATTTGAAACTCCCAAAGACTGCTACAGAAAGTGAGGTAGGGGATTACACAAACGGTTCGGTCATACATGCATCTGTTTTTATATTAAATGGTTAAGATCGTCTCTATATTTACAGATTCTCCATGCTATTACAGAAGTGAATGAAAACTCTTCTATACATGGGCTGATTGTGCAACTGCCACTGGACTCCATTCATAAAATTGACACAGAAAAAGTCACTAATGCCGTGGCACAGGAGAAAGATGTGGACGGGTCAGTCTTCTTTCAGCTTTACCTTTTAACTGGGTTCTTACAGGGCCTTATAAGAATTGACTTTTATGAATCTGGAAAGAGTTTGGAGATTTTAAAGTGTGCGATATGTAACTTCTCTGTATTGCATCCACCTTAAAAGTTTTATTTTTCAAAAGTGGTGAAACGCTGCCTCTGGTCCGAACTACAACACAGACACAAACTGTTCACATTTGTTTGAGAAGTCAATCTGAAATCAATACAAAAAAATAGATCAAATTCCGGGCCAAATCCTCCGAAGAGATTACAAAATTGCGTAACATTCCAACTAGATTTAGAGTCTGCGAAATAGGTCATTGTAATTATACATACATTTTTTTATATGGTCTCAAAAAGATCTGAAAAAGGGTTGAATCTGACTTGAAGAAACCTGTGGGAACCCTGTATAATGACTGCTTACTCTGTGTACTGTATTATAATGTGTTTTTTATTGTAATGTAACAAGTTGTGTTTTTGTACGGTAAAAACCAGGCTGACCAGTGTAAACGCCGGGAAACTCGCCCGCGGGGATCTGAGAGACTGCTTTATTCCCTGCACACCAAACGGCTGCATGGAGTTGATCAAACAAACTGGTATTTGATAACGTGCACCAACAGACAACCCTTTATACACATACTATAGAGCAGACATGTGTGTTCGTGATTTTCAATTATTATTATTGTTAACTTGCAGCATCGATGGTATTTATGGTATTTAAGTTATGCATCATATATTCTCTCAGGAAAACAACCTAATTTAATGTAGTCTAACATTTTACGCAACACATCATTAGGAATTAAACAACTAAATAAATATAAATCAGCGTTTAACTATATATTTGGTCCAGTTTTGGTTAATTCCAAACAATCATAAATGTTTTTAAAAAAACATTTTTTTCTTCTGAAAAGTCAACTATAGAATAATTGTGAAACTTGTGTCATATTGAAGTCGTGTCAAAACACCTTCATAAAGTAAAATACAATTACAACAACAATTACGAAAACAAAATAATCCCTTTTATTCTTTCGGCTCCCGACCAGTTATTTTTTATTTTTTTTCGGCACCTGACCAAAATGAGTTCGAGACCCCTGCTGTAGAGTCTAATACTGTTTCTCTAATGTAGGCATTTCCGTGGCGGGAAAGAAGGCTGTGGTGCTCGGACGCAGTAAAATTGTGGGCGCACCGATGCATGATCTGCTCCTGTGGAACCATGCCACGGTCACCACCTGTCACTCAAAGACCGTTGATCTAGATTTGGAGGTACTTTTGTCAGAATGATACATTTATGTTATGCACTATCGGCGAGCGGTTGTCCCATGTCCATGCAGGAGGGTCTAAGGACAGCGGTGATGATCCGAGCCATTTATTAACATTCATGGACATTGGTCATCTGATCCCTCCAGACCTATGTCTCCTATATCTTTGTTATTATTGTATTCCCTCACTGCAAAAAGTAAAGTCAAAAAGTCCAAAATGTTTCAAATTTGACTAAATGTATCTTAATTTGAACACATCTTGACTGGCCACTTAAAACAAGATTTTCCAATGGGACAATGTTAAATGATCTTTTTTTTAAAAAGATATGTCTCCCTTGGGATGAGAAAATATAGCCACACTTGATTCAAGCAATTACCATATATGTCAGGGGTTTTAGAAATGAAATATTTTACTGAACCACTCAGATTGTTTTATTTATAATTTTAAAATGCAAACGTACTTGGTGCACTAGTAACAAATATGTGATGATATTTACTGACTGAACCCGATATCAGGCGTGTTCTCATCAGTATATCACCTCATTTTTCCCAGAACGGCTTAAAGGAGTAGTTCTATGCCTTTTTCATCTGGGGAAAGTAGCTGTTGTGATTTAGGGCTATTCAGAACGTTAATTGAATTGGCTTGAACTAAAATGTAGTACCTTCATACAAAATGCTTCCTCTATGGGTTCTGTAGGTGGGTCGGGCTGACATCTTGGTTGTAGGCATTGGTCAAGCCGAAATGGTCAAAGGAGAATGGATCAAGAAAGGAGCAGTTGTTATTGACTGTGGCATTAATCCAATCCCAGGTTTGTAGTCATTTTAAACACACACAACGTCGCAAAGGTCTCATTCAATAAATCTGGGTTTTTGTGCTTCTCAGATGAATCCCGGCCCAATGGTAAACGAGTGGTGGGAGACGTCCACTACGCCTCTGCCAGAGAGCGGGCAGACTTCATCACACCGGTGCCTGGGGGAGTGGGGCCCATGACCGTGGCGATGCTGATGGCGGTAAGACCAGTCCCCACAAGAATGCCTGTTTTCATTCAGACGTTTTGTACACCGTTGGTCATTTCATCTTTTTTTCTATTGTTGTATAGAACACTGTTCAGAGTGCAAAGAGATTTCTCGAAACCAATCAACCTGGAAAATGGAATATAACTTACAACGAACTGAAACTGGAGAAGCCTGTGCCAAGGTAACGTGCTTTATTGGTGTTTGCCTTTAACACTTTTACCGATTATCATGATTATAAAATGTATGTATGGTTCTCTTCACCACAGTGACATAGTGATTTCTCGCTCCTGTATTCCCAAACCCATCGACCAACTCGCAAAAGAAGTGGGTTTGCTGTCCGATGAGGTGGAGCTCTACGGCAAGACTAAAGCTAAAGTTCAGCTGTCCATCATGAAGCGTCTGCAGGCCCAGCCAGACGGAAAATATGTAGTCGTCACTGGGTATGGCGTCAGCAGCAGGGTCCTATATTTCGCTTTTCTTAATTTTTCACTGTCCATTGATAGTCCAGTGATACTCCGCACAACTTGCCAGTCCTTAGTCATCCGTAAACTCCGGTAAATTATGATTTCCTACATGTGCGTCGGGGTCTGATCCTAGTGTCTGCAGTTACCGCGGTTGTATCCCATCCGACCATTCAGTAAGCGGGGAGGCGGGTGTTGTAGTTTGGTGTCGGCGACGTCAAGCGTTTGCGCCGAATTTGCTGGGAAGCAGAATCAGACCCTAATTATTTAGTTTTGAGGAGTATACTGTATAGGTGGGATTCTGAAGCTCGAGCTGCGTAAGAAATTGTGAATCAGGTTGTTTTTCTTCGTCTGGAGAATGAAAAAAAAAAGATTGCTCTCTAACTAAAGCTTGAGGGAATCAATAAAAAAAACTACTCTCGGCATAAGTATGAATCCAAACAGCACTGTAATTATGTTAAAAAAAGAGAACAATCAAAAAGCATAATATTGGACCTTTAATTTCAAATATGAAACGCTTTCATTTGTTGACATACACAGGTTTTGATTTTCATTTCTCTTTTCTCTTTAAGCATCACACCTACTCCTCTCGGCGAGGGGAAGAGCACCACCACTATTGGCCTCGTTCAAGCTCTCGGCGCTCACATGAAGCTCAACGTATTTGCATGTGTTCGACAGCCATCACAAGGACCCACGTTTGGGATAAAAGGTTTTTTCTGGACATGATGCATTTTGTCAACAGCCTTACTGTCTTTAAACTCATGCTGTAACTTCATTTTTCTCACTAGGTGGTGCTGCAGGCGGGGGTTATTCTCAAGTTATTCCAATGGAGGAGGTACTAGGGCACAGATTGTTGGTTGAAGTAAAGATAATTCTGCTTTATCTCACAAAAGTATGAATTTATTATAGTTTAACCTCCACCTCACTGGAGACATTCACGCCATCACTGCTGCCAACAACCTGGTGGCTGCAGCTATCGATGCTCGCATGTTTCATGAAGCTACCCAGTCCGACAAAGTGAGTTTCCACTTGTTGAAATTTATAGTATTAAACCTGTAATCTGTATCCTTCATCCAACAGGCTCTTTACAACCGCCTCGTTCCCCTCAGTGGGGGAAAGAGAGTGTTTTCAGACATCCAGCTTAAAAGACTAAAGGTAAGTCCAATGAAAATAACTTATTTGAAAATGTAAAGACCTACCAATAACTTGTAATATTTTGCATTAGAAACTTGGCATTGACAAAACTGAGCCCACAAGTCTTACTGAGGAAGAGATCACACGTTTTGCTCGCTTGGATATCGATCCCAACACAGTGACCTGGCAGAGAGGTGCGGCCGCCACACATCCAACTCAGTCTCTACACTTGATACACAGTATTAATCAGACCCTGCCTTGCTTAGCTTCTAAGGTCTGCCAGTAAAAAGTTTTCACATAAGGAGGTGGCACCATAACTTATGTAATATTTTTACTTCTTAAAGCTGCACTAACTGACTTTATTTTTGTATTCATTATGAAAATGCTATCCATGTCCATGCAGGGCATTGGGATATACGTCCTTTTGAAGAAAAAGTAGCGCAGATTTGTACTGGCGTAACATAATATTTTAGATTGAGTTTTGATGAAACAAGGAAGAGAATGTGTTTCGGGTCGCAGATTGTGACCAATCACAGCGGACCACTAGCCCCCGCTTTCGTAAGAAATCTACAGGTCCGTTAGCACAGACAGCTGAGTTAGCACAACAAGCGGCGGAGCTAACCTGAAGCTTCGTGTGTCTTCGTCACCGGTTACTGCTTACACAGCGAGACAGCCATCCAAAAGAAAGTCTCGTTCCTCCGCGCTTCCCGGTTCTATTGTTCTATGGTCACGGCATCCACGTGCAAATCGATATCCATGGTTTATCCATATTGGAAGACGCTAGCTTCGTCAACAACAGTGGGTGTGTGTGGGGGGCGATAGCTTCGTGGGTGCGGGGAGGGGAGCAGAAAGAGCGAGGCCAGCGAGTCCGCGGCTTCAAAATCCCAAAGTCAGTTAGTGCAGCTTTAAGTTGCTCATAGGATACATGGACAAATGAGTTGATCGTGGGGCTCTATAGCTTCATTTTGCAAAACTCTGAAATGCTAACTATTGTCTGCAGTGATGGATACAAATGATCGTTTCTTGAGGAAGATCACGATTGGACAGTCCTCAACAGAAAAGGGATTTACCAGAGAGGTATTTTTCACTATGATTTACAATATGAATCAACTACTTTGATACGTCCCCTGTGGCACTGGCTTAGTCGCCTGAAACAGTAACTGAAGATACTCAACATGTGCTACTTTCTCACTCACTCACTAAACTTTTCATTGTAATAAACAAAAGGGCACCTGAGTTGGCCGGTAAAACAGTAAAAAGGTCAACATAAGACACACAGTCAATTATCAGGATAAGATAAGGGATAAGAAATCCTTTATTTGTCCCACAGTGTTGTAGCGCACCGGGAGCACACACAATATACAATACTAGTAGCTGCTATTTTTCTTAGCTAGATAGTAGATAGTGACATTCAGTGGACAATTTTAGTATCGCACAAGAGTGGCTTTTTCCACTCATTTGCTGAACACAATCTGCTCGACTCAGCACATGGCGAAGATGTTCTGTAAATGTTACTATCATTATTTTTAGGCACAGTTTGACATCACCGTGGCCAGTGAAATCATGGCAGTTCTCGCCTTGACCAGCAGCTTGGCGGATATGCGCACACGTCTGTCAAAAATGGTTGTAGCCACCAGCAAAAGTGGAGAACCTGTAACGACTGAGGACCTGGTACTGTCCCTCCCACATGATCCCAGGATGTCTGTATGTACGCTGTATGTTGCCAGGTAATGAATGCCTTTCTCCTGTTGTAGGGAGTCAGTGGTGCTTTAACAGTCCTCATGAAAGACTCGATAAAACCAAACCTTATGCAGACGCTTGAGGTGAGACATCTGCAGAATGTTGTCCGTCTCTTTGGGCTCAGTGTTTAATTCACCTTTTTTCATATATATCTTTATTCAAACTACAGGGAACCCCAGTGTTTGTTCATGCCGGCCCCTTTGCCAACATTGCTCATGGAAACTCCTCAATCCTGGCTGACAAAATCGCTTTGAAGCTTGTTGGTCCTGAAGGGTTCGTGGGTAAGTGAGATTAGTGACACAGCGAGAGGCCTAATTAAAAAAACAAAACTAAGACGCTTATATTACAACGTTCCCAACAGTCACAGAGGCCGGCTTTGGTGCAGACATCGGGATGGAAAAGTTCTTTAACATCAAGTGTCGCTACTCCGGCTTGAGGCCTCATGTAGTGGTCCTCGTTGCTACAGTCCGAGCTCTGAAGATGCACGGAGGAGGTCCCACTGTAAGTTTAAGATTAAGATTTGGATAAGTGTTGCATCACTAGTTACAGAACAGTAGGAATGAAGAGCACTCAGCAAAAGATAAATTGCCAATAACTCTATACTAAATAAAAATCTCTAACTCTAGCATGAAGAAGAAACAAGTATAAAATATCTCTCTTTAGCGTAATGAGTACAAAAACTGACTTTAGCATAATAAAATAGTATAAGATCTATTAAGTACTGTGTATTCCAGTGCAAGTAATATATAGACCCAGTGCACCAATGGAACCGTATTGGCGTTGACACAATGTTGGTATAATTTCCTTTGGTTTCCATGACAACTAAATATTTTTCCCGTTCGAGTGACCATTTTCATTTTGCTTCCCCCCCCCAGGTGACTGCTGGAATGCCTTTGCCTAAGGAGTATGTGGAAGAGGTATTGATCTCTATGCACCCAACTCTTAACAATTATATGCTCCAAAGATGGGGTACCTAACTTTTCAATTTAAAGAATAATACCGTTTGCCTGTCTCTACAATAGGGGTCTTGTAAAAAGTTTAATGTTGTGAAAAAATGAGACCGCAACAAGCTGTGTTCATATGTGAAAAAATATTCAAACCAAACTTTTCGACCAGTTTGAATGGATTTGATTACATAGCTAATTATTTAAGGTTTGAAAACTGGGTACCCCACATTGAAATGAGGCGATGTGTTTTTAGAACTTGGGACTTCTGGAGAATGGCTGCAGCAACATGAAGAAGCAGATTGAAAATGCCATGCACTTTGGCGTGCCCGTGGTGGTGGCAGTGAATGCTTTTAAGTATGACACGGTGTCTACCCCCCCCCTGTAACCTAAATATCCACAGACCTCCTCATTTAAGCCTTTTGCAGGACTGACACTGATGCTGAACTCGACTTGGTTTGCAACGTGGCCAAAACTGCTGGAGCCTTTGACGCAGTGTGCTGCCGGCACTGGGCAGAAGGTGGCGCTGGAGCTGTGGCCCTGGGACAGGCTGTTCAGAAAGCGTCAGAGGCTCCCAGTAACTTCAAATTCCTCTACGACTTAAAGGTAATATCAGTTTATTTAGCTTTAACCAGGATAGTCTCGCTGCATTTGTCTCTGGGGTCAAACTCCTGTTGGTCAGAAGCTAAACTTAAATATTAACTGGTCATGGGTTGTGTAAAAGTGTTTTTTTTGTCTGTTGAGAAAAATAAAATGAAATTATGTAATTTTTATAAGCTTTTATATAACATGAGTTTGGATATTATTTTCTGGTAGAATTGTCTGAACAAAATTGGTCAGTTTTTTTTAATCAAATCCAAATAAATAATAACTAACGGTAAAGAAGGTTTCTAATGATGTTTAGAGCAATACTGATAGACCAATGATTTTTTTTTAAATTCCATCCATTCATTTTCTTCCCCTTAATCCATTTCTGGGTCAGGGGGGTGGCAGTCAGAGCTGCACCCGGTACACAGATTTTTTTCAATTAACTTTGTCAAATTATTTTTTAGGTTACCTTTTAGATTAGAAAAAAATAAAATGACATGGTTGGCTTCTTGAGAAAATTTATTTTTAAAAAGGTAAATTTGAAAATAGGTAAATTGTATAGCCTTTGCTGAAAGATCTCAGCTCCTGTGGACTCACCACCTGCAGGAGGATCAGTGAGGGGCTGGTGCTCTGTGTACTGGGTGCAGCTCTGGCCACCCCCCTGACCCAGAAATGGATTAAGGGGAAGAAAATGGATGGATTATAAATGGTGCCACAAACACCACACTACCTCAAATCCTTGCAAGTGAATCATAATAATTGCATATCAGTTCACGGGCCACTAAAACACCTTAGCTCTGTATTTATTTACTCGTCAGTCCTATTACTAGATTACTATTACTTAAGTGTTTATGTCGTTGTTTTTGCCACAGTTGTCCATCACAGACAAGATCCGAGTGATCGCCCAAAAGATCTACGGCGCAGATGACATCGAGCTCCTTCCTGAGGCTCAACACAAGGTGGAGGTCTACACAAAGCAGGTGAGTTTTACAGTTTTGTCTTTCTGCTTTAATAAACCATCCTCCCTCGAACGTTTCCGCAGGCCTTGTTGGAGAAATGCAGTAGCTTCACGTGTTCATGAATGTCTGGGTGTGCCGTTGTCTGCAGGGTTTTGGCGACCTCCCAATTTGCATGGCAAAGACGCATCTGTCTCTGTCGCACGAGGCAGACAAGAAGGGCGTTCCCACCGGCTTCATCGTCCCAATCAGGGACATCCGGGCCAGTGTGGGCGCGGGCTTTCTCTTCCCACTGGTTGGCACGGTAAGATGCATTGTTATTGGTAACGCTTAACAACAAAACACAAGGTGCAGCAACCACATGCAGCCTATCTCTGTTTATAGTATCTATCTCTGCACATAGTTTGGTGCTGTGTGAATTGGGTGGCAGCTCTGATTGTCCCCCCCTCTAGAAATGGTTTGAGGGGTTGAAGATGGATTGAATAGGTTGTTGAACTTAAAGCTGGAGTATTTAACTTTCAAACCACAAAACGATTGACCAATGTGATATATTCTGTCCAACTAAAGTTCCTCTCTCTCATAATGGTATGGTTATTTCGCAAATTTTCACATTCATGCATTTTTAGCGTCTGTCATGGATTTAGATCCGCTTTTCCAGACACAAAAGTATGAAGAGAGACTCGACCACTCTCAGCCCAAAGAGTCAAATAGGCTCTATCTTAAGCCTAGCGTACATCGGACTGGCAACTGATTATATCCGTCGCCTCTGAGTTGCTGCCCCGCACACATCGACAATCTGGCGAAAACGGGCAACTCTGAGTCGCAGGCCAGTCTCTTGAATAACAGCGCGTACATCGACAGCAACTGGCCTCAACTACAGTGTGTTTTCTGACAACAAACTGTTGCGGGCTCGCAATACACGCAATACACACACGTTGTTGGAGCGGCGCATGGAGCGCGCACATCGGGTCATATCTCCGAAACTGAGGACAACTAGTTGCCGAAAAGTAGAACACGGGCAACTGACTGAAACTGGAGACCGACTGTTCATCTCCAGTTGTAAGAGCGCGCACATCGACCGATTTCGGCAACTGATCATCTCCCACCATCTCCTCTCAGTTGCCAAAAGCCGCCTTGCAACTAGTTGTCCCCAGTTTCTCTGTCGATGTACGCTAGGCTTTATAAATATGCCAAACAAAACATGTTTTGCTGTTTGTTTTCTTACTTTAACAAGAACAAACATGTATTATTGATAAAAGTTTGGTACTCCAGCCTTAAGCAATACTATATAGACCATTTTCATTATCTAAAAAAAAAAAGTTTGTCTTTATGTGAAGGGACAATGTACAGAGAAGACAGCTATGTTCTGCACGAGATTATCACTAAACATGTAGTTTCCATCTGCAGTCCCTGGTTAAATAAATAAAATACATGGAGGATACAGTAATGTACAATCCAATAGAAATACCATCTCAAACCAACACACTCTCTCTGATACAGCCTCGCACACACACACACACACACACACACGTTTAGCCTTATTAGCCTTAATATATTTGTTGATCTCAGCAGCCTGAAACTAAGGCACAATGCTTTCAAATTCCAAAGTCTTTAAGCAACACTAAACTCTTTTTTTTTTTCTAGATGCCCACTATTCCTGGCCTTCCCACAAGACCTTGCTTTTACGATATTGACCTGGATCCTGAGACTGAACAAGTGAACGGCCTTTTCTAAATCAAGTTTGGATTGAACCACTGTATCTTGGCGAGTTTGAATTGGCAAAAAAATGTCACAAAATGTTTCTAATTAAAGCAAGTAGTTTATCTCGACACACACGGCCACCTTCAGAATGAGTAAATACAATTGCACTGTATTTTATTGTCAGTACTTGTTGCTCAAATTATGTTTTTGTTAATTGTAATAACTGAACTGTTGACTAATGACTACTAATGAAAAAAATATGTTTACTAGTTCATTACTAAAAACAAACACAGCTCATGGTATGTCAAGACATTTTTATTTAAATTGGAAACATCACAAGTCAATGGCAAATGTTCACATAGAGAGAGACTGGACAGAGGACATTAGTCTTTGTTATGGCCTTTCCCTTTGTTACAGCCTTGGCCTCCGCCTTGGCCCTTGCCCTTCATCTCCTCACTTTTTCCACAGCCTCCCTGCGAACAAACACACAATTGTACAGTTAAATGATAATGCATGCATGATGACGTCCTGATCTGAATGATTCCAACCTGGCCGTGCTCGGAGCCCTCTTCCTGTGAGAGAGTGAAATCACATTAGCACCACACACAGTAGTATTTATGAAACTGAAACGTTGACTGAAAAAAAAGATCTTACTTCTTCTCCCTTTGGTCCTTTCCTATGCTCTTCGCTCTGCCCCCTCTGGCCACTCTCGCCCTATAAATAACAAAGCAGATATATGAGCAATGAGTTTCACATCAATGTCAATGAATTAAAGAATAATAATAAAAGCACTCACTTCTGTATGGTGGGAAGAGGCAAGAAAAAAATAGTCAGGTTTTGTCCATTTCGAAAACTACATTACACACAATATTAAAAAGGAATAATACTTACTTCCACTCATCTTGTTTTAGTTTGAGTTGAGTATAAAGCTTATGAAGTCTGTGAAAAAATACAAGCATTGAAATTCAAATGTTCCAAGATCCACACGCCATGCCGAATGTGTCATCCCATGATTACCTGATTCTTAGAGAAGGATATCACTGATGCAAAGACATAGCTGGTCCCTGCTCTTATAAGGCCCTGCAGACATCTGGGTGTGTTTAGATCTCGCACGCTAATGCATATCTGGCAACGTGCCGCATGTGCAAACAGACAGGTGAGTTAAGGTGCGGTTATGCTTGTGTCTTCAGCTTCACAATGTGTTTCACAGAATTGTAGATTCCACAACAGCTAGGCCCAGTTCTGTCTAGAGCAACTGACTCAATCATTGTTTAGGTTTTTAATAATGCCATCAGTCTTTCACTCACGTCAATGAATCACAGGGTCATGGTTTGTTTTATGGCATACAATTAAGGTCAGATTAGAAAATGACATGATTTTGTTTAATGCGATTCAGCTTCTGCAAGATGATTGGTGACGCTTTTATTATTCCATTATTTTTTATTGGTTCCAAAATTTGTTGCATGCATGAAAAACATGATAAAAAATAATAAGTACACTGAATAAAATGTTTTGAAGCTATTGGTTTAACAGATCAGATACAATTCTCCCAAAGCGGGAGAATTTCAGTGTTGCATCATAGGTAATAACAGTATTAAAAAGGAACGCACAAAACAGGTGAATATTAGGTATAACAACTCTATGCTTTAAAAATATAGAAACATCTTTATTGAATCACATTGTCATGGCCACTTTTTATTGCATACAATTAAAGTCAGATTAGAAAATGACATGATTTTGTTGTGACGGACTCAACTGCTGCATGGTGATTGGTGGAGCTTTTATGATTCGATTTCCTGTTTGCCTTGGGTCCCAAATATGTTAGCATGAAAAACACAATTTAAAAACTTTTAAATGGTTAAATATGCCAGAAATAATCAACAATGGGCTTTTTTCATCTGCTGTCCCTGAATTATGTATTAAAGTCAGTTTTGTAGTTTCCAATCTGACGTAATTTACAAATCAATATTACAGGAATGCATAATTACAATAGATACATATTTTTTTTACTATGTAGCTAATAAAGATGTTATTATATTTTTCAAGTATAGAGTTGTGCTCTACCTAATATTGAATTATTTTGTGTGCTCCTCATACCTCCTGTTCTGTGTTTTACCGTAGCTTCAAAACTACTTTTTCTTCTTTTGGTAAATGGTTTCCTCAAATATTTGTTAGATCACCTTTTGAGTCACTGTACTGTATCTACTTTTACCATCAAACTGCCTCTCAAACAGAACATTTGTTTTATAATTAATACAAAGCGAACGGAAAAAGTGATTATTTGTGTAATGACATGACATTGCTTTCTTCAAGGAGAGTACATTAAAGGGTTAAAAAACACACAGGACATGATGAAACACAGAACTAATGGGCCAATTAAGTGTCAGTCATGAAACCGTCCTGCCTCTCACACGACTGCTAAAAACAGGGGTGTCAAACCGGTCCTTTAAGAGCTGGTGTGGCTGCAGGTTTTAGTTCCAACCCGAGCAGGATCTCACCAGACTCCACAAAATCCTCCTTTATGTAAAATGTAGGTTCTCTGTCAGCTGAGGTCGAGCTGTTTTAGTTTACTCTGAGTTCTATGGTACTTTTTTCTGGGTAGCCCATGAGAACTTTATCTGCAGTACCGCAGGCGCCCCCTGTACCCATTGGTGGGACAGCTCCAAGCTCGTAATACCCTATCCAGATATTATAGATCTTTGGCCCAGTTTTAACCAGAAGATTGGAGGAAATGGGTGAGGTCTGATCTTCTCAGAACCCTGCTCAGGTTGGAACCATTAAACTAAAACCTGCAGCCACACCGGCTCTTTCTGGAGCCCCTGACACCCCTGGCTTAAAACAACACTAATCCCCTGGGCCTGAGGCTGTTATACTGTGATGGAGGCTATATTATGATATTTAGTTACACTCATGTGGGATATTCATAATTTTAGAGAACATACTATTTAATGTGATGGTTTTAGTTCAAGGATCAAGATATTACAACGAGGACATTAAAATATAACCTGTAAGTGTGTACAACATACATGCATTTTAGATTGTTAAAATCCCTTGTATTCAAACCAATATTACTGATGTATGATGTCTCAATCCGTGCAGCCAAGTACAAGACCATCGGCCGTACATTAGGAGTGGACTATATGGGCTTTTTTTGTGACAGTGTTAGCTTTGCAGGCTGGAGATTTTTCTCATTTTTACTCTGGCAGTTTTCAAATGTATGTATTTTTTTTAAGGATAGCCCCATTTCCTTTATCAGAGAATAAAAATAGCAAACAATTAAGATGGCTTACATCAGCAATACAAAACAAATGAACATGTTCTGTTTAACTGTGCATATAACTGAGTGATTTTTAATATTTCTTGTGCTCTTATTGTGTGTGTGTTTTTTAATGTAGATTCTAATGTTGATGATTTATGGTGATGAGGCTGTGATAGTGATTGTGAGGCACTTTATGTTGCTTTGTGTAGGAAAGGCACTCTCAAATAGAAGTTGGTTGATTGATTGATAAATAGCACACTTGACATTCAACATTTATCAACATTTTAAAATTGGACTGAAGAGTAAAGTTTTAGTCTCATCTGACCACAGCACGACAAGACACACACTGTCTGCATATATAACCCTATCTTAGCATATTGAATTGCTTATTTCTAAAAACAAAATGCATATTATTCATTATGCAGCAGTTTTTTATTGACATTTTAATAAAAACCCAGCAGACTATGCAGTTTAAAGAATCATTTATTGACAATCAGTATTTCCTACAGAGAGACATGAGCACTGCTTCACTCTTTCTTTCCTCTTCCTTTACTCTTCTCTTTTCCCTAAACGAACAACAGAAACATGAAACCAAAAACAACAATGGTTTTTGATAAGAAGGTGTGTCAAATGGTGCACATACTTTTCCTTTATCCTTGTTTTTGCCTTTGCCTTTTCCTTTTCCTCTGCCTTTGCCTTTGCCGTCTCCTCCGGATCCCTCCTGAAAAGAAAACATGTTATTGCAAAACAGTGCGGGGAATTGTACAAAGATTAAAATTCAAATAAAAGTTTACTTCTGAGTCGCTATCTTCTGATCCGGATCCTTCAGATTCCTCCTCCTCTTCCTACAACAAGTAACAATCACTTCAGAAAACAAGTTACATTTAAAGGACAAAGTGTAAATAAATGGTGTTTAGAAATTCACTTAAAAATAGCATACCATGTAATAGAAATATGGAAAAAAACACTTTCTTAGAGCTGGGGTTCCTAACTTACTCCAAACAATGATTTTGAGAACAAATAGTTTTTGGGTTTTTATTTTGGATACTTGTAAGAAAAGTTGCGTTAGGCTGAGCAGGAGTGGTCCTATTGACATTTCTATCAGAAAAAATAATCTAAATATGTGGACTAAAAAACAAAAACAAAATGAATCTATTGAAAGATTCTTCTGAGAGTCTAGTTGGATTCTTTTACATACTCCAATTTTTGTGACTAGAAAATCCAAGCTTTAGCATCCTTAGCATTAACATGAGCAATGAGGTAAGAGATGAGTCGAATGTGGCAGCAGTTGGAAATGCATTTGATATATATTTACATTTAAATCCAGGATGGCAGAGTCTCCACCACATGTATAATAAATGAACATATCAAAAAAATAATCCCGGCGCGGGAAAAATATGTAAAGAATTTTGTCTTGAATTCTGAGCTTCCTTAGTGTGATGTCACCATAGACCTGTCTTTTCAACATATGTTTCAGATTTTTACACAGACTGTGGCTTACTTAACGTAAAACTCTCCTTTACATTTGGAATAGACAATTAATTAAAAAGAATATCATAAAAAAAGCTTCCATGCACACTACCTTTTCTTCTTTCTTCTCTTCCTGCTCCGCTTGCTTCTCCTCTTTCTTCTCGCTGTCACTCATCTTGCTCACTGATGCGGTCAAAAACTATACAATTCTGAAGAGAGATGAAGGGACATTGATTATTACAGACGCCAATAAGGACATAAACTTAGAGTGAAGGTCTGAAAAGCAGAGGACTTACCTGCAGCAGAAATGGGCGCCGTTTGGCCGGGCGCAGGTTGCCTCTGTATTTATAGAAGAAAGAGGAATGCTCGAGGCAAGAGGATATTGTATGACAGGTGTTACAAGTGTCTTTTATGCGCCTCTGATTGAACAGTATAGAAAAAAAAACTACACAAAAAATGACTTTTACATGACAATATTACTGTAGTCCGAAAAATCCCCGTTGGACTATTGCCTAAAGTGTTGATGAAATTGTTGAAATACATGATTTTGATTCAACGTTAAACATCTAATTACACACACATTCATATTGCATTAGTCATATAAATAATACAACTTATATTTACTGTTGTCAAAGTTACTCTTCGGTTGTAAATACAAAAGTGACTCACTGATATTTGCGACAGCATGATTGGACACCGCTTTGTCAGGTTTTTCGATTAGTGTCTTGAAGCTTGTTTGCACTCCAACTGTAGCTTTGTGAATTCTTTTTTATTATCATGCAATGTTCAAATCAGTGAATATGTGTAGCTCCTGTGCCTAACTATAAGGGCAGCATTTGTTGTTTTATATGTGCCGTGAAAACACATGTTCTGTGATTAGTGCTGTTAGTACAGTATGTAATGGTAAATAACTAGTGCTTGTGTTTAATCCTTTACTACACTATGTACTCGGACTGGTTCAACTGGATATTACTTTATTTTTACTTTTTTGTCAGACAATTTATCAAATATAACACATAATAATCATAATAATAAACAGTTTTATATCGTGCTTTTTGAACACGGTTCTTTCCATTCATTCATTCTTCTACAGATGCCTTCAGTTAGATTGACACCATCAACTCCTCTGGCAGTTTGGCACTTTAGAATCCATTTTAGAATTGTGAGTAACAGGAAGCCACAAACTAGGAAATTGCTTTGGCTCTTGGTGCAAACAAGTTACAAAAGTAAACATAGAATAAGGCATCCATGAAAATAGTGCACTAAGTCCACACAGCAGATATACTGTATACTCTCCTCTGACTGTAGCACCTGGTGTTCCCAGAGGTATCCCATCACAGGCCAAAACAGGACCCGGTCTACACGCAGGCGGCGCTAACAGACTCTTAGAAACAAAATGAATCTGAATTCCACTTATTTAGGGTAAAATCTGGCGTTCTGGGGAAACCAGTGAAAACTGAATGCACAATTAAAACAATACAAATAAAAAAATAATTTCAAAATTCTACCTTCATGTTTTTGCTTTACGCAGATGCCTAAATCTATTCTTAGGGACTTTCCCTCAGCTGTGAAAGGAGAATTGTTAAAACCTACCTTATTCCCACTGTCCATTTGACCCGCCCCCGAGGCACCAGCTGTGCCTCTTTTATGTTTACAGTATACAAGCATACAGGTGTATTTGGATCTTTTGATTGTTCCCACTTATAATTATGATTGTTCCTACTTATAATGCACGAGAGCTACTGTCTACAGGACCTCAGCTTCACAGAGTCCAGCCATATATCCTGAAACAGATTTAGTTTGCTGAAAGACCAAGGCCATCTCGTTGATGACAGAGAAGCCATCTTCCCGTGGACCCACCACCTGCAGGAGGATCAGCGAGGGATTGGGTGGCAGCTCTGATTGCCACCCCCCGACCCAGAAATGGATTAATAAAGGGGTAGACAATGACATGACATGACAGATTTAGTTTGAATTTTAACCTTATGTTTGAGAACTTTGTATGTTTCTCTAATAAAACGTATATTTACAGGCAGTACCACCTAGTGCTGCCCTGTGACGCAAGTAAACAAAGATTATTTATTTCAGACATTAATCAGATGAAGTCATTTGTTATGTGTTCTCACTCACAAACACAACTGGACAAAAATGCAGTATTGCACATTCTAGCAGTGTTTACTATTTACACTCTGCAGTTCTCATACAGTCAAAAATGTACTCATAAATTAATGTCAACTTATAACACGTCTTTACAAGTCAGATTTCTAACTACCTTTGGTCTGCTTCACATCCATATATAGAAATTGATATTTAATTAAAACATAAATAAATTGTGAAGCATGATTGTGAAAAATAAAATCCAACAATAAGATTTAGGGGCTGTAAAACTAATTCTGAAATTCAAATGTCTCGGCTGAACTATTGTCGTTTTTATAAGTATTTGAAAAGTGCATGGTATATTAATGCCTTTTGACAGATTAGGGCCATTTAATGACTTAAAATGAAAATCTTACATATTGCTACATATTTTGGGTATTTGTAGAAATTCAAAATGTAGTGCGTACGCAAATAATTGGTCTGGAGGTTGGGAAGAGGAGAGGATTGTGCTGACACTTCTGGCTAAACCTTCCTAAATAGATGTCATACAAAAATTGACCTAAATGAGAGCATCTTTTGTAGTCATGAATATTCTTTATACTGTTTTGTATTCTTTATCAGTATATCTGAGGACAATACACAAACCTGTTTTTTTAATCCTGTCATCGCAAGTAATAACAATAACACATGTAAATAGCTAAGTATAATTATTAGCCCAGCCGCACACTGACGCACCCTGGATTATTTTACTCCACAGGATCTGAAACATCACCTGATTTGCCCCAACCAGAATCAGTCGTGTTCAAGTCAGATTTAGTGAGCCAACCAGAACAACATTCTACTATTGCATACTCGTCAGATCAAGCCCTGTGAGGCGTTTTTGGGCAGTGAGCTGATTGGATGAGCAAACTGGCCCTGTCTGTCTTCACTTTCCTGCCTGAACAAAGCTAATGTACAAATGTGACAGAGACCAAAAGTGCTCATGTGAAAACCAGTGTCAGAACTCAACCGTTTTGAAAGTTTGTTTATTGATACTAATGCTGCATCAGTTTTAAATAGGGCTTTCTTTTGGACATTCAAAGACGCTTCACATGTCATTATTCACAGACTACACAGTGGTGATAAACTACAACTGTAGCCACAACTGCCCTGGGGCACACGGACAGAAGCGAGGCAACCAGTATGTGCCATGGGCCCCTCTGACCACCACAAACTATTCTCACACACACACACGCGCACACACACACAGGTCTGACAGGTTTTCACATGCAGGTATGGCAAACATGGATCTCCAAACTATAGCTTGGGAGTTACCAGTAGCACGCCACCCTCTTCAAAGTAGCTCCCCAAAGGATAATTTTATTAATATTTTATTATTAAGTAAATATAAAACATAATTGTGACAGACTCTTTTATGGGTATACCACTACACAACAGAAAACGCAGAAAAGAACAAACATTTTGACGGTCTACTCTATAGAAACAATTTTCCAATAGAACTTGTGATAAATTTGCTTTATCTGAGGTGGGAAAAAGACTAAAGCTGTTTTTTCCATTGTTTTAAGAATGTCTTTTTTTCATAAAAAAAAACGAAATAATCAATTGTAGCACAACATTTTGTCGACTGTCTAAATGAGTAGCTCTCTGTCAGTGTTGTCCTGAAAAAGCTCTCCAAGGGAAAAGGTTATAGACCCATGGTTTACAATAAGAGAAAACGAGGACCTCTGGTGGAGAGAATAAGCAGCAAGAGTCAAAGACATCACTGTTCTGGCGTCACCTAGTGGAAATACAATCTGGGCTTGGGCCTGAAAACAAAAATACCTTTTTGCAAAAATAGAACAGACTCACAGCCCAAGCATCAAAAACTTTTAATGGTTAAGTTTTAGGCATGGTTAACAGAGTGGTTAAGTTTAAGGTCAGTAAAAAAATCACTGGTTATTTGTTATTATTGCATTCTTTATTCCCGTCAATGCTGCACAATATTCACACACCAACCCAAACACAGAAATGTTTGTGGCGGTGTTCAGGGCAGATGTCAGACGTGGAGTATTTACTTATGCTACCTAAATGTTTGGGAGGAAACATGTCAACAGATTATAACCACAATAATACAAGCTGCAACAAACACCTTTCTCTTTTATTTTATTGTTGCTGATTCTTGTTCATATAAATCTATTCATACAATCAATATCAAGATCAGATACATATTAAATTGTTCATTTCCAAATTAAGAAATAGATAAATAAAACTAAGAAAGCTTCACTCAATAATAAAGTCAATATATGTTCTCCCAGTCTAACACTTTCATTTCAATTTGATGTAACTTGTCTATGAATCCGAGGTCTTTGGCTCTAAACTATAGAAACTGTGGTTGTGTCCAGTTTAGAATCTGGTGTAAAAATCTGAAAAAATAAACCACTTTTTTCATTCATAGAATTCAAACTTGTGACGGAAATAACACAGCTGAAAATTGGATTCACTAGAACTTCAACTATAGTATATGTAGTACAGAAATATAGAGTCAATATAATATGACTATACCAGTTGGTGCATTTAGATATTACACACTGGATTTCTGTTCACAAAGAGACCAGTTAGTCCTAAGAACGTGCGCTATGCAGACAGACTACTGGAATATGCAAAAAATGCTGCAGCAAAACTGGCAGCGTTCAAAGATGTGTTTGTTTCCATAATACTGCCGAGCTGTGACACTTGAGTCTCCAGCCGCTGACATCACTGCTATTTGTGACATGCGTCTGCCTCGCCGCCTAAAGCAGAGCACTAAAGTTAAATCATGTGTTCCCTGAATCCTATGAAGAAAAAAACACACACACACACACACACACACACACAGACATACAAAATGGTGCTCCTGCCTGATGGACTGTGACAACCCTGTGGAAGCGAGGTCTTTAAAACTGAGCGTCCAGTTGAGGAGGACGAGGGGAGAGCAAGTGCTTAGAGGAGTGAGGGAGCATATGTTTAGAAGGGTGGGAGGGCTGGGGGTTTTTTTTTTAGAGAGAGCTGGAGAAAGCAGGGGAACGGGAGGACAGGCGGGTGGGTGCTGCGAAATCTGCTCACAGGGGAGCTCTGTGCGTTTGTTAGATGTCTTGGCTGCGTGCCCAACTTGGCTCATTGTAATCAAGGCATGATCAGCGAGCCCGGGCTGCCCTGTCTGCCGGCTCGCTCCTGGACTCTGCCCAGCCTCGGCCAGTGACATGGACGAATCCGTGAGTGCCTTCTTTCCCCTTTCTCTATATAAGGTTTTACTGCTGGCTAAACCTGCGTGTAGCCAGTCTCTGCTTTTACTGTAGCTCTTATGTGACCAGGCATGAGGGTATTGAGCCTTCTTCTCTAGTGCGGGCCCTCCCCTCTCCTGGCTCTAACGGGTTTCTGAGCTGTGTAGCTGCTGACTGATACACAACAGTGAGACTGGGTTGTGTGACTCTATTGAAATGAAGCCTCCTATTTGTTTTAATAAAGCAAATATTCTTCATTTAACCTGTGCCGTGGTGCTATTCATGTGCACTATGTCACTTGCACCTATTCTTGGCGGTATGCCTCATAGTCTGTTGTGTTTGGATACCCTGACAACTAGAAGCTATGTGCTCACCACTTTTCAGCCTGTTGTGTGAGTGCAGCACAACTTTTCTAGTGTCTTTTCCATGTTTGTTGTGGTTTTTTGCACACTGATGGATTTACAACTTAGACGCAACTTATGGAAGAGCCCTGCAACCAGTGTCTGTTGTGAGCTGCCTCTTCCATCGTCACTGGGGCAACAGAGGAGGATGTCTGACTCATACTGTATGAAGTAGAAAAAGGTCAAACTTTTCTCAATAGTTTATGGGAAGTTCAGATCAAATGATTTCAAGCAGTCTATACTCTAACGTCAGTGTAACATATTGTATACTCAATGTAATTTCCCCCACTGTGGGACTAATAAAGGCTTAATTCATGTTCAAATTCCCAATTAATTCCGTATTTCAAAAGCCCAGATAGTCCGAAATTGTTACGACTGGTTACGACTGGTTGCATCAGCAGTATCCTACAAAGCCATACTTTTTTTTTAAAGTCTCCTCTTTGAAGAGACAACAATTCCAAAACCCAAATATGTCTAAACTATACTAAGAATAGAATAGATTAAAGTTCAGACATCCTTTATTCGTCCCACAGTGGAGAAATGTCAGTGTTGCATCACAAGTTACGGAGAGTAGGAATAAGAAGCACACAACAGAAGGTAAATTAATAATAACTCTAAACTGAAATAATCTAAAATAAAATAAAATCTCTAACTCTAACATATAAAAGAAGCGGTATAAAATCTCCAACTTCAACATGATGAAGAAGCAAGAGTTAAGAACAATAACCCTGACTTTAGCACAATAAGAAGTAAGTATAATAGTACAGCCCCCAATGCACAAAGGTGAAAACTAGATTATTGTTCAAAAGAAAATGTGTTTCTGTAATTCAACTTATAATGTGAAACCAACACAGGATATAGACTCCTTGATGATTGTGGCTACAGTCCAATATAAAAAAATTGTGTTGTGTTTTTTAATGTAAGGCAAATATTAACATTATATTATACGTTTTTTATACATTTTTAAGTTTATTATGAGTCTGTCAAATACTTTCACACCGTAAGTTGATTTCGAGTTCTCAACATGAATGTTCAACTAAGGACATATTTCAAAAGCCTAAAATTTAGACAATGGGTGTCAAAGTCAAGGCCCGGGGGCCAGATCCGGCCTGCGAATGAATTATCTTGGCCCCAGGGATGAAATATGGTTAGTATTAGAACCGGCCCGCACAGAACCATAAGAATATATTGGATTATTCTCTCAAAGTTCAGGAAGTTTGTTTTTGTCTGTGAGCCTGAATGAGACAAAAATATTGGATTAGGTATTGGTTCAAAAGGTTATACGCAATCATTTGAATATGCTTTAATAAACATTGAACCAGTCCGGCCCTGGGCTTGTAGCGCGTTGGTTTTTTTGGCCTCTGATGTATTTGACTTTGACATCCCTGCTTTAGAGAGTAGAGAAGGCCACTAGTTTCATGTGCAGCAGCTATAATTACAAATGGTTTCAACTCTTTTCTTTGAAGAGATGTGATTGGCTCAATTCTACTTTAACTTTTACTTAGCAATTACACAGCATGGATGCAGCATCCATGCATATTGTTAACTCTTTGTACTGTATCAACTATCCAAGTGTAAAATAAAAATGGGAATTCTTTGGCATGAATAAAAATTGAAGCTTGTGGGTGCAGTTATTTAAATTAAACTACTAAAAATAACTATTGCCAGTTTCCACATGTACTCATCACATCTTTAGATCATCTAGTCATCTAAATATATGTATAAAAAAGTAATCCAGCTTTAAGAGGAAAAAGTATCTCAAAGCAATCTAAAAAATGACGTTACAAGCATTTGTTATAATCTAGGGTGACAGTAAATCAGGAAGTAGAGCTCCACAACCACATGTGTGAACGGGCTGGGTTCTAATTATAATATGTATAAAGCAGGTTTTGTGTCTTCAGGCAAGAAAAAACTTTGAAAAGTAGTCATCTGGATGGAGGTTTTGGCTTCATTACTCTAACTCTGAATAGTGAGTGTTCCGTATGTTCTGCAGACAGTGGGTTTTGCTCAGGTAAGTGCTGCAGCAGAGCCGTGCACTCTCTCTAGCGCGACCATATGCCAAGTTCTGGTTCAAGCTGTTGTGTGAAGCTGCTTATACATCAAGATGTTTAGGATGCTCCACATACTCATCGCGCCGCCGTAACCGAGCTGGAAGATGACAGTCCCATCTGTGGGCAGCCCCAGTGAACCCCAGCACAGGTCCTTTCACTACCGCAGACTAGAAAACGTAGTAAAAATATCAACAATGTAAAGGCAAAAATCAGCCAACCTTAGCCTGGTTTCTATGTTTTGTATTTTGTCGATTTCATTTATTCAAAAGCTGATCCTGGGTTTTAGAGTTTTTGATTGCCGATGCAGGAGGGTTCAAGGACTGTGGTGATGATCCAGGACACTAGACATTTAATGATATTTATGGACTTCATCAACATTTATGGACATGGGTCATCTGCCGCTTATGGACCAATGACTCCATGTTTTATAATCATTGCCTTTCTTGTGTTTGTTTGATTCTCTGATTGTGATGGGGCTAGGCTGAGTGGATAGCAGCCAGTGTGTTCGGCCTCTCGCTTCCGTCATCACCAGGTGTGGAGTGATTGCAACAAAATCTGCACTCTGAACATTTTGAAGCGCTTTGGGTGACCTTGGTCTGTAAAATGCGCTGTATAAATAAACATTACTTACTAACTATAAGCCATAATTCCCCAATACCTTGATATTATTCCTGTACAACTCCCCCAAGTAAGAGCTACAGTAAAAGCTTGATGGGAAACCCTGGTTCAAAGAGAAGCAGAGGATTCATTTCTGTAATTATAAATAGTACTTTATTACTTGGAGATTCATTTTTGTTGTGTCTTTTCCAAGAACTCCAGCGACATGCTTCCCAAAAAACATCATGATAAAAATTTGGAACTGGACAAGAAAATTGAGGCTCTACGCAGAAAGAATGCAGCGCTGATGAAAAGGTACCAGGTGAGGCATATCTTTGAACAGTAGCACCATTTCTCAGAGAGCGTCTTGGTAAATAAATTGCTTTTTGTGCGTCAGGAGGTGGAAGAGGACAAGAAAAAGGCAGAGGAGGAAGGCATGGCGCTGCAGTCTCGCAAGGGCAAAGCCGATGACCTCTCAATTACCATCTGCAAGTCCACCAGCGTGAGTACGGAAAGAATGAGCCATACTGCGGTAATGACTGAACTGAACATGTTTCTGTCTCTTTAGGACGGTCGGATGGTCACAGCCAAACCCATGACCACTGGGTCAGAGCAGGACAGGGTAGGGGACGGTCCATCTCCAAGTGCAGGCCGCGGGCAGAGGAAAGAGCTGACTGTGACAATGCCAGTGAAAAAGGTGCTTGATATTGGCTATTCCACTTAATATTATAGAGTATAGAGTTTTGTCACACAGGACCATAACCTCTGGATCGGACTATTTCACTACTATATAACAGCTTTTTACGTACAGTTGTTTTGTGGTTCAGAGAATACACCAGAAGTCCCTTTCAGTAATTTCCATTTGAACAAACTTTGCTAAATTTTTCATGTACAATAAGCTTATTAACCATCGCTCTGTCAAACCAATACTGACCAAAATTGAAAGAAAAAAATCAGGCCACAAGTATCCACACTTTTACGCGTTTTGTCAAGTCACTACCACACTTTTTAATACATTCTTTGTGTGAAAGTAAAATCATACATTTTTAAAATATGAATACATTTGCAACGTGGTGCTAACAAAGGTATTCGGCCTAGAGTTACTGTAATACAGCAGAAATTCTTTTGGGGCAAATACGTGTTTGGTTGATGCAGATTGTGCAAGTTGTCTTATTCGCCAAATGCAGGAAGTGTTTATACATTTTTGACCAATAACTCAAGTTCATCTCAGTACTTTGTAATGTGTTTGTAAACAGTTTGAAGTTGAAGTTTGATTTATTAAGGACATTGTGCAGTTGCATTAAAAAAAACATGGCTGCACCAGATTTAGCACCAGCTACTTTCCACCGGCAGTCCTTGACAATACAATCATACAACCTGCATAATGATATACAGTTCAAATTAAAAGTTACTAATAAGTTACTAAAACACATATTAAAATAATTTTCAATAAAAGTGCAAGTTGACCAAGATAAATATTAAGCTACAGTTCAATAAGGTGCAATACAGAGTAACAGTTAGTAGTGAAAATGGCAGTAAAATATGAAACAAATAATAACAAGAGGGGCTGAATACTTTTGCAATCCCCACTTTGCAGATTATTTAAAACATATAACTAAATCATTGCTTAGCTTTCATTTCACACTTCTAATTCTATTGCTATGTCTTGCTAATTCAAAAACACTACACAGCAAATGACTTCCAATTCGTCTCCAGGGTAAGAGGGTGGTGACTGAGAAGAGCCCGGAGCTTTCAGACGCTGCTTCAGATGATGGACAGTCGAGACATGTGGAGTCAATGAGGGTAAAAGCGGCCCACATCCCCAAGACTGACACGGCGGCTCAGGTTTGCACCCCCTCCCCTGCTCCCCACCCCGTCTCTTCTCCCCTCTCATGTGTTTGCATGGTCCAAAGCTCTAATCACAAGCTCTGTTCCCACTGATCACCACCTCCTCCTCCTCCTGTTTATTTACATAGACGTGAGACACACCCCGCACCCAAGCACCACAAAGGCAAGAGGCACTCGGTCTGTATGGGGATGTGACCAAACAATGACTTTTCTGATTTGTGATGCTACGTACAGTATAGGCTATTGAATACTAGTTAGGATTGGAACAGTTTCACCAGAAAGTCTTGCCGTCTACATTCTAGCATTTGGGAAGTTTTTTGGGAAGTGCTCTTGTGTTTGTTGAAAGAATAGATTTGTGAGAGCGGGAATGAGTTGATTCAGGAATAACTCGGAAAATTAGACTAATGTTCAAAAGTTCATTTTCTGTAATTCAACTTAAAATGTTCAACAAAATAATTCAAAAAATATAGACGGACTCAATGTGGCATTTGCTTAGCCTTTGTTATCAATTTTATGATTATGGCTTACAGTCCATTTGAACAAGAAAATCTATAATAATGTGTTGTTTGGGTTTTTACGGCTACATTTTTAAGGTATTACAATTTTAGATTGTGTTTGTACCTATGATCAGACCCAGAACCATCTCATACAAAACTATCATGTAGGTAGGTATTTTATAATAGTTGTCTGTGATTTGTGAGGAAGAAATATCTATTTTCAGTCTGAAAAGGTTAAGTTGGTGCAGCCTGCTTTCTGATCTTGACATAGTAGAACAATATTATCATTGTGTAATTAGCCTAAAGCAGTGTCTTTCATTGAAAGACACACAACCAGCAGCTGAAACAGATACAAAAAAAGTCTTACATGCTCTGAAAAAGGAGGATAATATTATGTGGCCAAAAGGTTTAGCCTCGTCCCTGTTCATTAAATTATTGTCAAGAGTGCCTCGGATTTTCTTTTTTCTCAAGTGCAAATGTCTTTCTAATCTTCTCACCTTCTTTTTCACATTATTTCGACCATTCAGGTGATTTTTGATCCTTTCCAAAGGCACTTCAAATAACATCTCAAGGCACATTGATGAGACATGGCCCACTGGTTGAAAAACACTGGACTAACGTTCAATTGATATGAAAATATGATTTCAACCCAATACATTCTTGGATTTGTAACTATGGATCTGTGACATCTACAGTAATGATTGAAAACTAAATTATAATGAAATACCAGTTTTATTGTCACCTGCTTCTTTAAAGTATTCTACGGCACATGTTAGTTAAGAAAACGTCTGTCCTCGGGGCTCGGTGGGTTCTTCACCTCAGCTCGGATTTCACTCTGAGGATTTGTAACATATACCATACATAATCTATTCCTTATTCAGACAGCCTAACAGCACTAACATCATGGACATCTGTACTGTGTATTCTAGGAGTAGCTTTTTATAACACAAACAGGCAGAGACACATGTGCGAGCGAGGCTGTGTGAAATGCCATGCTGTGATTGACTCTGGGCATTGTATGAAGCAGCAGCTGCTCCGTGAGACACACACACACACACACACACACACGCACACAAACACGGGCCGGCCGAACAGCTGATCCCTGCTGCAGGAAGCACACGGTCACAAGACATACTGTAGTTTCTGTTATTCAATATTTACAGTATAATATTTCGGTGTCAGGGGTGAATAGGAGCCATTAAGATGTCCCTAAGAATTTTGCTTTTTAACTTTTTTTTTTAGCATTTAATGAATGTTAAGTTCTGTTTATTTATTTTGCATTTGCAGTTGACACCACATTAGACATTATACATTCTCTGCATTTAAGTCACTCTTCTATTAGATCTAGGGCTTTCGTTTGCGTTTTAGGAATGCAAAGGACCTGTTTTTAACTACGTTTCTTTAAAGTTAGAGATTTTATATTTGTTTCTTTATATACTAAAGTTCGAGATTTTAAGTAAGTAAGTAAGTAAGTAAGTAAGCTTTATTTATATACTGCCTTTCACAGACCAGAGTCACAAAGCGGTTTACAATTGTTATTATATATATTATACTTGCTTCTTTATTCTACTAAAGTTACAGATTTTATACTTACTATATGATGTTAAAGTTAGAGATTTTCATTTTATAGTTATTGTTTACTTACCTTGTGCTGTGTGCTGCTCACTCCTACTTTTCAGTAACCGTTGATGCAAGTT